TGTTCCCGCAAAGCTGAAACTTTATTTTGTTGTTGAAAAATTTTGATTCGCCAGAAGCTAACAATAAATTGTTATATAAAGCGTAGGCCCCATCCAAAAAAGAAAAAAACGACAGACAAACATTTGAAAAATGGTAATAAGTTGCAGTTTTGTACACGGTTTTGGCTCGTGCTCCCAGCGTACCTTACAAGATACTCGTTCAATACGTGGTGTTATTTGGTTATTTACTGGATAGCAGAAAAAGTTGTTATTCCTGGATAGACGATAAAATATATAGTGTATCAAAAAACGCTTTTTTGAAGCCCACGGTGCTACTCAATGCAGGGCCAACCGTGGTGGAGGGTGATATCATCCATTGAGGAGGCGGATGACACTAGAAAAAAAATGAGGTTTTTAATCTTTCGAAGAAAGTAGTCCAAACTCAATCTTTTGACGAATTTGCCTATTTAGACATACTTTGTTTTGTTGCTTATTACCTTACTAATGACTTTTTTTTATTGTTTGGGCTATCCGGTAAAGCATCCCTGTGGGTACCCACTTATGTGTTCCAATAATAAACTAGGTTTTCTCGAATTTGTTCTTAATCTGAAACAAACCAGCCGTTAAATCGAGGCCGTACAACATTGTCCAATACTCCACGCAAAGTCATTTTGAAAAATTGTTTGTTTTCGCCGCAAATCACCGCCAAGCAACTTATTCAAATCAGCCAAAGTTAAACAGACAAAATTTTTATAGATGTTCATATTATACAAACTCAATTTCCTCAAACACAATGTCATAAATTTAGCTGAACAAACTCTAAGTAATTGTCATTTTTTATTCTCAATTTTGGGGCTAGGTTCTGACGGGACCAGCCTTTTACCAGAAAACAAAACAATAGTTCATTAAAAATAAGTCAAAACTAATGAAAATTTGAGAAGGAATTGGTTAAAACAAACAAAGTTTTGTGGAATAGTTCTCTAACCAGACTAAACGGCGTCCCTTCATCTGTCAATAAAGTTTGTTTATCAAGTCTGGTAAAAAGACCCAAGTTTAAATTTTTTTTTTTGGTAAAAGGTCGGTCTGGTAAATGATTCCCCCCCCCCCATTGTCCAATGTTATTTCAAAACAGAACACAGTATTCACGTGTAATTGCCAAGAATTCGGTGACCGAATTCTAAGTTTGAAAAAAAACCAATCAATTTTTGGCATTATTGGACAATTTTGTACTCCTGCATTGTCGAACCCCGTTAAATCCATTAAAAAATTGAAAAGAAGCTTACTTTTCCCGAAGCGGTTCATTTGCTATAATCTGAAACACTTTTTTTCTTACGGCTATCATGTACCTTGGCACTCTAGAGCGCATCCTTACTGACAAATCAACAATTCACATTTAATTAGTTTTGCTGGTAAATGAAAAAAATTTAAAATTTGTTTTTGGGCACAGGTAGTTTCCATTAATTTTTGTGAAGACTTCAAAAACAGTTAAGTACTACTATGCTCCTAATTACCATTACGCGCGAGTTAAAAATGTTTGCTTGCTCCTACACATCAAATTGTAGTATTGTAATCATTTGAGATCTTTTTAAATACCCCCCCCCCATTATTGCAAAAGGGCGGCAAACTCAATCTAGGTACAAGAGGGAGGGGGTAGTTAACAAGATCTGTCATATGTTTGCTAGGAGCTCAGCTAATAAATACTAAGTAATTCATAGTCAAATGTCAAGGATTGATTAAGAACTGATTATGCACGACTCCGGTGAAACATTTTTTGGAACAGTAGTTTTCATTTTCTCTGATTGTATGACAGCAAAGAGTGTAATTTTAAAAATTTTGGCTTTTAAAAACTTTGCCTGAAACAATTTTGGTTACAGAATTCGCACGTGAAATTGTTACGCTTTGTACTTGCTTTTTTATAAATTCATATTCAACCATCCAGCTCATCAGGCATAGAGGTAACAAACATGCTTAAGACGGCACAGGGTTGTGGTTTCTATCCATACGGGGCTGTTTTTTTTTTGTAAATGGAAAAATTTCGGCTTCTTGAGACTCGTCTGTCTCCTTATTTTTGTCGGTTTGGTGCTTGCAAAGAATTTTTTTTAATGGTTTGGCTTCTTTATAGCAGTCTGAAAGCTCTTTGTAAAGCTTCTAATGGTGCTGGTGTTTCTGTTTGATGATCTTTGGCTTTTAAGCAATTTTTAAATTTTTTCATTTGTCTTCTGATTAGTTTTTACTCATTGTCATTCATTTTTGTATCGCAAGTGGTGCAAATGTCACACAAACACAAAAATTGATTGGTACAATTGATTAATGTTTATGACAAACAGCTTTCGCTGAGGTAGTTGCTATCGGGCAAAAAAAACAGCTAATCCATTGTTCCTTCACTTCGTAAAGTGGTCGGGAGGAAGAGTGGCCTTTTTTATTTCTAAACCGGGTTTTTCGCTGCCAGACCATCAGATCGATATTTACAAAATTTTCATAATTTACACAACTCATTTTGATCTGTTTCGAACGAATTTGACCCATTCAGTAGCTTCTGCGTATTTTTTGATCAAACAAGTCAAACATATTGACCCATTTTTAGAATTGAATTTGGAATCCTGTTTGTGAACAATAAAGTGCGATTTGTTTTTATGGGCACAATTCTAGTCGAATTTTGTTATTATTTTCTTGTTAAAGATTGGCTCAGTCTGAGAAAAAGCTGTTAAGTTCTTCAGGGTTTATTTGCTTTAACCAGATTGTCCTGAATTTTTTGCTGGGCTCAATGAAGTATCACCCGTGATTCGGATTTCAATAAAAATCAAAAAAGTTGTCTCATTGGCAAGAAAATGCCTTTGATTTTCCAATTTTCAGACTTTTCCGCACGCCTTTTCTATGATTTTTCCGTTGTTCAGACTGAGTGACGCGACGATTACGATTGGCATAATAAAATGTTTTACTCTCAGTTGAGTTATTTTGCATCATTTTAAAGTTAATTTAGCTATTCTTGATTCTAGTCTGGCAGATTTGTTCGTAATAATGCAATGGCTCTAACTAAAAAAAATGAGACAAGAAATATTTTAGTTTTTTTTGCAATCCTTTTACTTCAATCTTTTTGATCGGAATATTTTGTGCTCCTTGCCTAGCTCGGCATTTAAAAACTTGTAAACGCTAGTTTTCGATTGCTAGAAAAATTTGTATTTAGAACCGGAGTTGTACGAGTAGCACACCTTTTCGAAAAATTTTTGTTAATTCCGCATAAAAACCTATCGGATATCCGTGCTGGAATCAAAAACTTACCGGATATCACTATCTGGTACAATTCTGGAGAGAAAAAAGTCAGATCCGTTGATCAATTGTTGTCTGCTCGCGTTTGGCCTGTGTTAGTAGAAATTATGAGTCTAACCATGGTAATTACCCTTTCGATCGACAAGGGTATTGCAATCGGGTACTGGACCTTTTTCCCGTAAAAATTTGTTCACAGGCCTCATCTCCTGGACTCATTAATCTCCTGGTCCTCTATGTTGGAAATACTCCATGCTTATTTTGAGTTTGTTAGCATTTAAAATATCCTTCCTATTTGTAATTTGCTTGTTATGTTGGTTGTAATATTACCAACTCAATTTGTTAAGATTTCATTACCCCCCTTTTTCGGCTTAATAGGTTTCAGCTCATTTCATATCAGCTTCGTGGCCTCAATTTGCGCTGTTTTGATGAGCAAACAAATTTTTGGGTACGTGTGTAAGTTTTGAGGGGAAAGCTGACTTGAAAATTTTTAAATTAGTTTCTAATCGTTATGGATTTTTTCGACTTGAACGGTTTTTGCTTCGGTATTTTTGGCTTTATTAACGCTTGAGATATGACTCTGACCCAATCTGAGCGATAAAACTCCGGGCCCAAACTTTTGAATACTCAAATCAACCCCATTTGGACCTCTAAAAAATTTAATAATTGTTAACAATAAAAAAAAATTCAATTTTAAAACTTTTGATTTCATTTTTCTAGTTTTTATTCAACGATGAATTTGTTCGAAGTCTTCTTTGCTAGTTCTTGAGCGTCATGCTGTTTCGATCTTATACTTACTGTATCGCAAGTGGTGCGAAGCGCAGTTTGGCCTCTGTGTTTAAATACTTGAAATATTTTTCCGACCAACCCAAGTGGATTTAACTATGGCACAGGCTGGCCCCATGCTACATGTTTTTAGTAGACTGATTAAAAAACCTTTATGGATCCATTTCAGTCGTAATTTGAGCTCAGATAAGATATCTTTAAAAAATTGCGTCTTTTTGCCTCTTGAATTAACGGCGGATTGTGGATGAGAATCAGTCGCTCTCAAATTTGTTTGACTGTATACAGAGATGTGACTGGATATGGGAGGGGGCAGACGCTCTTTCCCCTCCGGGAATCGACCTCATCGCCACTTAAAGGTTCCCTCTTTGCGATTATTTTACAGCCTGAATACATTGTATATATTGTTTTAATACTAGTTTTTCAAAGCCTATTAAGATTTAAGTGTTCCCTCGTAATCATTTCTAAACCAAATCAGAATGGAAAATGAATATAAAAAATGTGATCATGACCTTCTGTGTTTGTTGCAATGCTACAGAGTAGTTTTGATTTTGTCCCAAAATGATGACTTTTTGATCTGAATTTTAAAATAAATTGCATAACTAGGATTTTTATTAAGTTCATTGTTTGAACTCTGTATTGACTTTAAGTTGCGGTATTTGCCTCTTTGAGTCTGTAAAATTTCCTCAAATTTCCCGAATTCAGCTTGTCAAAATGACCACTGATGCTAGTAATCTGATTATTGTATGACCATTACTGATTTTAATTGATTTCGCTCTTTTCTGGCATTTATTTACTATGTAAATAAAATATTTATTAGATTATTTGATGTCGGATGAATTTTTAATAATTTTTTCGTCGATCTAGTTTTCATGTCCATCTGAAGTTTGACATCAGCTTGAAATTTCCAGTCGCTGCCAAAAAGTGAAACTTCCTCGCAACATTTTACCATTTTCTTCCCACATTTCCTACACTCCACATGTTACTGTGGCAACAAATTCTAACCAATATTTCAAATTTCCAGTAATTTAAAAGCAACTTGCAATTGAAATAACAAATCAGTTGAGATATATTTTTGATTGGTTGGCGATCGATCGGAGATGAACTTCTTCGATTCTCGTCCTCGTCGGATAGGAGGGCGGCAGGAACATCTGTTCATGCTGTTCTCCTTCGCCCTCTCCCTTTCCCTATTTCATTCGGTTTCCACTGCAGGTAATTAATACATTCTCCTCAGTGAAGTAAACTTTTTAAAATTAAGTTTTCATTGATTTTTCATCGTTTTGAAAAAATGTTCCAATTAAAATTTTCATTGATTTTAAAAAAAAATTTGATCGGGCAATTAAATCGCAAAAATCAGGATTAATGGATTAATTGGGACCAAAATAAAAGATATATCAAAATTGAACGATATCCACTTCGCATCCGCTTTCTCATGCCTTTGTTTTTTTTTGTGTGCTTTACCTCAAATGATTGTCAAGATGATGCCGAGTGATATGTCATATATAATCATTTTTAGTCATGATTTGAGCTGCAATTAAATTTCAAAAATTGTGGACTGATTTTGAGTACTCTTCACTCTGAATCAGGCGCGGATCTAGGAATTTCTCAAGGGGGGGGGGGCGGATTTTCGAAAAAATTTTCTGAGCTAACCTAAACCACTATAAAGACCCTAATTTGGCCAAATTTTCTGCGCCGCAGGCAAGCAGGCAAATTTTTGAAAAAAGGCGTTTTTAGGCTTTTTTTGGAAAATTTCGACCGAAAAATCGCGTTTCTTCGGCGCGCGCTCCCCCTCAAAATTGGTATAGATTGGCGCCAAAGGTGCATTTAGAAAATGTTAGGGTTGGTTAGCCGAAAATGGATGTCATAAAATAATACCAAAGGGGAGCCCTTTGGTTGTTGAGGGGGTTGAACCCTGAGGGCTGGGGGGGGGGGGCGTCCGCCCACCCCTAAATCCGCCTCTGATATTATCCAATTTTCGTGGTAAAAAAAAGAGCTGAATCCAAAATTCCTCCTCACCGTTGGTGGTCTGAAAAAAAACTTGATAATTTTATACTTATCTAACTGTAGAATACGGAAAATGTACTCTCAAATTGCAAATGTGGAAAATATGACTAGACAATGCAATCCTCGATATTACAAATGGAATATTTAAAATATCCAAAAATCAAATTATAAGAATTTTTTGGTGTTTTTACAGTGATACTTTAGGGTAGAAGCGCTCACGCCGTAGTGTACAGCGGACAATAAGTGAAATGTATCACAAGCAATGATTACGGGCACTTTTTTGATGCATGTTGTCGCAGCCCAAAATAGTTCGAAAAAAAAACTAATTTCCTTATTGTTACTACCACTGAATTAAACTCGAATGCAATTTAAAATGAAGAAGCAAATTCTGTTAAATTTAGGCATGACAGGGACTCCGCAAGGCGGCGGATCAACCGATTCCTACACCCATTCCAATCCATCTTCAGCTGGGGTCACTATAGGTTGGATAACTTTCATTAATTAACTCTGATACAGATATCACGAAAAATTGCTAGTTTCGCTATATATGAGTTGCAACTGTTATGATCTTGGATCTTTTCTGGTTCATGCATTTCATTTTTGACAGTTAAATTGATAAAATGTTGAATATTGATAAAATGTAGAAAAATTGGCAAGTTTAGTTCAGGCTTTGAACATTTTTACAGTCAAGTGCCTCTTTTTATACTCAATTGTAATTTTTAAAGTTTCATATAAAAGTAAAATACAAAAAAGCCGAGATACTTTCGAGGTCACTCGTCGTTTTCTGTGCAATTACAGAGCACGCAGGAGAGTGTTTTGCTGACTCGGACTGTGCGAGTAGTGGTGCCGTGTGCTCTGCCGACGGCAGGTGTGGCTGCCCGGAAGGCGCCACCGAACTCTCAATCTGCGAGGCCAAAGGGTGTGCCATAGATGACCCCAGTTGTAATTGCGACACTCTGGGATCTCTGTACTGTCTACGTAAGTAGTTTCCAAAAAGTGATGAACAATTCAGCTCCTGTATTATATTCTTCTTGAGCAGTTACTTGATTTTTAATTTCGCGTATAACTTTCTGCCTTATAAAGTGTTTAAAATAGGCAAAAACTTGGGAATTGTACTTCCATTAAGAAAAAAACGACTGATTGTTGTAACTGGGTGTTCGAAAAGGGAAATAATTATTGTAGTTTCAGATGAAAGAATGCTTTTATTTTTGAATTCTGCATTATAATGATACTTTGTCTGAATTATTTCATTCTTTTTTTTTAAAATTAAAATGATTAATATGGGATCGGTTTCGCAATCACCTCATAGTACAATTTGTCCCTTCTTTGCATAACCCTTCACCCCAAGCAAGGAAATTTATGAACCTACTGTACAATTTCACCCTTCAGCAAAAGAGGGATTCTAATGTTGATTACTAGAAATCGGTAAGTTAAAATGTGTTCGTTTTGTCTGTTGCAGCTGCGGGCGAGTGCCTTGACAGTTCAGACTGTGCCTCCAATGCCGTGTGTGACAATGGCAGCTGTGTCTGTGACACTGGATTCACCGGCCTCATGATATGCCCAGTCGGGCAGCCTTGTGATCTCAAGGGCGTCAACTACTGCCTGAGTGAGTGCTTTTCAATTGATGTTTTGAATAAAAAGAAGGTTTTGGGGTTTGAATAAGTTAAATGTAATACCTAAATTTTCGATCGCCAAAAGCACTTGCTCATTTTTGTAGAACTGGACTTGCACGCAAATCTTGAACTTGAATCATTATCTAACAGGTTTTAATTAGCAGTTGAAACAGATTCAAAAATTTTTTATATTGCATTTTTATCTAATAGATCTGTTTACACTTGCGAAGCGAGTGTATTAGTACGAACCTTCTTTTTTTTCCAATCTAAGTCGCAAATATTGGTGCCACTTTTGGGGCACCTTTACAGCTTTTTGATAGCATGTGCTTTGACATCTGAGTACTAATAAGTTAACACAGTTGATGCGTTTTTAATTTATCAAATGAACCGAAAAAAGTGATTTGTTTCAAACACAACATAACAAAAATGAAAACTCGATTCCCGAAATTTTCTCAATATATCTCGTAATGTTTTGAAATGCATAATTTGTACATAATGTGGTTCTATGCTTTGCGATTTGTTACATGCAAAGTTAGTGTGGATGCCTCGAGTTTGTTATATTTCAAATTTTTACATGCAAAATTGAGTCTATTTGTATTTGGTGCCACTTTTTCTGAATGGCATTGGCAAGTTATTAGCTTATGTAGCTGCTTTATTGGTGACTAGTATTTGCTGGTTGTTAAGCTTGCGTGGTGTAGTGGATAGTGCGTGAGACTTAAAATCTCTTGATTGCAGTTGGTCGCAGATTCGAAACCTACATGTAGCCGAGTTTTTGCTAATTCGAGGCTTATTTCTGTTTTTTTCTTATTCCACTTGATAGAGCTGCTTTTTGGTTCTCGAAAGTGTTTGCGAAGAGCAGCTTCGCCTCCGTGTTTAAAACATCTATTGAACAGATTAGTTAAATAGTCAGCAATGGTTTTAGTTTAATAATATGAAACTTCGAGTTTTCTTTTGGTTGAAATAAGGGTATTGCAACAGTATACAAGACTGTTTTCCCGTTGAAAACTTTGTCCACAGATTTATCTTAAAAATTTATTCCGCTTAAGTGATGTCGGCTTCTGTTAAATTTGATGTTTGAAGAGGTAAATAGTTGTGTTTTTGTAGTGAGTTGTGAAACTTTGTAGCTCAGGTTATTTATAACAGCAATTTTCTCTTGGGCTTAACAGGCGTCTACGAAAGTATTTTCGGCTTAGTTGCCGAGTGGTAAATTTTGCCTAATGCTTATTTAATGCTGTTGACCGCGGTTCACGGCATATTTTCCTCAAATTGAACAGAATTAGAGACGAGCATGAGAATTTTTTGTAGATGTATTATTTCGACATCCAAAAAAATTCAACTTTATGGCTTCAGTCATATTCTTTTGGCTATTTGTCACGCTAGCTTTGTGTTGTATCGAAAGCGGGGCTGAGATTTTCTTCAATTTTGTTAATATTTGCTCTGTTTTGTTTTGGTTTAGACATTTTGTTTTGGTTATTTTGCTTTTTTTCAGTGAAACTCATATATACTATTATGATTAACTCTTTAAACAAAATGAAAAACAAAGTTTTTGATTAGCAGGTAGTCATCAAACCCTGAACTGCAGTGAAGTTATGTAGTTTTAAGATGAGCGTGGTGTCTGATATTCAATTTTTTGGGTATGTGATTTGCCATTTCTCTTTGTTGCATTGCAATTGTAGAAATTGGGTACAAACAGTTTCGAATTTTTTGAATGATTCTTTCGAAAATTTGAAATTTTTACAAATTTGACCTTATTTGAATGGGATTAAGTGACCTATTTGAAACTTTATTTTCTCGCAAGTGGTGTTAAACTGGGCGGTTTTTGAAAAAAAAAGTCTTGAATATCAATGACGTTTTGTAAGGTCGACTTAAAATTTTACCAAGCTCTGAAAACTGTATTACGACATTAACCTGTCATAATTCTCTAAGACCTAAATAAATTTTCAATTAAACGTGCCCCAAAGGCTTTTTTTGGAACTTTTAGTTATATTGGTTGCGTTGTTTATGGGCGTTCTCTTCCTAAAAATTAAAAAAAAAATTGATGTGGCGCCTTTTGAAAATTTGAGGGTTGGTCTTCTAGTTCGGAACTTTAATATGTCATTATAATTTTTATTTATAAAGTCATTTTTGTTTCAGCCGACTTGTCTGGTTTCTAACTTAGTAATATTGTCTGGTTAATATTATCAAGCCTCTCAAAATTCTTTTTTATTTGCACTCCAAAAATTGTTTACTCTTCGTATATTAGTCTAGTTGTCATTTTAAATTAGTATATTTTAATTTTCTTCCTTCAAGATGTTTGTGGATTTTTTTTCGTATCAGATTTGATTCACGAGTCGTTGGGAGGCGTTAAAAAAGTAAAATTAGCTTTCATTGTTTTTGTTTACAATTTTAATTATAGTTTTTCTGGCTTTTGGACTAAAATTTGCCACTTTGTGGGCGTATGTAGAACGTTCCGCCATTTTTTATGGTTTCAAACAATTTAAATTTCTTCAATTTCTTAATTTTGAATTTCTTTTGCTTTTCTGTTTTGATTCTTTTCTAGTTTTATTGTGTTTGCTGGCTAATATGGAATTAATGTCAGTTGACTCACGTTTTTGTATTTTGGGTCACCTCAAATTGCTTCAATAATTTGTTGACAGAAAAGGCCATTTGTAAATTTAACAAGACTGCTCGTATCAGGGCGAAGCCCTGAATGTTCCGACTGCCTTTTAAGGTTTATGGAGCAGCAGTAATAGCATAAAAAAATTAAATGAAATAAAATAAAATGAAATTTTTTTTTTCTAAAATTTTGAAGTTTTTATGAAAATCATCCCCCCACACGCCATATAAAGTACAAAAAGAGAGATTTCGTTCCTTGTAACAAATCAATTATGGCCAAAAAGCTTCTTTCAACCAATTTGGAACGATTTCTAAGACGGATTAAATCTCGCTTACGCGTTAATAGCGCGAAAGATATCGCGCGTTAATTGTCCCAAATTGCACAAAATGACCAAAATGGCAATCTTTAAACCCTCATAACTCTACGAAAAATGATCACAGGTGAAATATCTTTTCAAATTTAAGCTCAGGACAACAATATCTTTTGAATGACATAAAAAAAATTCCGTCAAAAATGGCTAGTTAAAAAGTCGAAATTTGTCTGAAGAAAAAAAAACCCACCCCGAGCACAAATATTCCGTTACTTTCGTATCGAAAGTCGGAACAATAACGTATATAAATTGTAGGCAACTAAATTATTTGCAGAAAAGACCCTTTGTAAATTTAATAACGTATATAAAAGATAGGCAACTAAATGTTGTTTCTTTTCCAGTCGACGGCAGTTGTCTCGACGGCGATGACTGTCCAGCTAATTCGCAGTGTGTCATGGGGGAGAATGGGACTGCGGGGTCGTGCAGATGTGACGTCGGCTATGAGGGGCTCATGGTGTGTCAAGACCCCGACTGTGATCTTCCCGGAGACAATCTCTGCCTCGGTTTGTCACTATTTTCTCGGGCGCTACTGTTTGAAGAGGAAACATATTTTGCATATTGGGGGAAGGGAAGCTACGAGTTTCTGACGTTTGCTCTTAAAATATGTGAAATTTGCACCAGATTTATATCCCGAAATTATTTGAATTTGTCTAACTTTTAGTGTTCGTTTTCCTGATTGATTAAGCTTAACAGTTTACCTAGAATTCCCCTGTCTTATTTTGCTTTTAACCGAGAAAGACTTCAAGCGGTTTGATTTTGAAGTTATTTCTTAATAGAGTTTGTCCTTGCAAGAAATTTTGATTGTCGTTTCAGCTGACGGCAGCTGTTTGGACAGCGAAGACTGCGTAGACCCAAACGACTCTTGCGACGAAACAACTGGATACTGCTATTGTCACCAGGGTTACATCAGACACAAGTACGATAAAGCCACATGCATTGGTAAGTATATTCCTACTTGATAGTTTGAATCGTCAATAATTTTGCCAAAAAATTTGAAAAAACGTGGTGTTCATTTGCGATATGACCAGATCATTAGAGTTCACTAGCCTAGCAGAACCGGAAACTGGGATTTCAAATCATAATAAAATACGTGTTTATTATTTTTAGCCTGGTGATTTTTTGCCTAACATATGTTAAAAAATTGCATGAAGGTTTCAAGCCTGAAAGAATTTCAGATCTTTTGTGCATACTTTTGAGTTGTTCCGTTTTTCAAAAAAGATAAAAAGTAACTCAATCATAGGACTCCATTGTATGTTTCTGTATTTTGTAGACCAATGTGTGTGGCCCCCCAACTCTGCTCCGGATGACTTCCTGCCGAGGGGTCTGGGCCAGGACTCCTCTCGCTACTTCTACAATCCAGACACTGGACTGTGTGAGTTCTACATGGTGTCCAATGCAGCAGAGTATTATGGATTCATCGACAAGGCCAAGTGCGAAAACTGGTGCATGAGTAAGTTGACTAACTTCGTAAATTAGAAGAGATTTGATAAATAATATACATTTTTTGATCGATAAAAAAGGCTTGTGCATACATTCATTTTAGCGGAATAATTTGGAATTCTACAGTGATTCAAGTTTTTGTAGTGATTCAAGTTTTTGAAAAATCCATGTGATATTGCTTCATGATAACAATTTGAGGCTATCATCTGATGATTCTGTAAAAGTAATTGAATTGTTTGGTCTTTTTCTCATAGAAAAAATCATGCAGCTTCCAAAGAAAGAAGGACCCGACTACATGCTGAGCTGTGAGCCGGAGCTGCCCAAATTCCAGCGATTCTACTATGACTCGGACAGCCAGTCTTGTAAGCCGTTCGACTACCGAGGAGTGGGTGGGAACGCAAACCAGTTCAAGAATATGTCGGAGTGCAGAACGAGAACGACTGGCTCTAGTTAGTAGAAACGAGTACCTGATGTTCATTTACAGGGTTTCACACTGCCCTACTCCTGGTTTACTTTCTTGGGCCTTGCTTTCGTGGGGGAGATCGATCTCATCCATTTTGCCAAACCCGGTCCCACCTCGAGGTGGCGGATGACACTGGGACCTCTCTCACTGTTACCGATGTGTTGACGGCAGCGCGTGTTACCCATTCGGCCAAGGCCGCTCTTGGCATAGTTTTTGTTCTGAATTAAGAAAAAAATCAATTTTTAAACGGAGGTTTAACCTTTTCATTGGTAAGAATTTTTGCCGGAGGTTTTATACATCATTGGGGGTTTTATACATTATCAATTACCGATGTTTGCTCCATTGCGGCCGATCTATTTCAGTTAAGCAGCTGCAGTGCACGACCACCATAGACATGCTGGCCTTCTGCGACAGTCAGTGGGCGGAGATGAACAAACAGTGCAACATCTACAAGACAAAAGACAACGGGTGCATCGATGACATGTGCGAATGCCTCGACGACAAGGTCGGCTTCTCTTTAATTTCTGACCTCTTATTTTTCTTTTTAGTGCTTCTTTTTCCTGTCTGTAGCAAGAGAAAGTGCCTTGTAATTGAGAACTAGAATTTTTTCAGTGAACAATTTTTCAAACAAAAATTGCTTAAAGTTGAGTGTTTTTACTATAACGCTTGCGATCAATAAGTGTTCTTAAATCGTAACAGACTTTTCTTGGGTTATAAATCTGTCTGGTAGAATCACTAAACAATTCACAAGTGCCGACATGCTCAATGTCTGGAGATTTCATATTGAACTACAGGTTGCTATTACAGCGTAATTACACTAGCCAGCTTGCGAGCGTTAGTCTATTATTTCGAACCCTCTTTGCAAATAAAAGTGTTCATTGAAAGTGTTCACTTGTATGGCAATTCACTTAAGCATTGGAAATTGCATAGCATCTGTTCTCTACTTTATTTGTGGCTAGCGTTTGTCATCAATTAAGCGTCCGTGGCTGAGTGGATAGTGCATGAGATTCAAAAGCTCTAGGTTGATTCGAATCCGATACATAGCCGAATTTTTTTTACTGATTCGAGGCTTATTTATACCTTTTCTTATTGCTCTTTATAGGGCTATTTTTGTCATGTTCTCGCTAGTGTTTGCGAATCGCAGCTTCACCTCTGTGTCTTGATTTTGGTATTAAATCGCGACATTCTCTATTACGCGTTCTTGTGATATTGCAGAGCTCTTCCAAACTTGCAATCAAATTTTTTTTCTTTGGGTTTTTTTTGGTAGCTTTTTTGTTTGCTCGTGTTCTCGTTGCTCGTGTTCTCGTTGCTCGTGTTCTGGTGACAAATTAGTTTTGCCCAATCTGAGAATACTAATTCAATTTGAAAAAATAGCTCGTGAAAATTTTTTGTATAAAATCAGTTATTGCCTTGAGAAAAGACCATTTTTTGACTTTTTGACCGTTTTTGTGAAACTTCTCTTTAGAACTACCTTGCCAAATGAAATTAAGGTTTCAATTGAAAAAAAAACGGTTTGTGCAAATCTTCTCTGCATAAGCAGCTAAACATTTATCTTTGTAGAAAAAAATTACAGCCTTGGATGGCCAATTTTTGAGTTTTCGTTATTTTGACTGTTTTAGTGAATTTTTTCACTTTTCAAGGATTTAATTGGAAAAACAGGTTCTGTGGATCTTCTGTGCTCAGGTTGTTACTCATTATATTGGTAATGAAACCGCTATGGATTGGAGAAAAGTCCGCTTTTTGACTCTTAGATTATTTTTTGTATTTTTTCTTTCAAACGGATTGTCTTGTCTGGCGCGTTTGCGTGCAATCATGCTTCAACGTTGTAATAAATTATGGCATGAAAATTTGCTCTTTCTTGTTCTTTCTTGGTCTTTCATGTGCAAAGCAAGCTAGGCAGTGTGTACCAAAGCATAATAAATTTTATAACACCGTTCAGGGGTTAATCGATCTCTATTTTGAAGTAAGTCATGGGCATGGGGCTACAACCTTGCGCGCAACTAAATTGTATCATTTTTTTAAACTGAATTTTGCGACTCATTTAAGTAAGATGTGCTTTTTAAAAATATCACGTTAATGTGAACCGCACTGTCATGCTGGCAGCTTTGTAGCTCCAAGGCAGGTCGTATTAGCTCTCAAGTTCAGTTTCGACTTTCGCCAGCCTTTCTTTTACCCATTTTTTTTAGATATGGAGCGTTGTACGGTCTTATTGTAAAATATCCAGATTTATTTTTTCACACTTTATCGCGCTGTCATCATCACTCATTACGCTTCACCTTCGCATCTTTACAATATATTCATAAAATATCGAACAGGTATCTCCAACCTTAGCTGTGCGACTAATTGACGTACAAGAGACTGTGGTACAGCTACGAAAACTTGAAACGCCTATTTGACGGGTCGGAAATTTAAATCCGGAATTTCGAAATAATTTTTTTTTAATCTGGTCGTATACGTTTGCTGCCTAGCTTTGGCAATTGTTTAGCAACTGTAGCTGCTTTATTGGTAGCTAGTCTTTGTCATCACGCGATCGTGGCGCAGATGCGAGGATGTGAAGTTGTCAAGCAATCGTGGCGCAGATTCTAATACGTGAGACTCCTTATCTCCAGTTCGGAGGTTCAGTTCCCGAATATAGCAAAAGTTTTATCTTTCAAGACTTATTTTAACGTTTGCTTTTTTCTTAATTTTACCTTAATTTTACTTTTTCAGAGCTATTTTGCCGCTTTCTTGGTTGTGTTTGCGAGGTGCAGCTTCAATACTGTGTTTGCTCTTGTTTTTGTTTTGTTTTGTTCGGAAAAAAAGGTTATTAGTTGCTCACGCTCAAGTTTTTTTTTTCAGTTCAATCCAAATTTATTTGCTAATTGGTAGAATTATTACGCTTTCCAAAAAATTGCAAAGGATGCAAAAAGTATTTTTTTATTTCAAAAATGGAATTCAATTTTCAGAGTCCCTTGTTAAATAAGAAATTTTTTTTTTCGGCCTAATTTTCTCTAATTAAGTTACTTTTATAAAAAATTTCTTTTGAATTTCTAAAATTTCATTGTTGTTTAAAATGTCTTCTTAATTCAAAAACCGAAAAATGTTTGATTGTTCAACTTTTTTGAAACTCGTAATGTAATTATATTTGAGAACGTAATTATATTTAATTTACTGTATTTTTGGACTGTCTGTTTGCTGTGTTTTATGCTTTTAACCGAGTATTTTGTGAAATAAAGTTCTACGGTTTTTGTCCAAGAGTTTTTTATATATTTGCTGGAGAAATTTCGACTTTTAGGTTTACTGGAAATGATACAAAAGCAATTAATGACTGAATTAATGGCTACTAGGTCCATTTTTTTTCATTATTTTATTCGTTCTCTGGTTGATCATGTTTTAACACTGTCAAAGCTGAAGATACTGTTGCTGCAACGACAATTCAAGTTGCAACAGTGTAGCAGCATTCATGATCAACGGTGGATATAAAGATTGCTAATTGGTTCTCAATAATTTTTGCCACGAATTGTTTTTGCTGACTTGACTCGGGTAAATAGGTTTTAGCCTTGTGGCCGCAAGCTTGTTCCCATTTTAGTCGTAGCCATCTTGAATGACTAGTCTAATTTTAGGCACAGTGTCTGTGAAATAGAGTTTGAAATCTACAATTCGGCGCCTCGTTTTTTTTAAGATCATTTATTGTTTCGACTTTTCATTATTACTCAATTAAGTCTTCGGCTCTACTTTTGCGAAATATTTTTCACGTTTTGTGATAATGTTGTTTATCATTATCTGGAGAATAGAAACTGAAACAAATTCCCCGCTTTTACTTTTATCATTATAGGCAAGTCATGAAAAATAGAAAGTGTTTTCTGAATTTCATTGTTTAAAATTTTAAGTTTTTTCTTGAGTTTTTTGGCATTCTCGTTTGAATCTTTATTTTGTCGGTTAGTTTATCATGCTATCTATGGGTTTTATCAAATGTAGCGCAATGATTGGCCTCTCTTAAAAAGTTTTGAAGGTGCAGTTTTTTCGGTTCCAAGATTTTGCACTTTTTTGGGAAAAAATTATTTGAAGTTTTTTGCTCGATTTGTTGGTTCGTCTGCAAGTAGAAAGGGTCATTCATTTTTCTAGCGCAAGTGGTTCGAAGCTCTGCTTTGCCTCTGTGTTAAAACTTTTTGAATGTTTTCTTTTGGGAATTTGCAATTCTTTTTTTGCTTTTTTCCTGATTATTTCTCAGTTTCTTTGTAAGGATTTTCAGAAGAGTTTTTCATTCCGAATTTTTTCTTGCTGGATTTTGAAAACTAATTGTTGTCAAAAGAGTTCTGATTCTTTTTAAAATCTTCAATAAGTTTCTGCATTGCCTGCGATTCGCCTCTGTGTTAATGAGGTTGCTCAAGTTTAAGCAAACCAAGAAATTGTGAACAAAACAGCGATGAATGAACAAAACCGATCTTAGGCACAATAATCAAATCAATGATGATTGTGCCAATGAGTTGAAGTTTCTCCATGTGAACCCATTTTACCCCATTAACTATAATTTTTAAGCTATTGACTATTTTAGGAAGAAGTCGAGGAGCCCTATTTGAAATCGGAAGACGAGACACTGACTAAAGCCAAGTGGGGTCATTTCCAATGTGGAGATCGCTCCCACGCCATCAAGTACCGAAGATGGAAGAAGAGCTTCGCCTGTGAGTCGCTGGAGGGCGTCTTCGAGGGAACATGTCCGGACAAGTCCGTGTGCGTGAACATAAACAGCACCATGAGAGAGACTATCACGTGTGAGTGTAAAGAGAACTACATGGAAGTGTATCAACCTGATGCGAAAGATCTTCTGGACTTCACTTGTGAACCGGGTATGTTGAGTTAATTTTTTTTGTTTAACTGTTTAAGAGTATACTCTTAAACAGTACCCAGTTTAAACAAAAAAAAATCGTGAAGACTTATGTATAGGTCTTGCTGATTTTGTTAGTTTTTTTTTTCAAGAAAAGTCTCTAATAACAACAGATGTGCATTCATACATATTGATGCATTTATGAATGCATTAGGGATCTTGTTATTTATTCCCCCCCCCCCCCCCCCTATTTCGATTTTCAGAAATTCAACTTGGGCGGCGACATTTTCAATAGCTTAAAACAATTTTCACAAAAAATAATATATCTAAAATTTTTTACGTGGGTATTATATAAATAGCGAGTAATACAAAAACAAACGCGCGAAAATGAAAACCCTCTTAATTGTTGACATTTTTGAAATGCATATTTTATACAGAAATGGTTTTCAAAAATAATACATGCATAGGGGGAAATAGTTAACAAGATCCGCACTTAGTTATAATGCTCTTTTTGAGTTCAATTGAAATGCATCTGCTGAAATGGAGGTAAAAAGCACTCTCCAAATACGAACGTGGAAATGGCGCGAAAAAACGTGAAGAATTTCTAGCTTCGAAAGTGGAATTTAATTTTTAGATTTCGAGCGGAATAAAAACTTCTCTATTGATCCAGTTTTCTCAAGTTGGGTTCATGTTATCAAAAAAGCGCCAGTCATAAATTGTTCTAGAAGTTCAAAGAGCTTAAAGGGTATCTAATTTTTTCTTTAAAATTCGAAACTTGAGATTTTTTCAAGAAAGTCAGTGATTCTATTATGTTTACTTGCGTTCATTACTCTTTTCCAATCTTCGATGGATTGTCCCTGGGCACTGATTATCCGGTATCTGCTTTTGGCGAGGTTTCGCTTTATGGAAAATGTTCTGGTTTTTTTGAGCGAGTTGAACTTACTTTCTGATCGATATTTTACATGTGAAGTCAACTTCAGAGCTCACCTTTAAGATGATTGAACGCCCTCAGATTTTCATACATTTCAGAGCCTCGCCCGTGTTTTGGGGAAGGGAAATTCAATGTCACAATTGGAGATGTCGACTATTGTCTCACTCTCAAATGCGACGAAAAGAAATCATTCTGCGATTCCCAACTGGATTGTATCGCTGGCGGCGGGTGGCTGGTCGAAAAACCATCTGACGTCAACGTCGAGACATTCTACACATCTCTAGCAGAGGTTTTGGAGGCTTCAAGTGCTTCTGTTCACTGGACCGGCTTGAGCGACTTGGTTGGAACTAACAGACTGGATGCGACTTCTGGATCTTCCAGTTTTAGGATCTCGAACGCGACCAGCAATAGACTGGATCGAAGGTGCATGGCTATGACCGGATCCAGCAACGTCGACTTGGGATCCTGTGCCGATAAGCATTGCTATATCTGCCAGACTCGTGAGTGATTTAGTCGCTACGCGATTATGAAACTTAATTTCTAAACGAATTTCAACTTTTAAATGTCGCTTATGGAAAGTATACCTCGAGAATGTTGTTTTCCAAGCTTTGTGGTTCATTCTGTGCTGTCTTCAAGAATTAATAGCCCCAATAAAAGTGTACTTGACTTTTGTACTTAATTAGAGCAGTAAAATTTACATGGCTTAAATGGAGTGAGATTTTGATGGCTTCAATGGGGTTTCTTCGTTAACTGTTTGTGGTTTGCTTGCAGCTACCTATGTGCGCAAGTGTCCCCTGAACTGGAAGCCAGTGAATGACGAGGTCGAGGGGGACTGTGTGTTCTTCTCTGACCAGCTCAGACTCACCCACACCAGGGCCAGCATGTACTGCGAGGCATTCGGAGCCCAACTAGTCACAGTGGACAAAAACATACACGCTTTCCTCGTCAGGTCACTACTATACCATGATATACAATGATCTTTAATTCAAACACATTTAATTAACTTAAGATGCTCTTGTCTTTTTGTAAAACTCGGATGGTAAATAGAGACTTTTAAGCAGCTAATTCAATAATCTTCCACTGTTACTGAAATTTAAAATGAAAATCTTGTTCTCCATATAGTAGTTTTTGTTCAAGTACTTTTACGCAAGAAGAAGGTGTTAGCTGTAAATGTTAAACGCTTTGCATAAATTAGCCCTTTGTCTACTGTTTGATTATCTCCTAATTGTAGTCAATTGTAACTTTTTTGTTGTGTTTTAGCTTCTTGTCCGGGTAAGTCTTGCTCGTTCAAGATCAAAATTTGTCCTACTACTGTTGGTGGCAAAACCCGTTCCAAAGAAACTAATTTCATATATATTGTTTATTAATTTCTCATACTCTTTCTAATACATTATTTTGTTTATTTCAGACTCAACCCATACGACGCGTAAGTTAACCTTTTCGTTGTGATAGTTCTTGTGAGTAGCATTTTGTTATTCCTCGCGGGTATCAAGTCAATTGTAAATGAATCCGAGCTTTTTGAGCTCTTTAAGGTCAGTTTTCATCCTATAAATTTTTTCTCCTATTTGATTTCTCAATTCATAGAATCTGGACATCTGGCGTTGCCTGTCCCGAAGGACAGTCCCCTTGTGACCTCTACGTGAATGACGAAGTAGTGGACCTGTCAAGTCCGGATGAGTTTCTGTCCAGTGCTCTGGGCGACACCACCTTCACCTACTCAACTGCCGTAGTGTACCAGGCTGTGAAGGACACGAGGGAGGCATTCAACATGGCCAGTCGTCTGGATGAGAAGAGGTTCTTCTGCCAGATGGAACAACCATGTAAGCTGCCCATCATTAAAAGTAACAAAGACCACTAGTTTTGTCGTGTTTTGCGAAGCCAACAAGTATGCATTTTTAGTGTTGCATCTAAGCGTCCTTAATTGGCTTGTGCTTGTGAAACTTGCAAATTTAATTCAACCTACTGTAGAAATCAGTGTCAGCACATATAAATCAGTCTTGCAATTAAAATTCTGTTGGATGTTTCAAATGGTCTTCCGTGTGATTAGACGCAAGCCGGACTTTTCACGGATCCAACTTACTTGGTCGAAGTGTAATTAAATTGGTGTCGTCTTTTTGATGCCCTTAACATAGGGAGCTTTTTTGGTTATTTATTTCCATTGCAGCTCTGAAGAGTGGAAACTTCAAGCCGTGTACGTGTGGGACCCGTGCTTACAGTCGGCACCACAAGTGCTACCAGTTCCTGCCCTCATTTAACAACACCTGCGAGGAGGGGGGACTGACGGACGCCATCATCAGTGACACTACAATCGAGGAGCTGATGAACTACATGAGGAGTGAGATTGTGGATGTGTTCCAGAGAGTGGATCCCGCTATGAACACCTTCAGGGACATTGAGGCCAATCATCCACATGCACTCTACATCAGCGGAAGTTAGTGCTCCTTGTTTTTTTTTCTTTTTTACAATAACAAAGGCTTTTCCATCTTCGTTACGACCACTCGCCGAGTGAGAAGGAAGTTCGTCCGAAGGTGAGAAGGAAATTTGTCCCTCGCAAAATCAGGAAATGAAGAAACTTCAGAAAAAATTCAAAAACATTTCGAAAGTTTTAAAAAAAGATTGCTATGGTCGGTATATTTTGTACTACTTGCTTTGCAACCAGGCACGTTGTCAATCGTATTGCAAGAATGAATATACATTGCAAGTCCTTAATGGGTATTTTTATATTAAAGTTTATATTAAAGAATCTTTTCGGTAAATTTCAATTTAAAATAGGTAGTTTAAATCTTGGAAGTTTTAATTCCAATATGAGAAGAGGAAAATGTTTCAATAATCATCACTTAGCTAGCTCTAATGCTTCCATCTGAAATAGTTTAATCAAAAGTAGAGTGTTTAGTGGTAGTTAGAGTAACCACAGAATAATTTGCGTTGCAGAGAATGACCTTGGAGATCCTGTGTGCTACAAACTGAACAGCGACCCGGACGAGTTCGACGCCTTCGACCTAGTGGAATGCTCAACTGTAAAAGACACGATGCCAATGTGCTCATCACGTGAGTCTATTTCACTGTCAACTAATGATTATTGAGTTATATGCAGTTTATGGTTTTGTGCGTAAAAATTTTTCGCTATCACGATTTTTCGACGCTGTTTCTTATTCTTGGCTTGAGTGTAAATTGCTTAAAAATTGACTGTTGGAAAAAAAAACTGAATCAACTGCCGTACTTTAGCGAGATATATTTTTCAAGTCTTGATCACTAAAAGAGCCTCCACTTCCAAAAACTTTCATTGGTGATTTATTATTTTTCTGATAGTTTTGTCGCCTTAGATTGCAGAAGCAAACTGAGTTATGATAATGCGGAACCTTATTTTTTACTGGTGTCTAAAAAAACTTCTAGCAAGAGCTACTTAAATGTATATTCAATCGTTTTTCTTAGTTATTGATCCCATCTAGACAAGGGATGCGTGATGCTGACAAAATATTGGTGCATTGAATTAATTATATAAAATTGAATTGAATTAAAATTTTCCTAAGGCGCATTACGAAAATTCAATTATTCTTAACCAGTTAGTAGCAGCATTTTCTCAACTTTTGTGTGTACAAAAATTAAGTTTCCTCATGTAGTTTTTCAAAATCAGTTTGAGATTGATTAGGTTTTTTCGGAGACCTTATTAAAAAAATTGAAAGCTCCTGATTTTTTTGAATACTAAGGCATCATTTTTGCCTCCTAATTGAAGACTTTAATTGAATTGGTTTGGAAAATCATATAAATTGGTAAAAACCCGAATTGAAGTCCCTTGATCTGGTTTTGAGGTTTTGTGAGTCACATCCCTGTTATCTATCTTTTCCAAGAAAAGAGCAGGTTTCGAAGTATCTGAAAATGTTTAAGAAGACTTTCTAATGATGAAAGCAATCGGCTGTTTTTGTACGTGCGGCAAAAACACGTGTTGCAAAAACTTTTTTCCGGTTTTTTATTTTCTTTTTCTTGTACTTAGTCTTATTTTCGGTGATAAAGAATTTCAGCTTTTTTGTGTTTTGCCTTTTTGAAAATGAAAACGGTAGTTGACTCAATTTATAGACAATTTAAAAAGTGTCTTACCTTCTAGCGGATTTATTAATTACGCTTTCGATTAGCAGGCGTTGTTTTTATGTATTTTGTTTTGCCTTCTGAGTGTGTAAGTTGATTTCAAGAAGCTTGGATAAATATATTTTTCTAATTTTTTGTCAAAACTTTGTATAATTACCCTTGCGGTTAGCGTTATTGTAATTGGGTATTTCACTTTTCCCCTGAAACAACTTCACTAGCAGAATAGTGAAAGTTAGAAATGGCAGCTATAAGGAGGTGTGCTTGCACTTTAATTCTGTATGAGTTTTTACCTGCCTTATTTTTTTCTATTATTGTCGGTTGAATTTTTTGAGGTCGAGTTTTCTCTTTCAGATTTTTTGTTCCGACTTTCGATACGAAAGTAACGGAATATTTGTGCTCGGGGTGGGTTTTTTTTTTCTTCAGACAAATTTCGACTTTTTAACTAGCCATTTTTGACGGAATTTTTTTTGGTATCATTCAAAAGGTCTTGATGTCCTGAGCTTAAATTTGAAAAAATTTTTTACCTATGATCATTTTTTGTAAAATTATGGGGATTTAATAATTCCATTTTGGTCAATTTGGGTCAATTAGCGCGCGATATGTTTCGCGCTATTAACGCGTAAGCGAAGATTTAATCCCTCTCAGAAATTGTTCCAAATTGGTTGACAGAAGCTTATTTGCCATAAATGATTTATTACATTGAGCGAAATGTATTCTTTTGTACTTCACATGGCGTGTGGGGGGATGATTTCTTAAAAAAAGTTTCAGATTAAATTTTTTTTTTACGTTAAATTTTTTAACTACTGCTCCATAAACCTTAAAAGGCAGTTGGAATACTCAGGTCTTCGCCCTGATACGCGCAGTCTTGTTTCGGGCTTGTTTTAGTTTCAAGTTTGTAACTTTGACAAAACTGTTAATCTTGCTTGTTGAGTGACTGTTGTTTTTATTGTAGACTTTTTGGTTCATGTTCGTGATTTTTCACACAGGTTTTTTTCCGTATCGTTTTTAGATTTTTCGCTGTAAAAATTGATTTGTTAGTGCTGCTGGATCTTGTTAACTACTTCCCCCCCTTATTTCGATTTTCAGAAATTCAACTTCGGCGGCCACGTTTTCAATAGCTTAAAACAATTTTCAGAAAATATATATATTTAAAAATTTTTACGTGGGTATTATATAAAAAGTGAGTAATACAAATACGAACGCGCGAAAATGAAAACCCACTTAATTGTTGACATTTTTGAAATGCATATTTTATACAGAAATGGTTGTCAAAAATAATACATGCATAGGGAAATAGTTAACAAGGTCCAAAAGGGGGAAATAGTTAACAAGATCCGTGCTCTTTCTAGCCGATATCGTTGAAAGGCCGATAACCGTAGCGATTAGAAGATCAAGGTTCGGGAACCCTGAAGCGCTGACAAATCAGAAAATACTGCTTTCAGAAATTTTAGACCGTGTTTATCTCAAAATATCGAAAAGATTTTATCGTGCTGAAATGTCATCTTAAGTTGTTTCCCGCTGCTTTTCCTGCTTGTTTCCAGCTATTCTTTGGCATTGAAATGCCTGGAATGAATTTCAATTTGTTTTGTATTTGGTTTGAATGAAAATATTTAGGTTCTTTTGCTTGATGTTTTTTTTTCAGTTTCAGCTAATTTTCATTTCATTTAGCTTTGCCTTAAAAATTGTTTTTTTTGCACATCAATTTTGAAGCAATAAATTATTGCCACGCCAAGGTAAAATATTACAGGTTTGGTTTTTAATTTTAGAAATATTTCAATGGTGTGCACTCATTGTCACTGTTTTTTTTTAAACAGCTTCATTTATCTTCAAAATAACATTTAATGCCCTTGCTTAATGTTGCTTTCTTAGTTCTGTTTTTTTTTGTCTCAGCATTTCTTAAGAAAATGTGCTAAATTAGGTTCCAGATTTTGAAATGTTGAAGTTTTTGGAAAAATGTAACCATAATAACTTAAGCATCAATTGTTTCATTTGTTCTAGTCTTTTTTTGTTCAAATGTCTTTCTCTGTATTATTTTGTCTTGGTTTTTTTAATGTGAAGTTTTTGCGTTTTTATATATCTGTCTGGTTACACTTGCGAGCTCAACAGCGTAGTGTATTACCACGAACCTTCTTTTCTTTCTAATCTAACTAGCAAATAAAAGTGTTCATTAGAAATCACCTAGTTTGTGGCCTTTTTGCCATAATTACGATCTGTAGTATTGGAAAATTTATAGCATATGTTTTGCTTTATTCGTGGCTCGTCTTTGTTATTTTTTTAAAATAGTTTTTGGCTTAGTGGTTAGTGCGTGCAACTTAAAATCTCTAGGTCGCAGATCTAATCTGACACTTTGCCAATTTTTATTAATTCGAGGCTTATTTCTTCTTTTTTCCTATTGCACTTTATAGAGTTGATTTTTGCCGTGTTTGCGAAGCTCAGCTTCGCCTCTGTGTTTGATAACACAACAATCAAAAAACGTTTTTTTTTGGTTTGGTCATCGTTTCAGCTGGAATTAGACTGAACTTGTTGTTCTGACCATTGAAACGGAAAATTCGATAGTTCCACGCAAAATCAGGTACCATAAATGATTGTCGGAATGGGTCAAGTGATATGTCATATTGAAGCTCTTTTCGTTGTGAGTCTAATGACTTTAAATAACTATCAAAAAATTTCCTGTTGAGAAAACCCGTTTATAACATTTTATTTTTGGTGTATTTCCGAGCGAGCAGGCTTATTTTTTTGTCAACCAAAAAGGTTTCCACTATTAGTTAGGAGATTGAGTAGGGTGATATATCATATTGAAGCCATTTTAGCCGAGATTCGAACGACTTTTCAAAAAATTCAAATAGTTGTCCCATTGTCGAGAAATAGTGGTTGACAATTTTTGAGTTTCATTACAATTTCGAGCGAGTTAACCGAGGGATCAAGCTTTTGGTAGAGCAGGCTTCTTAATGTTTTATTCCAATACATTTATTTTTTGAAGTTTTTTTTAGTGAAGTTTTGGGAATAAAAAGGTTCAAGAATGCAAAAAATTTTCTAAAAAATGGAAATTTTTTTGTTTTTCTTGTAATTTTTGACAGAAACTTTTGACCAATTTGCCCATTAAACTTTGAATTTTTTTTTGTCCAATCTAGCATATTGCTGCATCGCAAGTAGCGCAAAGCTTAGCTTCGCCTCATTGCACAAACTTGAAATTCGTATTAATGCTTACGATATCATTGATCTTTATGGAAATGTTTGCACTGTGATGCTTCGCTTCTATTTGATTCGAGTGCTAGCTAAAATTAGACGTAACGTGGAATGGTAAATGAGCACGTGGCCATAATTGTTTTTGATAGTTGAAATCGAAGGTCTGGAAACACTTAAGATTTGAAAAAAAAACCTGATTTGGTACCATTTTATGAACTAGCAGCGTAAATAAACGATAATTTTTGCTTTTGTTTTGGTAATTTGTTTTTTTTTTCAGGAGAGGAGAAGGTTTTTCTCATCTCGTCTTTGGTTAAATGGATTCCTTTTGTTTCAGCCAGTGCGACTGGATGTCCCGCCGAGATAGAATATGGCAACGGGGATTCCTGTTCAGGTAAAATAAAATTCAAATCAACTCTCAGCAATCTAAAATCGCTTCAAACCTTTGTTCACAAATAACTTCGGTCTCAGTGAAAATTCTTTTGCTGTTTTTTTTGTAAAACATGAAATGAGGTTAAAATTATAATTTATGATTTGTATATTTTTGCTGCGTGCTTGCATTAAACTCAGACTTAGTTACATACACGTTGTAACTTATCATGATACATTCAAAACTATATTTGTTCAATTGAGATCGTCGGTTATTTTTGATTATTTTCACATAAAAACGCTGCAAAATTCCATCTTTGACTTTGAGCATTAAAATTTTTTTGAATTATCGAAATCGGAATTTGATTGTGAAATTGGATTTGGGATTCTGAAAATGTCTGGAAGTACGCTCGTTACCAGCCAGTGGTTAAACGACCAGCTTATAAATGACAGAAAGAAGAAAAGAATCCAGATTTTAGACTGCACACATTACACAGACGGAACGTCGGCTAAGGATAAATTCGAAAAGCTGCACGTCAAAGGCGCTTACTTTTTCAACGTTGTTCAATGTGTCGACAAAACGAGTAAAATCAGCAATATGTTGCCGGCAGTCGGGCCCTTCAACGACTACGTCAGGTACTTCGGAATTGCAGCCGACATCCATGTTATATTATACGACCAGAGCGAAACTGGACTCCAAACGACACCTCGGGTTTGGTTCATGTTCAAAGCTTTATCCCACCGAAGGGTTTCGATCTTAGAGGGCGGGCTTCAAAAATGGGTCAAGGACGGGTTCCCGACTAGTGACCAGCTGACGGAATCTCAGAAACGGGAGTACAATGCAGGACAATGGAAGAGACGCGACTCCATGGTTCTAAACGTGAACGAAATGAAAGAACACGTGAAAAAAGCGAGCGAGGCTTTGAAGCAGCAAGGTGTTAGTAATCGAGGAAGTATATTGGGCGCAAACAACAGCAACTCTAGCCCTGAAATATCTAAGAACGCCATTAATATTAGCGGGGATACTGATGGCTCGAATAAAAGTGTATATCAGCCCGCGTTCCAAGTTATTGATACCAGGTCTCCGGAAGAGTTCATGGGTATCGTTGAGTCATCGCGAGGATTCCATACAGGTCATATCGCGGGGTCTATCAACATCCCGACCGACATTCTGGTGGATCCCGAAACAAGGTCGGCACGGAGTCCCGGCGAGTTGCGAAGGAGATTTCTAGATTACGGGATCGATGTCTTGTCAGACTCTAAATTAGTACTGCTCTGTAATACAGGAATGGGCTCGACCAAAGTAGCTCTGGCATTATTTTTGGCGGGTAAGTTGAGAATCTGCTTGTATGACGGGGGCTTCGAGGAGTTGACGAAAACTGTGGACAAAAAATTGCTGGTGGTCTCTAAGCCGATGATTGAGATAACAGAAAATGGACCTGACGATGGAGATACAATGAACCAAACCGAAACTGAGTTTGACGACGACACTGAAAGTAACCAAGCATCATTCGCAGTTGAAAACTAAACAAAGCATAATCAGTGGATATCGCATTTAATAACCTCAGATTGTTTTATAAGAAAGTTTAGAATTTAAAAATTGCTTGATTATCAAATATCGCTTTCGTTGAAGCTTGAGTAAAGTAACAATCCTCAAAAATTTTCTTGCCATCTTTTTTGCAATAATTTTTCTTTTTTGGGCAAAAAATTTTGTCGTGTTTGATTTTGAACATGAAGAATTTGTACACTATTTTATACCAACTTTTCTCTACCAAGTTTTTCTGCAGACCAATTTCAACTTTCTTTATAATAGTTTTGGATCATTTTTTTTAAAATGGAGTAACCAGTGCTTACTTAAGGTTGAATGGAATCATCTTATTTTTAATACTCTTGTTAAGCTATAGTTGTAACGGATTCGAATATGATGTTTGCTTCATCTTTTAGTTACCAGGCAGGTATATCAAAATAGGGTATATAGTTGAATTGAATTTGTTTTGTTTTTTTTTTCAGTATGTTTGGGTAAAAATTGAATTGTCTAACTTCCGTTTTTTTGCTCAATTATTGTCGGCTTATTTGCTACATTGCGGTTTTTTGGTGCTTCAAGCTGTTTTCATTATAGATAAATTTGTTGCTCATTGTTGTTTTGGGGCAGACTCAAAACTTTTTTACAAAATCAATTTTTTTTCGGCTCAACCGGTGTCTGCTCAAAAATTGCCGGCTTTTTTTCCCCGCTTCATAAGTTTTGTTCTGTCGCGAGTTGATATTCAAAAGTTTTGCGCGCTATTTTTGCCTAAAGTTAACTTGTATCGAGACTTGCGAAATTTTTGGTAGATCTAGTTTTCTCATTTTGTCTACTTCTTTTTATGTTTGTGTTGTATTTCAAGTGATACGAAGCTCCGCTGCGCGCTTGTTTTCATTTTCAATTCATTTTTTATGCTCAATGACACGGCAAAAAACGTTAAAATCAATCAAAAAAGTTTTCGCAAATAATTTAAATTTTTATATATTTGTTTAAAGAAATAATTACCATGGTCGAAAAATTCTGTGATACTTGCACAGTGATCGGTTACCCTTGTTGAATTGTTATTTTCACGCCGCTAGGCTCATGCAGATGAATAGATCGATCCTGCGAAGGACCACAGTTTTGTAAAATTGGTCTGAATATAAAAACCACCCCAGCATATATTTTCCTCTCTTTCTTCGAAACTCGGAACAATAGGACCAAATGGCTTTAACTCAATTTGCTTTGAAACGCATTAATCCGCCGCTTACGCGTGTTATAAGAACGCAATATATAGCGCGTTAATTATCCGTAACTGGCCAAATTTAGGAATTTTAAAACCCCCATTTTTTATAGAAACAGACCACAGGTGGAATAAATTACATTTGAGCACATAACAAAATCTTTCAGATGGTAAAAAATGCTTGGTTTTCAGTCGAAAATTGACTGAATAAAAAAACCACTTCAACCATAAATATTCAATAAATATTCAACCATGAAAGTCGGAACATTAAAACCTTTAGCGCAGTGAAAAAATTGTCTTCAAAAAAACATTCGATAGCGCTTTAAAGAAATTAATATTTGTCATTCCAGCTTTTGAAGAAAATCGGCATATTTAAATTTGGGGCAGTTTTTTTATTCAGTCATTTTTCCAATTTTTAACGAAACCTTTATGACAGAATTTTTTTTAACCATCTGCAAGATATTGTTGCTCGGGCTGAAAGATATAAAAAAATTCACCTGAATTTATGAGTGGGGGTGGTTTTAAAAATTGCCTTTTTTGAGATAATATACGCTCGATATATTGCGTTCTTATAACACGCGTCGGTGATATATTACAATAGGGGGTTGAGAAATTAGACGATAAGAAAATTAGACGGAAGTACTTAAAAGGAAATTAGACGGTTTTGCAACACTGCAATTGTGAGAAAATAGACGAAAGTGAGAGAAATTAATTTTGTTTGCACACAAATTGCGTTAGAAAAATCAAATTGTTTGTAGACAACAGTTCAATTTAGGTGGCCAAAAACTTTACAAGTCAATCATGCATAATTTATTCAATTCAAAACTCTCCTGTAATATTCAGATTTGACATTTTATGTTCATTTAAACTAATTGTTTTGATAGGTATTGACATTTTATGTTCTTTTTGTATTTGTGAAACTTGACTCTTAAGAAAAAATTTTGTTGGCCCTTTCCTTTTCATAGCTTTTTCGTCTAAATTGCCAGATCTGTAAAAAATAAATTCCGTCTAATTTCGTTCTTGTAGTATCCGTCTAATTTGCTTATCGTCTAATTTTCTAGGCCCCATTACAATAGGTGGTAGGTCCAATTTCAATAGCTGGATCGCTTTTTGTTATACTTCACTCATTATTTAAAAATTATTTCAAAAGCCAAATTTTTAGGCAAAAGAATTGTAAAAAGTGAATTTTTGAATAGCATTTCATTTGGCAGAGTTATTTTTTTTTACAAAAACTAGCTTAGTGTTAATACAATTGATTCAAGATGAAATGACTATATTATGCATTATAGATCTCAAATTTATTACATGCACTATAGTCAAAATTACCACCTATTGTAATATATGACCCACACGTCAACGGTGGTTGAAGTCGTTGACACGTAATATAAGAACTATGTGAACTGACGCGAACCAGTTGGTATAGCTTAAGTCAATTATGTTCTTTCGAGTGTTTCAAAAGAGTGTTTCGAGTGTTTCTCGTATTGTTTTCCAATGTTGTATTCAATAAGCCAAGTGAATCCGACAGTTGAAGTTTATTAGCGCTGCTTAAGCAATTATTTAAAATAATGTGATGCTTCTGTTTCAAAAGTCATCTTCGTTCCATTTATGGAACAGCTTGTTTGACACTGCTAAACAGTAAGAAAAATTAAATTAATAACTTGTTTTGGAATGTCTTATCATCTGTCAGAGAGGTTGAAGTTTGTCCATTTACAAGTTACATACTCAAGAGAATACATGCTGTAATATAAAATGAAAAAAAAAATTTTTAGTGCCTTCTAAAACGTCTGAAAATCTTAGCCCTCTTTTGATATCGATGATTAAGAATCAAGATTAGTTTTTCTCCAAAGCTGATGCCACCAATCCCTCGACAAAAGTTCAAAGAAATAATAACAAGACTGCTCGTATCAGGGCGAAGTGCTTGCTCCTACTGCACTTAAACTGGTCTTGAATAGTTTTTGCTTAAAGCAATGTTGAAAAACTATGCATTTTAGGCTGATAAGATCAAAATGTAAGATCATCATTAAGATACGAGACGCTAAATGCATCCTTTTGTACTTAACATAGCGTGTGAGCGGATAAAATGAATGAAGACAAAATGAAAAGTTTTATCAGTTATTTCCCATTTTTCAATCAAACATTTTTTTTTAAATTAGCTTTAAAGTGAAGTCGGAACATTCAGGGCTTTGCCCTGATGACGAAAATTTTCTTAAAAAATAGACATAAGGTTCAGAATCTCTTAGTTCAGTGCCCATTTCTTCTTTTGTTTGTCAACATCTTGTGACTAGATGCATTAAGAAAATATGATTTTCTACAAACATATTTCCTTTTGTAGAATTCCTATCACCTTCCAGATCTTTGGCTAGTGCCCGCTAGAGTAGGACCAGCTTTCCATTAATGGTATTGTGATAGTGCTCCATCTTGTTTTTTATAGCAGTAATTCTGGAGGGTAGCAGCTCGGCGTTTGTAAAATTGAAATTTTGAAAATTCTACTTTACGGTATCTTTATTTCGGTGTTTCAAATAGTACTCATAGTTTCAGACCTTAAGAACTTTTTATTTCGGAACGAAGCTGGTAAATACTACCGAAATCATACCTATCAGTATTAGAATTATTTGTATTTGCTTGATAAGTTTTAAATTAAATCATGTCTCTGTTCAGAAAGTCAATCTTTGATTATCGATGCTAATTTATATTGGACTAACGAGTTCAAATTCATTTTCCAAGTTTTAGAAATACCATTAAATGCGCGTTTTAACACCTGTTCTAGATTTTTGCGTTTACGATACGAATTTAAGTTAATTTGAGTTTATGAATTTCGAAATTGCTTCCAACTACAATTTTTTAGTTAAAATTTTTCGTTTTTAGTTAAAATTAATATTTGAGCTTTTCCCCTGGTAAAAAGTAGGATTTGAAAAAATAGGATTGATTGTAAAGTCACCGGACCAAGAAGATGCAACTTTTATAGTGTTCAGTCGACGAAATGAACAAAAAAATTTTCCAAATGCCAAAATTTATTCGCTTACAGCAGAATCAGTTAAAGTAAGGATCTCAGCAAGGCACGCCTTGCTTAAAAAAGATTTTTTAAAATTACTCTGCTACGAAAAAATTTTGATTCAAGTTTTTTTTGTTTGACCTTTTTTATGAGAACATAAACCTATATGAGCGCCTTGCTTAGATCCATAGCTTTCCAACTAAGTTTTAAGTTCAAATTTTCAAGCTGCTTCTGCAGTTTGCGGGGATTTTTTGACACTGAGAACATTCTGCTGACGCTTTTTGATTAAATTGTCAAACGATCCCTTTAAAGCGTTTTCTTACGGTTTCAAACAACTATATTCTAAAAAACAGTTTCATCCATTATATGTCAAAGTCTCAACCGTGAATGTTATGTAGTTGTAGAAAAGTCTTCACCTCCCGCCTTGAATTTTGAAAAGCAGTAAAAACAAAAGCATGACTTGTTTGCTATATCAGCGTAGCAGACGCCATATGTTTTGAACACACTGAAGTGAATCGAATAACTTCATTTCTATCAAAGCCACTCATTCAGGTTGTAGAGAGCTACAAACGGAGATGGCAAAGTAAGTTTTTGACTTTTTTTAAAATTTGTTAAACATTTTTGGACCTTTTCAATCCATCTCTTTGGTCAATTTTTTTGTTAGATTCTTTTTTAATTAAGTTTCAATGAACGTAATGAAGAGAAGATCACATTAATTTTTTCCCTAGGCGTGTATGCACTCGATTTTTTGGTATTTCAGAAACAGGCGAGATGAAACTTAAAAATATTTTCTCACTCTTCACAACACTCATTTTTCAGGCTGTTATTCTTAGTTATATTCTTCACTTGTTCCCAATTGTTTGATTCTGTTCAGGAAATGGTGATTGAAAAACAATCTCGACAAATTCAACTCAAAAGGTTTTGTGTTTATTGGTATGAGCAGGTTGGAAAATTTTAAAAAGTCTTCCATCTGAAGAAAGTTTTTTGATGTGCTATATTTTCTTTAACCTATTGTTGTCAAAATATTTTTTACAAGCAGAATGAAAAAAAATTTTTGCTTCAAGATTTTCCCAGAAAAATTAAAAGTCTTACAAATATTTGGTTATGTTACTTTTTTCTTTCGAATATATAAGTTGTGTTGTTTTATTTAGTTTTTTAAAGAAAAAGTAACTCGCGCTCAGATTTGATTTCTTGCGGCTTGACGTTTGACTTCTCAGCAAGTTCAAATCATGTTCATTTGCTTAAAGGAAGGGCGTGAAAAACTTGATTTGCTCAAAGGAAGGGCTTGGCGTTTGACTTCTCAGCAAGTTCAAATCATGTTCATTTGCTTATAGGAAGGGCGCGAAAAACGTGCAAGACTCGTAATGAATCAAGTTTTTTTGCAGCTGAAGGGTTTCTGCTCAGGTTTTTTTGGCTTTGTTTCCGCTTTGTAATTATTAAGTCAAAAACAATCAACCATCCGGCGCATCTGGCGTAGAGGTAACACAATTGCTTGAGACAACAAAAGCTTGTAGTTTGAATCCGGTGGGGGACTTTTGCTTTGTAAACTTGAGTTTTTATTATTTTTCGGTCTATCTTCGGACTATTATTCGTTCTGTTTATTTTAGTCGGCTTATTTCCGCAGAAAGGATTTTAAAAAAAATCAGCCTCTTTAAATTACTATAACGCCCATGTTTGAGACAAGAGTTTGACCCATGCCCAGGAGTTCGATTCCAGTCGAGACCTGTGTTTGTGCAAACCGAAAATTTTCGGCTAGTTTAAATTATGGCTGTCTGCTTAATTTTATCGGCTTAGTCTCGCAGTACGATTTTTTTGAAAAATCACCATCTTCATTGCATTATCAAAAAACCGTGTAAAATTTCAATTGGTGCAGGTAACTTTGTTCCTGATATTTCGGGCTTTTGTTGGAATTTTCATTGACAAAAACGATTGTTCTGTTTTTTTTTTTTTCAATTTTAAATTTCTTTTCATATGATTTTAATCACAATCATTCTTTTTTGTATCGCAAGTGGTGCGAAATTCAGCTTTACCTCTGTGTTTATCATTGATAGTTTTATAATTTCTAAGTTTTTGTATCAATGAATATATTTTCGTTTGATAGTCAAAAAAAGTCTATTTTGGCTAAGTGGAATGCGAAATTATGTTACTTTGGTTAAATTTGTTCGTCTTTTGACCTTGTACTTTCGGCGGTTTTTCCTATAGACTAAAAGGATCCAAACCACTTGCTTAGTGTAAAATTCTTTGCCCGAATTTCGCCACGTAAATTGCACCATAATTATTCATTTGAAATTTTCAGCAAGTTTTGCCATGATGATTTTTTTCCAATATTAACCCAACTTAGGAAAAATGGGTTGAAATTTTCATTTTTGTTCGTTTTGGCCGAATAATTTAAATGAGCGTGCTCGAGAAAGATAGGATTTTTTCTACTGTATTGCTTATATTACCGCTAGAGGGGTGCATTTTACAGCGTGGGATGACTCTTGTTGTTATGGTTGTTTTCTGCACTCCCAAAGAAGGGAGAGATTTACTGGTGCCATTTGTAGCGGCTGTCCTTGCTCGTCGGATCCACCGCTTAAAGTCAGCACCTGTGAACCCGAGAGTGACTCTTAGAGTGCATTGCCATCTGAATTCACAATGTTTTGACCTTATTTAAGCTACCAATAACTTTTGTTCTTTTACGCTAATTTTCAATCCTCTAATGCTACCCAAGACAATGGCCGGAAAGTTACTATATACAAATTTTTTTCTCATTTTTTATCGTCTTTTTTGTATATATAGGTTTTCGATTTTAATAACTTTTTGCAATGATTGATGTAAATGGAACATACTGTGCTATTTGCACTGGAGCCGTCAATTCTTTTCTAATTTTACAACAGTTTTCTGATTCTTAAATTGAATCTAATGATTATTAATGCAACAATCAGAATCTGATAGGCCTGTTTTTGGTTCTTCTAGAATTGAAGCCATGCAGTTTGGAGCCGTGTCACGAGGATGCAAACTGTGAGAGTGCAACAGATGGTACTATAACTTGCACATGTCCGCCCTTGTGGGTCGGAGACGGAGTCCATTTTTGCATCCGTGAGTAGTCATCTCGTTTTTTAGTGTTTCAAATCTTAAACTAGCGATATGCTCCAAGTTTTTGGAATAAATTGCAATATGTTTTCCTAGTATTGTTCTGATATTGGTAGACTTAAGAGGTCGAGTATTGTTTTTTTTGTCTGGCTGACAACTATTTCAGTCTATGTTTGATGTTCGTTTAGCTCCTGGGACGTGCAATGCTGACTTCGGGGAGACATGCCATGATCTAGCAGAGTGCATAAATGGCACATGTGTGTGTAATGAAGGGTACGAAGGAGATGGATGGGTGTGCACAGGTAGGTACCCAACCGAACATCACATCAAATCGGAATGTTCTAGAATACGTTTTTAAAAGGCTGTTCCCTTATACTTATACGCTCACAATAAAATCACAATTAAATTCATATTTCAATCCCCATACGAATCAAATTTTTGCTGTGTTTCAGTCATTTAAATCCTTCTAAACAACTTAAAACTTTTCAAAACTATTCAATAGTTTCAATAAATAATTCTAATTTGAATCGGGAATTACTTTGATATGCCCTTCAGATATCGACGAGTGCTCTCCTGAAAATCGAGACGCAAACTGTGCTCCCGACTTTACCGACTGCACGAACTACGCTTTGAATGTCGACAACAAACGATACACGTGCGAATGTTCTCCGGGAAACCAAGGCGACCCAAACCCCCCGAGTCAGGGGTGTGAGGAGAAGCCTAGGAACTGCTCACATGCCATTGCCGAAGACATCGTGAGTCCCTCGGGGGAGGAGTTCTTGCCGACCGGATTGTTCCTGGACATTTCAGATGACCCTGCTAGCCCTCAGTTTGAGGAAATTGAGGTTTGTGTAAATTGTTTAATGAAAACATCGTACTTAACGCTTTTTTGTTGTTTTTACTTTTGCGCTTTATTTCATTGGATTTCTTACATGTATTACGCTCAGCCATTGTCCTTAGTAAAATGATAGCCTCAATTTTTTTGAAACTTCTGATTCTGTTTCTTTTTTCATCTGTTTTGGTCGCGCCTTTTAAATTTGGAGCACATTTCAATTTGCAAGCTTCTAATTATTTGTTTCGTATTGCCAACTGTTTCTCAATTTAGGTACTATGCAACAAAGACGGTGACACAAAACTGCCGAGTGAGACACCCGAATGCAGCTCTGAGCTCGTGTTCTCCTCCGACCAGATCAAACTGAAGGCTTCCAGAGTTCTGGTGGAGAACGATGCCTACATGTGCATGCAGAGAATCGAGTTAGATCGCCTTTTTTTCTGGTTGTTTTTGGTTACTGAATCTATTTAAAGGTAGTTTGAGTTGCCGTTTACGCTCGTTTATGTGAACATAAAATCGATAAGTTCCTCTTTTGTAAAAAAAAAGTGTTGGCGATAATCTCAGATCGTGTTTTTCAATTCGCCAGAACCAAAAACAGACACTCATGCCTAGAAAACTTTTGTATATGGAAAAACCTGAAAGTTTTGAGAAAACAAGAGAAAGATTATAACTGCAAAAGTGTATCAAGTTCTTTTGGTGCAGAGTGTGCTGTGCTGAGGGTGATAATCTGAAGACGTCTCTGAGGTATCTGGGCTACAATGACAACTGGTCTCAGGACTTCGGAGGCGAAGTGGAAGGCCAGTGTTCCAGAGCCAATGGAGGTCAGATCTTTCATCTCAATTCTTAAACCAGATTTTTGTAGATGCCATAAGACTCCGTTGCTGTAATTTCTACGCATTAGTCGCAGTCAGACCAGCTTTGATTTTTACAATACCGCGTGAACTTAGTTGTTGATTTGTTTTTGAATTGAAACCTATAACTTGAATTGTTTTTGTTTGTGTATTTTGGCTCTATGAAAATTCAGCTTTCAAATATTGAAAATTTAGTTCTGTAATCACACTTTAAGTAGTCATAATCTAAGTTTATCATGATCTAGACAAAATTGTTCAGCGCTTTGAACGAAGTTTGAGTGAATTTCGCGCTGTTTCTTTGACTTTTCTTCTATTTTCGTTGTTCATTTTTAGACCCCGAAGAGTGCACTGAAGTTACCCCTCTTGACACGGACTGCAAGTGCAACAAAGAGGGCAAGAACTTCTTCTGGGTCACAGATAGAGCCATGCTGCCGGTCAAACAGGTCGAGTTTCTCGGATCCGCGGCCGATGGGATCCAGGCGGCAATCAATGACGTCATTTGCCTCGTGAAGGAGACCGTCACCGAGAATATCGTCATGTACAGGAATTGCGAGGAGGCTTTGGAGGATAATGAATTCAAAGCTGCTACTTACATGTTGCAGTTTGAAGGAGAGTTTTTTGATGCATTCTGCTATCGGGCTCGAAGTAAAGATCAGAAGGGCTCCATCGTCACACAATTAACCCCAAAAATGTACGTTTTTTATTTCGGAAATTTTTTTCACGTGTTTTAATAGTTACAGCCAATGATGCGTTAGTCCATTTATTTTTATACAATTTTGAATGTTTGAGTTTTTTAACCAGATTTCTTTTTTTTTCGTTTAAAACAACTTTTGGTCGTCATCAAGTTGATTTCGATGATTAATTGTGCCAAGGATCGCCGTTTTCTGTGAATTTTTTTCCAATTACCTACCTGAATTTCATTGTGTTCGATGCAATTATTATGTGAAACTAGTTTCGTGAACGCCAAGAATCAAATTTCCTCTTGTGTGTAATATTCAGGGTGGAATCTTCTGGGTCCTGCTCTGGCTATGACCTCCAATACACTGCATCAGCTAAGGCCATCCAGGCAGTGGTTAACGCTTCGATTGGGTGCATGCAACATGTCAGCTTCGACTGTAATGGCAACCCTATTTTTGCTGACGATCAGATGGTCAAATACTACGGGCCGTGAGTATTGACTTAAAAATGAAAAAAGCCTCAAAAATTTTTAAAAACAACCGATTTTTATTTTTTTCTGATAGAAATTCAGATAATCCTTGTGCCCATTGCTGCAAAACTAGACAACTTTTTTCACTAACAAAAACTGGTTGAAACTAGAAAACGTTTACAGTCCAGCATTTTTTGACAGTTGTTAAGTTGTTTAAATGAAAACTATACTAAATAAAATATGTCTGTTCTGTTTTGTTAAGAGCAATTTTAATGTCGGATAGATTGTTAATCACGTAGATTGTTACATTTTTTAATTTTTCTGCAGAGATGGTCAGTTCAGCTCCTTCGGAACTCCCAGTTCGGACCACGTGTATGCTGACTCGTGTCCCTGTGGCGTGTTTGGAGAGTGTGAAGATCCCTCCAAGAAGTGCAATTGTGATTCCGGTACCAACACCACCGATGAAGGTGAGTTGCTTTATAACTTCAATAAAATGTAGGAGATACCATTACAAGGAGGTGATTCGATTGTTCAGTTTACAAACTACAGCTTAAATGTTTCGTTAAGTGCTGCATTTGATAACTTCAGCCCATAAGTTTTTAGATTATTTGAAGTTTCTAGCTTTTTTTGTCAATATTTTCTTGAATGTTGAATGTTCTTAATGATATACCAGGTCGATTTTCTTCCTTAAAAATGTTCAAATATCACAAAATCCGTTTCATACAGAATCCGTTTCATTCATGAGCGTTTGTATCAATAGGCTTAATTGACCTCGAAACATTTTAAAATTGATTTATCTCTTATTTGTATAAAATTGCCCTCAGTTCATTTTAGGTGATTTTTACCCAATCCCTTATCAGTGGACGTTGGAACTAAAAGATGTTCTGTTTTAAGGATATGTGACTGAGAATCTGCCCATCACCAGAATCGAGAACTGCAACCAGTCTCCCTCTGGCTCGCTGGATGTGGGAGTGTTGTTCTGCTACACCAAGAAGCACGTCAGACTTCCCTACTCCTGCCAGCACTATGCCGAGCTCCACGAGATGAAGAGCGGAATTTACATGATCAGCACCAACTTCAGAAGCGAAACAGGCTTGTTCAATTTTGACGTAAAATTTATCATTCCCCCCCCCCCCCTGAAACTGCGTACTAACTTCGGTTTTTAAAGCCCATTAATCTCTCTGCAATTAACAGACTTACGTCAACAAATAACTTCAATGAACGCAGTGAAGACACTTCTATAAGTCGTTTTGGTTTTATCTTTGTTCAGTAAAAAGTCTTAAAAGGTGTTCACGCTCAGTTTTCAATGATCAAGTTTTTTTTTAATTCAAAACAGCTGGGAGTTGATCTTTATTTTAAAATCCTATATTATTGTGGATCTGCAGTAGCTGATTCTGCTTGAAATAATATCTTAGTATATAAGTCATAGATAAATGTATTGCATCTCGCTTTTGAAGTCTTAAGTATGTTTCTTAAAATTTCATTAGTCATCAAATAAAACTCCAAGATACTTTGCCAAAATGTTAATTTTTAGCTTAATTCTTGGACAGATTTTGACTGTTGATTTGATTTCAGACGATAAGGGGATGGAAGAATGTCTTGTCAAGTGCAACATGCACGAGCAGAAAGAGACAGTCTACGGGTCAACTGAGGTCGCAGCCTCTAGAAAAGGTCAGTTCCTTCTTCCTCCCAGTCACTAGCATGGTAAAAAAATTTAAGTTAAACTTAAAATAGAAATATATTCGAAAAAGTCTAAGGGCGAAATTTTTGCGCTAAATTTTAAGGTTTGGCAAAAAATTTAGAGCATATATTCATTTTATTCCGAGGAAGAATCTTGAAATAATGGAAAAGTTATGCCCAGTTTACTATAGATGAGTTTGATGCTCGTTGCTTTTCGGCTAAATAAGACTTCTCAGTATCAGTTGGCGGATCTCGCCGTCTATTTTAATGTTTGTTTCAGCCCCAACAGTAAAAGAGGGCTCGGTGTCGTTCGAGTTCAGTTACGAATCTCTCCATAACTGCAAGGTAACCTGTTCGGTACTAGAAATAAATTAAAACAGTAGCTTCGATTTTCAGGTCCGTGTTTTAATCCTGTAGAGTTTTCCCGTTTATTTTTGTCTTTTTTTTGTATTGTTCCTTTTTGCCGTTTTGGAGCTCAATTTTGATGTTTTTTGTGTGCATTTTGTGTTTAGAATTTCACCTCAGGGTAGATTATTTTATCAGAGCATTTTCTCGATAAAGCAAACTTCTTTTTGTGGGTCATTCGTTACGTGGTAGCGCATATTATGAAATTGTGCATTATATCATAAACAGACATTTTTAGTGAAGGAAATCTAGATAAGTTAAGACCTTTTATTCACGAAGGAAAGGACCAACATACGAGCTGTACAGCTCATCACGGACAACTGCTGTTGTGCCCCTACTTAAGAACTACATGTATTTTTTCGGATATTCTTCTGGGCTGGGTATTGTTGCCTCACCCTCTAGCAACTAGCGCGGATCATGGTGGGCCTCGAACTTGCGACCTTTCGGTTGAGAGGCGGAGACGTAACCACTTCACCACCGCTCCCGCAACCAGTTTACTATAAGACGTAACCACTTCACCATACGGAGTTTGTTGTCGTCTTAGGTGGAGAAGCTACTCGACATGCGATGGGGAAAGAGACTGCATCAGAAATTGGAGCAGATCTACGTCACACAAGAGATCCTTGTCACCCAATGTCCCAGTAATTATAATTTCCTTTCTTCTTCTGTTCCAATAATCACTCCTTCTTTGTTGGCTTCAGTGATCCGAAGGATTTCAGTGACTTCCGAAGGATCCAATGGTTCTAAATCAGGTTCCGTATGTACTCTAGCGATAGGCAAAGATAATGCATCTGGGTACTACACTTTAATCAGTTAGGTACTTCAGTAGTATATGCTGGAGCTGATCAGTGGAGAGGCATGGACAACCATGTGTATTAAGATAGGCTATAGCTTTCGGGTCGCCCTCGCTGCGTGTTTAGATAGAATGCAGCATTTTAAGTTTTCAAGATAAGGTATAGATATGGTACGGTTTTACCATGATAAGAATAAGGTAAGAAAGTTGAATTATTTGAGGTTTTTGTGAAAAAATCGAAATTTGTATGAAAATTGGTGGTCCGCGTTAACTGCGATAATTTTTAAATACTAAGAAAACGGCAAGCCTTTTCATTTTTTGCATTTTCCTGTACTCTAAATGAGTTTTTTTCTGCGAAGGTTTGTCAAGACGAATGAGGAAGCTCTACCTAAGTTTTGCAAGACTATTGTTTGACGTGTTTCAAATATTTGAAGCTATGCTGAAACATATTTTTTATATGAAACTAATTAAATTTCAAACTCTTTTTTTATATGAAATTAATTAAATTTCAAACACTTAACTTAGTCAATAAACCACATTGCATCATTACACAATCATAGAATAGTATGAACTTTCTTTTTTTTCAACCTAAGTCGCAAATATTGTTGCGATGCAATTTTTGCGACAAAATGTGTTAATTTTGAAATTGTTCATTTTGATCCAGCTATTAAGTACAGCCGATGCTATGGATATTAACACAGACTATTATATTACAAATAGCACTTTAGCTTCAAAGTATCATGTTTCTGTAGCGTAGAGGTAGGGAAGGAGAGCAGCAGCAAAATAAGAGGGTTCGAACCTGGGAACGGTCGGATTTTTTTATGAACTTTTTCGTATGCTAGTTAAAATGCGTCCGCTTTATAAATTGAGGCATGTTGGTGGTAAATTTCTTTCCAAATTGACAGGTACTGCTAATGCGTCATAATTGGCTTGCGTCACGTAGCATTTTTATAGACTCATAATTGAGTGTGTCACCTAAGAAATTTTGTAGACTCAAAGTTTTACTCACTCAGTTTTTTCCAGTAGCGTTGTCGGTCATATTTTTGCTTGCGTATGCGAAGTGCTACTTCGGACTTCGGCTCTATGTATACAATTGCATCATATACAAGTTTGCCGCATTTTACATGAGAAACTACAACTTGCATTCACAATTTAAAAGACATTGTATGATTTTTCTCAAGGAGGTTTTCTCTTTTTGATAACAAAGTCCTTGCTTATTTTTGAAATTGAGTTATTGTAATGCAATTGACAGTTCTCAATAGCTCGTTGATAGTGTATTAATGAATCATCGTCAGAATCATCTATAAATCGTTTAAGGAGTAATTTGCTGCTCGACTTAAACGTATTGGTATAACTAATATAGCATGCTAGTTTTTGCTGCATAAACTAAGTATTTCAGTACGACGAAATTTTACTTTAAACATTCAGTTTTTCGTTTATCATGGCTCTTCTGAACCAAGTAACAACTACGCTGGAACAAACTATTCTAGGCATATGCTCTGAAGTAATTTATGCTTTCATTTCACCGAATTTGTAGGCTTTGGGTTTATCTCTGGTAATATACAATCTTCAATATTTCGATTTAATAATATTAGATAAAAGCTCTTCATTTTTTATTCAATAGCTTAACTTGTGACAAACTTTGTACTATTTCTCCAAAACTATAAATTTGGCGTCTTGAAGAACAAAAGCACTCTTATAACTTGTTCTCGGTGTTCAATGGTTCACTTCTGTAGTTTACCCTGTACAAAACTTGTTTTCACTAAATATAATCATCAGCTTACTTTTTGTTCTTGTGTAGTTTCTCATCAAAGACGTATATAGTAAAAATAAGAATAATTTAATAACAGTAAGAACTGTTGCCTTGAAGTTTCATTTTCTCACCTACAATTCCAGACAGCGGAATCTTTTCTCCTCATTGTCTAGCTTACAGAACATGTTAAGCAAAAGTGTTGAAACATTCCCTTGAAGTGCTCAGAGTGAATCGGTACTTTTTTGTGCACGGAAGGTCAAACTTTAGTAGAAGTTCAAAAGGGAAGTAATGGTTGTTTCTTTTTTCAATTTGATGCTTGAATTCAACATTCACTGTTTTTTTAGTAATTGATATGTTCTTCTGCTGGTGATTTAGAGTTTCATCAATATCATTGGGTTTTTTTAAATGTTTTTATACGTTGGGTTTATTTTTTTAGCTCATTGGGAACTATGAACTTACATAGGGCATAAAAAATGGAACCAAGCTTCATGTTCTCAAGTAATCTGTAGATAAAAGTCTTTCAAATAGAAAACGCGTTCTGACACATTTCATTGCAACATCAATTTTAAGTGACTCGAAAGCCTCACTTTGGCTAATTCGATTTTTGTTCCGAATGGGGATGGATTTGGTATTCGGGTGTGTTTTAGTTTTTTCTTTTTTTTTGTTTTCCACGCAAAATCGGGTACCACAAATAATCATTGAAATGGGTCAAGTGATATATCATAGTAAAGCCCTTCCAGACGTGATTCTTGGAAGCAATTTGAAAATTTATTTGTAGCATCGAGAAAAATGCTTATGAATTTTTTTATTTCTGGTCTAATTTCGAGCCAATAAGGTGAGCGAGCAGGCTTAAAATAGCTTATTTATGCTTATTTTAAGCCGTGAAAACATAATTTTACTCAAGTAAAATTAGTTTATGGAGTCTGTTTGCGCAATTTTGGGAATCAAAGACTTTCTACGAAAAAGTTTTGAAAAATTTTTAAAATTTGTTTGACTTTTTAACGATTTTTTAAAGTTTTTCTATTAATGCGTTTCCAAAAAATGTTTTTAGTTTTTTCTACTCCATTAAGACTGTTGAATGTGATCAAGTTCTAGGATATACTTTTTTTGTATTTTCAACACTATGGTCAAAATTTTCTGTACTACTTGAACAGTAACCGGCTATCATTGTTACCAGTTTGCTATTAGCGTGTGCTTCAAAGTAAATTATTCCAAACTGAATTATTTCCGTGATTGAGGCAATTTATTTGTTCCAAATAACTTGTTACTAGATGAGAATTACATGACTTATCTTTGACATTGCGTGTGGGGGAAGAAGAATTAACAGCAAAATGAAATAATTTTGAAATTGTTCATTTTTTTGAATTTTAAATGGCTTGATAAAACTACCGCAGGTATTTGTATAGAAAGACGTCTTACAGGAATTGAATTAATATGTACATCTCATAATTTCGATCACTGTTTTACGCGGGTTTCAGTAAACATGAGCATCAGAACATTCAAATTTTTTCCTCTTTGTCAATTGTCTCAAAACTCTCAAATTTTACATTGTGTTATTGGCTGTTGATAGAAAAAAATGTCTCCAATTTCTTTTTTATGTGTTGTTTCTAGCCATGTGTTTCGATAGCCTCTCTTGTGTAATCGGCAGTTTGAGTCTCATGGTGTTCAAATGTAAATGACTAGCGTCAATTCTTATTATTTATTCCTAGATGTCTGATGAAAAACGGATGTGTTCGTTTGATCAACTATATCTTTTCAAAGGTCTTAGTTTTGGCAAAGGTCTTGCGTTTTAATCTGAGCCGGACCTTTTTCCAAACGGGATTTATTCTGTTTCTACTAAAGTTGCCGGCGAATTATTTATAGCTTATTTTTTGTCGGTTTATTGTTGTTTAAGACCAGTTGTTTAGAAAAAAGTTATGGCCTTCAAACAAATCAAAGTTTTGAATCTTTGACAATTTTTGCAAACTTATTGGCTTTACGAGAAAACTACCGGTCCAATTCTCAGGTTGTGTTCAGCCGAAACACCCTACTTTGAAAATCTTTTCGACTTAAGCGGCCATAACCTGCTGTTTGCAGAGAAACGTTATGGATTTTGGAAAGTCTTTTAAACGCTTTTTAGAATTTTAGAAGTTTTTTAAACATTTTTTAGAAATTCCATTGAAAGAACGGATTCCGATAATTGTTCCTGTAGAAGCAGCGATTCCTGAATTTTTTGTAATAGAATGAAATCTCTTTGGGAAAATTGATTATCTCAAAATTTCTTACTTTTCTCACTTATTTTTTAGTAGAGAAACCACTAAGGTTTTAGGCCAAGTCCAACTTTTGAAATCACCATTTTTGTGCCGCATTAGTATAGCAAATTCATTCAATATCAAACATGTACCTCCAGCTTTAGCTGGGCCCGTAGTTGTTTTTATCAAGACATACAAAATTTTTGGTTGACCTAGATTTTTCAACATCTAAAATTTTTTTGATTTTTTATATTTGTGTTGCATCGCAAGTATTGCCAAGCTCCGCTTAGCCTCTGTGTCATTTTTGCATGACTTCAAATGTAGGGATAAGATCTTTGATAGTAGTTACCTATGTAAAATGCCTGTAATTTGTCATATTAATTGTCTCCAGCAACTGTTCAGGTTTCACTAGTCTTCAATACGTTTTAGTGGAATGAATTCAATACGCAGCTTTTTCTGTGGTATTGTCCTATTAGGGGTTGTTGTTTTCTTTGTTATTGTAAAAGTTTCCATACAGAGATAATTTTGGAAACCAAGTTTATCTGGACTGTTGACATGATATTAAGGAAAAAGGCTTTATAGGTTTTGAGGGAAGAATCCACGGAGTGCATTGAAGCATATTGAAGCCCTTTTGGTAGTAGAAATTGCAGCTTCAATGAAAATCATGAAAAAGTTCTTATCGAGGTCGAGATGTCTTTTTCTATAGATTTTTTACGTACAATTTTTCTGTTTATCTCTATTCGTGCTTTTTCTATTTACCTATGTTTCTATTCGTGCTTATTTTTTCAACTACCAGACCCGTTTTGCGAATCTTAATAAAAAAACCCGTAGCCCTATTACCAAGCAACTTTTGTTCAATCATGTTAAATTCTTGGCCATTTTTTGTCCAAAATTAACTTGCTCTATTGTCCTCTCCCTGCGGCTGATTGTTTTTTATGTCTTCAGCGGCTGATGTTCTGAACCCCGAGATGAAGTTGTCGAATGAGGACGGGGAGGAAGTATGTGAGTGTTCTGAAGGTCTCAAGGACGCCTGTGCCAGTGGGGCAGGTGACCTCCCGCTGCATGTCAAATGCTCCTGCAGGTAAAGTATAGAAATAAATTTTTTTTATAAAATTTGTTCCAATTCGGCGGCGGTCAGCGACATTTTGAAAATTTTGCATACTTCTGCCGTTTTTATATTCAGTCCCTGGAAATGTTTACTTTCTTTCCAAATTTTAGATTACCGAAATCTGATTGGCTGATTTTTATTTTGGCGCATTCGGTCCTTCGCGTATGAGGGATTCCACCATATTTGACTAAAAAAATTAGCTCGTTATGTTTTTTTTTGCGTGTTCGATTTGTCTACGCCAAATTTTGTGTTCAGTTCAATCGAGGGAACTGGTGCGGAGTTCAAAGGGAAGCCGATTGCCAAAGTGGTCATCAATGATCCAGCCATCACGGGAGACGAGAAGTACGACATCTTCATCGGAAACGCCGAGTTCAAAGGCAAGCAGTTTTGATGAAAGTGAACTTCTGAACTTTTGGAAGCTTCATGTAGGGTTTTTTTGACAAATATATGATTTTTCAAAAAATCAAAAAAAAATGCAAAAAATTACATATTTTTTTTCTGGAATTATTGAATCATTTTTTAAATTCACTTTTCGAAACAATTGTTTTCGATTATGCCTAATTCACTATCGGTCTACGCTTTTAAATAAATTTCTCAACACACATTATACTATTTAGCTTTCAGTACATAACTCAATTTCAAAACGCTTAGGTCATAATTGATCACAACCTTGCTAATTTGTAATTTTGTGGTGTATACAAAGTCCATATTGACATACAAACTTATGGCCTTGTATTATTCAAAAATGTCTTTGAACCCTTTAAAACCGAGTTTCCCGCGAAGAAAGTACCGACATCCGAGCTCTTCAATTGTTCATGGAGAACCGCTGTTGTTTCCCTGGTTAAGAATTATATACATTTTGTTTGGTAATTTTTGAGCTCAGAATTATTTTTTCACCCTCAAGCAGCGAGCACGGATCAGGGTGGGCCTCGAGCATCCGACGTTTCGATTGCGAGGTGGAGGCTTAACCAGGGGCGGATCTAGGATTTTCAAGAGGTGGGCGGATTTTCAAAAAAAAATTTGAAAATTTTGTCAACCTTTTTTTTAGGTCGACCAAATTGATTTTCTGAGCTCTCCCAAAACACTGTAAATACCCCCATTTTATTTTGACCAAATTTTCTGCGCCGTAGGCAAGTTTTTGAAAAAACAGGCAAAAAACGATTTTAGGCACTTTTTGGAAAATTTTGACCAAAAAATCGCCATCATCATCAGTTTTGCATCGCTATCGTATTTTTGCGCTATTATAAGTATCGCAATATTGTGCTTTGCCTCTGAGTTAAACTGTTTTTTTTTATTATTTTGAACACTTATTTTCTTGTTTCAGAACTGGGTCGGGACTGCTTCAACTTCCAGGACAACAGAGGCCAGGCGAGGAAAGTGAACCAGGTGCACGAGTGCATGAACAAATTAGTGGGTGGAAGTGGAGGCAGACCGGTCAAGTCCATTCGCGAAACTGGCAACGGAAGGATGTGGGCCAATATTGACCCAGATGGTGCCGGAGGAGTGGATCCCTTCCAAGTCAGGCAAGTGGACCACTGCTTTTATGGTTAATTGCTACTTTCCAGATTAGACTAAGGAACTCATTAGATGTCAATGAACGAAGTGAACAAGACACCTGATTAGGTCGTGTTTTTTTTTGTTCTGACCATTGAAAATGGGGCGCAGCTTTGTATTCAAATCTGTTTAGATTTTTTTTTTTGGTTTCCACGCGAAGTTAGGTACCGTAAATAATAATTGGAATGGGTCGATTGAGATATCATATGAAAGCTTTTTCAGTCGTAATTCGAATGGCATTGAAAATATTTCAAAAGATTGTCCCAGTGTCGAGAAAAAACGGTTTTAAAATTTTTGGGTTTACTTCAATTTCAAGCGAGTAAAGCGATCGAGTAAAGATCGTTATATGAAAATTTAATATGTTTTGAGCAAAGAAAAATTGATTTTGCTACCAAAAAAACTGTTTTGGAAGTTTCCTTCCGCGCTTTCATAGCCGGAAAAATTTTCTAAAGTTTTTTTTTTAATGTTGTGCAAACAAAATTAGAAATATTTAAGCTTTTCTAATTTTTTCAATTTTTTGTTCGTCATTAATTTGAAGACAAATATTGTCGGTTATGCCTATTATTCTAACTTTCTACACGATTGTAAAGTTCTCTAATCGCGCCGCGCACTAAAAATGCCGTTATTTATTTATTTTTATGAATGCTGTCGGAACAATCTGTGCGACTTGCACAGCAACCGGTTATCAGTATTCTTCTTTGTTTTTTATTTTTTAAAGTTGAATTTAAATCTATTTGCTAAAAGGAAGGCAAAAATTTTGTGCTTAATGAACTTTAATTTTAAGACTTTTGAAAGAAGTATAAAAACTAGATGGTGCGCAGTTCTTTTTCCGACCACTGAAACTGGAGAGAAATTTTGTATTCAGGTGTGTTATTGTTTCTTTTCGACCACCATTTGAAAACTGGGGAGGAACTTCCTATTCGGGTGTGCTTTAGTTTTTCCTTTTTTGTTTTCCACACAAAAAAAAATTGATTGTATTTTTCTAAGACTATGGTCGGAACCTTCTGTGGTACTTGCATAGTAATCGGCCATCCTTGTCTCTTTCTTAAGTTTTGTTTTCCACGCAAAATCAGATGCAACAAATAATCGTCGGAAGGGATCGAGTAATATATCACATTAAGGCATTTGAAGTCGTAATTCGAATCCTATTAACAAAAATTTTTAAAATTTCTGTTTTCGAGCGAATAAAGCAAGACAAACATTCATCAAAAAGCAAACACAAAATCTGCAAAAAAGTTGTTTTCCGGTCAACTGTTTTTGAATCAAATTCCTTGATTTTTTTTTCTTTATCGAATGTACTTATTTTCTAGGCTTTGTTTCAGATGCGCTCACAGCCGAATGATCAAAACCCCGAAAATATGCAAAAAAAAACTATTTTTTGTATTCTAAACATTTTTCTAGAGTGTTAGTTTTGTGAAAAAGGTGTCAAACATAAAAGATTCAAAAAACTTTAAAGTGTTGCAATTTTTTCGTGGTAATTTGAAAGTTGAAAAATTTTTTAACTAGTTAAACATTTTTTCGGTTTCTTTGAGATCTTTGCACTTCTTCAACTTTCTGTTGACTATGTTTTTGGTGTCTATTTTCGAAATAAACAAATATTTGGCGATTAACAAAAGCTCATCTGATTGATTGTGATGCTATCAGAATCTTGACCATGTTATAGTTTAGGAGAGTGATACAAATTGTTAATAATTGCTTGCATTAGAAAAATGAATACTATGAATTTTCCAGTTTTTTGAATTTTTGCTACAAATTGTTTAAAGCAAAACGGATAATATCTGTTTCATTCATTCAAAACTTAGTAGTGTTTTCCTGGTTGCAGATGTCTGGGTGATTTGACAGTGGTTGACTCTTCTGTCACCAGGGTGGGCAACTGCTTCAACGTTACCTACAAGAGGCCAGCAAGCGCTATCCAACTCAGGGTAATTGTGCTTCCATCAACTTTTCTTAGTAACTCTGCATTAGATTCTTTTTCTATGATTAAGTGTTCTACTGCAAGGTAGAAGTGATGTGTCTCATTATGACCGGTTAATTCATGAATCCCGGTAATTTTGTTAACTTATCTTTTTACGCGTTGATTATCACTCAAAATGAGGTTTGACTTCATTTACATTTTTTTTGCCTTTGATTTTTCGGCCAAAGCAGCGCCCGAAATTCATTGCCCGTTTCAATTGTCTTAACTTAATGTTTTCTTAGTTGATGAAAAAATGTGTTTTTAAAAAAATATATTTATCTAGGCACTGGCAGAAGTGTCCAAGGAGTGCTGTCAGGGTCTGCAGACGATCGGAGAGGAGTGTGAGTCGATCAGTGCGCTGATGCCGAATGGATCCCAGACATTCACTTTCTACAACTTCACAGGAGTGCCACTCATCGGATACCCCGGACAACTGGGCAGACCTGATCGTTCTTGTGCCCAGGGTGGCCAGTGTAAAAATGAGGAGGGAAAACAGTGCGACCCAGTCGACCTCAAGGATTTCAATAGTAAGTTTTTAGTTTGTAATTGAACTCTCGGGGGGACATTTAATTGCTTTTTTATTGACGGAAAGATTTTTTTCCTTTCGGTCAAAAAATTTCCGTAGCGCATCAAAATGATATCAGACTCATTTCAGTTTCCGAAATGTTAGATTACTTCTTTTCATGTTTCTCACCCAGTATTTGAAATTTTAAACAGCCCCTTTCAACTGTTTTTGCAATCTTTCTAGACATCCTGATTCTGGATGATAGCGTGTTCCTGTCCAAGATCTGTTCCAACGATCCAGAAGTGGACCTGGACTCGTGCCAGTGGAAGTTGGCTGATCCTCACAAAAAGCGACCGGACAGAAACACAGCCGTCAAGTGTTCACGACACAGACCCATCTGTAAGGACTTTGTTTTTGTTCATCGAAACGTTTGGTTAATTTCAAAATCATCAGTTTGAAATGATGCTAATTGTTATAGCTATAAGTCAAAATAAACATTTACACTATAGATCCTAATGATCCTTTCTTATCCTAAAAGTTTTTATGGGCGGGCTGGATCTAGGATTTTTTCGATTGGTGATTTTTCAAGGCAACAGCAATGAAGAATAACAACTTTCGCTTTCCTTAGGTACGGGCAGGGACTGTCACGAGTCGCAGCTGTTCAGCTTCTGGGCCAAAGAGAACAAGTTCAACTGGAAGATCTACTCAGACATCCGCAGCTGGACCATGTTTGAGAAGTCAGGAGTTCAGATCATAGACCCCAGCCAGGTGAAGAAGACCTCCACTGACATAGAGAAGGATCCGTGCACTGTGTGCTGTCAAGTGGGACCAGACAACATGCCGTACTCCCAAACTGTACGTGAAGTAGCTGCTAAATTTTGCTGTATTTAAAAGCTCTATAGACCGTTTTTTTTCCGAAAATTTTTCTTATCTAACCAATCTTATCTTTAAACTTAATGTTTAGTCGTGCTCAGGCGCGGATCTAATGTTTTACCGAGGGGTCGACCCAATTGTTCGACCCAATTAATACAGCGAGTACTCTCAAACGCTAAAAAGACTCTGTTTAGCCTAGAAATTTTTAGAGGTAAACTTTGGAAATAACACGCCAAATTGGTTTTTGGTAGTTTTTTGACGGTTTGGACTCGTACTTCCCCTCAAAATTAGTATATGTTGGTGCCTGTAGAAAAACAAATCGTTCGGATGTTCGGCTCAAATGACTGTCATTATCCTTGCGATAAGCAATGGTATTGCAATTGGGTACTAGAAATTTTTCCCGTGAATAATTCTGGTCACAGAATGATCAAACGGTAATCAGTATGGTGAAATAATCAGCATGGTTAATTAATAGCATGGTTACTGTATTGGCCTTGTGTTTACGTTAAGAGTTGCTTTTATTCGCTTATCAGATTCAAATTTTTTGGTAAATTTTTGGCATTGAGGTCGCTTGACTTTAATTATGTCGGCTTATTTTCCTAATGTTATACTAGTCATTCCTATTCACATTAGCATCAGCTAAGTGTATTATTAGGAACCTTCTTGTTTTTCTAACCTAAGTCGCAAATATTGGTGCAACTTCTCAGGCATCTAAACAGATTTTTGATAGCATGTGCTTTGACATTCGAATAGTAATAAATTAACACAAATGATGCATTTTTAATTCTTCAAATGAACCGAAAAAAAACTAAATCTTTCAAGCAGCATAAAAATCATAAAAAATCGATTTAAGAAGTTTTCTAACTCAATATATCTCGCAATTAAGAAAAATATATGATTTCTACATAATGTGGTTTTATGTTTTTCGAGTTTCACATGCCTAGTTAGTGTGTATGTCTTCAGTTTGTTCTATTCCAAATTGTTACTTGTAAAATTGTGTCTACTTGTGTTTGGTGCCGCTTTCGCTGAATTACTTTGGCAATTTATTAACATATGTAGCTGCTTCATTCGTGACTAGTGTTTATCGGTGGTTAAGCATGCGTGGCTAATTGGTTAGTGCGTGAGACTCAGAAGCTCTTGATTGCAGTAGGTCGCAGATCGAATCCTTGACCTAGCCGAATTTTTACTAATCCGAGGCTTATTTCAATTTTTTCTTATTGCACTTTCTATAGCTGCTTTTTGTCGTGTTCTCACTAGTGTTTGCGAAGCTAAGCTTGACTTCCGTGTTAGTATGTTGATTTCATAACTACTGATCGCTAACAGGAAATCTAAATCAGCCTCTTAAGTTTTTCGTAGTACAATTAGAAAAATTAAACCTAAATAATAGTCAACTTTTTTAAAAAAGAAACAATTTTCTTAAGGTCAATTTTCGGCTTTTCAGCTTGTTTGTTATAATAATTTCAAATTCAATCAATTATCGAGCGCATCGGGCGTTAAAGGTAACACATATGCTTGAGACGACAAATGCGTGTGGTTCGAATCCAGCTGGATTCTTTTTTTAACTAGAAATTTTCTGCTTTTTCATGCAATCGTCCGTCTCTTTTTTCGGCTTAGTTACCGTTGCACGGACTTCTTTTGAAGATTCAGTTTCATTCAATTTTTCTGAAGACCACTATTGGAAGTAATGGAGCTATACTTTTTTGCTAAATTTTTCCTGCGTTTTTTAGAAAGTTTTTCAATATAATTTTTACAAACTTTACAGAAATTTTATTTTGTCGGTTAATGAGCACGGAGTCATTATGGATGCGATTATGATTCTAGCAATCGGCATTTATCATATTCTAGAGACTAATATATTTTTTCAGCTTAGCCCAACTTTTTTAGCTTAGCGGTTTTCGTCTCAATTTCTGTAATGCCAGTTTGTTATGCTATGTTTGTGTTGTATTCCAAAATTTGTGCTTTTTGGTTTTCGACCTAAACTCTGTTGGTTTAGTTTCAAAATTGGGTCTTACATTCACTACATACAAAGCACTCCTGACACTTTATAAGCAGTATATTTCATTTGATTTTCAGCTTATTGGCTGTCGGTTTCTACAATTTTCCGGTTTTGTTTTAAAGATCGATAAGACTCTGGCTCTATATTTTTAAATGCTCAACATCAACCTCACAAGGTCCTCTCGAAAAAACTTAAATAAATTTAATCATTGAAAAGCTTCCTTTTTAACTTTTTTGAAAGTTTTTTTCTTGTTCCTTTTTCAATTTTTTTCTCGGCTCGAAGTCTTTTTTTTGCTACTTTTTTAAAGTCATCAGCGTTTTAATCTTATACTTGTTTTTATCGCAAGTGGTGCGAAGCTCAGCTTTGCCTCTGTGTGAAATAGTGCCGTATGGGGACCCTTTGGGTGACGAAATGAGTCGAATCCTTAAAGGATGGAGGGTTTACCCCCTAAATCCATTTCTAGTCGTGGTGATTCTTTTTCTCTTGAATTTCCTCTTTCTGCAAGAAGAGGAAAACCAACTAAACTATACAATGTTTATTGTTCCTAACACACAAGCTGTGGAGAAACAGCGGATTCGGGTGTTTTATTTTTTCCCTACACAAATTCCCACTAGTACCACAAGAACTACAAAGTGACTCGGTACTACAGGATCGAGTTATATATCAAATTCAGGCCGTGTTTCTAGCCGCAATGAAACATTTCTAAAACGTTTGACCAGCATCGGCGACAACTGGTTTGACTAGTGTTTTTCCCGCCCCACTCGCCAAAAAGTAATTTTAAAAAATCATTTTAAAATAATATTCAAATTGTAACTGTGTTTGAAGTTGCTGCTGCGTGAACAGCATCCGGATGCTCTTGATCTTAGATTTTCATTTTTTGAGCGGCTGTTTAAATTGTACGCTCAAACCCTGTGAACCCTGATGACAACTTGTCAATTTTCATAGGTACTGCCTCTAGAAGCCGTAAATAACAACTCAGAGTTGTCCTACTTCGACTCCGAGAGCTGCTTCGAGAAAGTGATCGATGCCAGCACTTACTGCTACCAGGACATTGCAATCTGTGGGAACTCTGAGGGGGTGAAGATGTCTTTTGCAAGTGGAAACGACACGGCTCCAATCAACATCGATAGTTTGAAAGGTAAGCTTCTGGTTGCATCGTTAGTAGTCCAGTTTTTGTTTTTGTAAACGGGAGAAAACGTACTAGAACCTTTAAAAGTTAGAATTTTTTGAAAATGTTATGCGAATTGAAATTCACAGGTTGTTACAAACAAACTTTTTGTAAAGATAAATAGTACCACAGTAACAAAAAAACGAAAATTGCTCAAATAATCTTAACTTTTTTCAGAAGCTGTCAGCACGGATAAAATGACTGTACTGAACATGTGCTTCTCTTCTGACATCTGCTGTGCAGCTGGCGACGACGCAGTCTACGTCAGAATTGTGGATAAAGACCAGCTGCCAACTAAGAGTTTCACTCTGGAATCATCAGGAGCTGTTCCGGATGTGAAGTTTGCTGGAACCGTTTGTTCCAGTGAGCAACAACAAACTTGAAATTTTGCATAATTCCGAAAAAAATATCTCTTCGATTTGTTGATGCATTGAATAAAAGAACCTAGGTTGCGTTTACGAAAAAGCAGTTACCTCTGGATTAATCTGTAATATCATCTCGTGTTTAAATTGTTACTAGACATTTCAATTAGGAGAGGAGGATTTCTAAGCAATATCGTCAGGAAAAGAATAATCAATTTTGATCTCTAAGTTCCCAATGAAGGGTTTTTCTCGATTTATTTCGAAAATCTTTTTCCTAGAACTGGAACCAACATGTGTGAGTTTGACTCGCAATCATAGAAGAGACATGTACATTAACAAGTACCTCGAGTCTGGCTACTATGCTGTGGATCCGGATGGACCAGGAGTGCTGGAACCCATCATGGTACACTGCGACTTTGACCACAAGGATCCAAACAACTCCATCTCAACAGTTAGTACAGGAAGCAGACAGATCATGCAATGTGTCATAGCTCGAGACTTCTTTCTCACGGCAAAGTTTTTTGCAATGGAGTTGATTTTTGCGCCTGCCTTTATTATAGGCCTCATTGAGTTCTATTTGACAAATGAGTACGCAGCCTGGTTTATTTCCCTCAATGATTTCAAGGAGTTTCCTAGCATGCTCTAATGTTTAAGATCAAATTGAAGTCATTCGCTGCTGCTATTAAATTGTTTTGTGTTATCTGAATTTACTTTGTAATATAATTCTGGAATCATTTCAGCCGGAAGGACAGAAAGACCCTGAGGATGGCGAGGACTATGACTTGGAAGAGCTGACTAACAAGACGTACGTGGACCAGGTCAATAAACTGGCTGAAGTCTCAGGATTCTGCAAACAGGTAAAACCACATTTCACTCGTAAATTTAAAATGAAGACATTTAAAAGTTTTTGTCTGAGATACAGGTCTTGACATGGGCAATATTTTTAACTTATCTCGTGCATTTCCTTAAGAATCTTACACAAGCGCCGTCCAAGAGTTTACCAAGATTCCTAATTAAATTTTAAAATATATCTTTTATTTTCTATTATATATCTTTTGATATTATCTATCCGCTAATTGCATTTTAGATGAGATTTTAAAAGCTTTTAGACAATATCAATTGCTTGCGTTTTTAGCTCGTGGACTATAACTGTGTCTCCAAAGCTCACCTGGGCCTGGAGGCAGTTAATGTCTCTTCGGGACGAGCCCAGTTCGACCTCTACTCATACAAGGACGGACAGTTCGGCCCAGGTGCCTCCCACTATGGATTCGACTACGTGGGATGTGTTTGCAGCACTACCTACAGCTGTTCTGTCAAGACAGGTACACGTTATACAGACCAGAATCAAGTCTAAATCTGAAATAGTAATTCATGCAGATGATTTTAATTTATGCTTTTCTTCTTTCGGGTCTTGTATATTAGTTTCTGTTAGGTTTTGTTCCATTAATTAAAAGATTTTTCAATTTTTTTTTAAAGTAACTTACTTCAGACTTGGGGGGGGGGGGATTCAGTTTTTTTTTCGCAAAAGAAGATGTAGCTTCTGAAGACGATGTTGAGATTTGATTTGTTGATCTGTAGATCTGTGTAATTGTGATGCGGATGGCGCTGGATATGATGGCGCCCACTTCATGGACAAGGACTCTCTTCCGGTCACTTTTGTGGCCGGACCAGAGTGGACTGACGCACAGTACACTACCACTGTTCACCAGATGCAGTGTGCTGACAATGTATGCCGTTATTTTCTCCTTTTCTGATCAAAGTTTCATATTTCGCATAAAAAAGTACTACTAATGACTAAATTCATGAAAGCAGTAAGATAGAATTAATGTTCATTCGGTATTTCCTTGCAATAAAAATATTTTGCTTCAAATTAAGTCTCTTTTTTTTATAGCACGCAAAGATCATGATTACAGGCTGTTATAATTACGATTATTGTTTCCGATTATTATCGAAGAATGGGAAGGAACTTTGAATTCGGGTCGGTTTTTCTCCATCCAATTTTGACTACCCCAAGTAAAGGTCGTTGGGGGCCAGTGTGGTTTCATATAAAAGCCTTTTTTGGCTGTGATTTGGATTCTAAAAAAAATCGATAAAAGTAATCTCTGTGTCGAGAACAATTGGTCTGAAAATTGTCGATTTTCAGACTAAATTTGACCAAAGCATTGATGAGAGGCTGACCTCCCAGTACAATTTAAATTTTATTTTATTGCCAAAATGTTCAGTTCATGTTACCCATGTTTCCTCTCATTCTTACAGTTTTTCGATTTAATTCAGTCGCTTTTTTTCTAAGAAAAAATCAAATCAACCTTGAATAAATTGAATAGGTACAAAAAAAACGAAAAAGAATACTCAAAGGTGAAAGAATATCGAACAAAAAAGTTTATAGAAAGTTTGATTTGTTTCCTTTTTATTGAACCAATGTGATCGGAACATTCGGTGCTACATGTACACCAACAGATTATCCTTGTTTCCTTTTGAAGCAACAACATAAATGTGACGAAGTGTCACTGTGACTAAATGTGATGAATTTGTGTTTTTCAGTTACCTGTGATCTACGACAACAAGACATGCGATGACCTCGTGGAGGCTGGAGTGAAAGAAGGCTACATTGTTGTCGACTCTGATATTGTGGGACCAGTATTCTGCAAAGAAGAGGAAGGTACTTGGATGTACTATATTATTCGAGGAGTTCTGATTTTTTAATCTTCTCATTTCTCTCCAAGATGACTGTTTGATTTAAAAAACAATGGTCTTAAATCGCGCTCAGTTATCGAAAGCCTTACGGTCCTTCAAAATTAGGTATTGCTATTTAATATGTTCATGATCAATCACCTTTTTTTCTATCACATTATCTTTTTTTTTCTTCAAAAAACCAAACAAAAGTTTTCGACTTCGACAAAACCTTTTTTATGTCCTTCTATATACAGTTTGTTTCTCTCTGCTTTGAAAAAGAATTGAAAGAGATCTGATCTTTTGTTGATGCAGACCAGAACGTGTTGACAATCTACCCCGACAAAGTCACTGATCCAGACGAGAAGAGCGAGACTGAGGAGCAGTTCGATTGTTCGGAGGAGGACAAGGTCATCGACATCGACTACGCGGGACTGACCAACTATGACCAGATGAAGATCAAGGAGTCCCACACTTGTCATCAGTACATCCGATTCTGCAGTGACTCCATTGGGGTGGGTTCTTGGCCCCTTCGTTCATTGAAACAACGGGCTTTATTTTTTTGCCACCTTCCAAAATGCACCGCACGTGCGATTTGAACCAGCAATCATATGATTGCTGGGCGCCATCACTACCGGAGCGTGACAAGGTCATCCACTTTTGTACGGCCAACCCTCAAAGAAGCCATACAAAAACGCAGAGGAATACTATGTTTGGCTCGAAATTCATTGAGCTCATTAATCGTTTTTTCCTAATCTTCTTGAACTCTTTGAATGAAAATTGATTGGAGAGCTTTTGAAGCGATTGAGAATAAATAGGAATCCCGAAAACTGGCCATAGTTTTGTTTTTTAGGTGCAAAAATTCTTTTTAATTAATGGAGAAAGTTTAATACTGTTTCTAATTTTCTGTGAATAATTGTATTCATAGATACTATGACCTCAGTGAACTGATGGTGGTTTCATCTATTATAGCATTGCCCTGTTGTTTATCGCAGGTGTCTGGTAACCTGCAGTGGTATTCTGAGGACGTGGATGGGGTTGAGACGGGACCCTACACTGTGTGGGGAGGACAGGAGTCCGGATGCACATGCAAAAGAGACGACACTTGCTTCGACAGATCCAAGTGAGTACCAATCTTTCTTTATTCTTTTTTTTCTGGAACAAACAAAACAAATCCGAAGAGTTCCAAATTTTGTGATGCGGTCGATTTTCCGGTAATACCAATTTTTTTTTAAATTAAATAGCTCGAATATGCGATATTTGTATCTTAAGAATGACCCAATAAGTAGCAAATTCAACCCTCCCCTGGGTTCTATTTTCTGGCATTTTTTTAGTCAACCAACCCGGATTGATGGGCATCAACACTACCGGAGTGCCACAATGACATCCACTTTCGTACGGCCAACCCTAAAGTTTTTTTAAAGCCACTTTGGTGCAAATTTAGAATAAATTTGCGGGGGAGCGCATTCCGAAAAAAAACACTTTTTCAAATCAAAACCTTGCTGTTTGTACCAAAAACATGATTTTTGGCCAACAACTCGAAAAGTCGTAAGATCTGCGCCTGAACCCAATAATATCTTCTTATTTACACTTGTGAGAGCAAGTGTCTTGTAATTGGGAACTGATTTAAAAAAATTTTTTTCCAGTAAACACTTTTTCTTACAAACCTTACCTGCTTCACTATTGAACTTTAACAACCGGACCTTGTTGTTCCGACTTTCGATACGAAAGTAACGGAATACTTGTACTCGGGTGGATTTTTTTTTTCTTCAGACAAATTTCAACTTTTTAACTAGCCATTTTTGACGGATTTTTTTTTATATCATTCAAAAGGTATTGTTGTCTTGAGCATAAAATTTGAAAAGATATTTCACCTGTGATTGTTTTTCGTAAAGTTATGAGGGTTTAAAGATTGCCATTTTGACCAATTTGGGACAATTAACGCGCGATATAATTCACGCTATTAACGAATAAGCGGAGATTTAATCCGTCTTGTAAATCGTTCCAAATTGGTTGACGAAAGGTATTTGCCATAATTGATTTGTTACAAGGAACGAAATCTATCTTCTTATTTTTTATATGGCGTGTGGGGGGATGATTTTCATAAAAAATTTCAAAATTTAGAAAAAAAAAATTTCATTTTACTTTATTTCATTTAATTTTTTTGTTAATACTGCTGCTCCATAAACCTTAAAAGGCAGTCGGAACATTCAGGGCTTTGCCCTGAAACGAGCAGTCTTGTTGTTTCGGTTTTTGATACAAAAGTAACGGAATATTTGTGCTCGGGGTGGGTTTTTTTTTCTTCAGACAAATTTCGACTTTTTAACTAGCCATTTTTGACGGATTTTTTTAATATCCTTCGAAAGGTATTGTTGTCCTGAGCTTAAATTTGAAAAGATATTTCACCTGCGATCATTTTTGTAAAGTTACGAGGGTTTAAAAATTGCCATTTTGGCCAACTTGGGACAATTAACGCGCGATATATTTCGCGCTATTAACGCGTAAGCGGAGAGTTAATCCGTCTTCGAAATCGGTCCAAATTGGTTGAACGAAGCTTATTTGCCATAATTAATTTGTTACAAGGAACTAAATCTATCTTCTTATACTTTATATGGCGTGTGGAGGGATGATTTTCATAAAAAATTTCAAATTTTAGAAAATTTTCATTTTATTTTATTTCATTTAATTTTTTAATGTTATTACTGCTGCTCCATAAACCTTAAAAGGCAGTCGGAACATTCAGGGCTTCGCCCTGATACGAGCAGTCTTGTTTTTTTTGAGTATCTATGCGATTGAAATATTTTTCCGGTAAAATTTGAATTGTGGGATTTTCGTCTGTCTAGTCAAGTTTTGTCTGCTTAGTTGGCACATCGCGGATTTATTATGTGCTGCTAGCAATTTCCACTGTATTTTCAAGTGCATGTGTTATTCATTGTATTTTCAAGAAGGACTTTAAACTTAAAAGATTTTTTTTTTCATAATATCTTTTTCTTCGGCTCAACTTGTTTCTGTTCAAAGAGTATCGGCTTCGATTCATCTTGAGAAGTTTTTTTCCGTTGCTTATTTAATGTTCAAATGTCTGGGATGAAAATTTCTGTGAGATATTTTAAATTTTGGTAGACCCAGTTTAAATTTTAGTAGACCCAGTTTATTTTTATTACGTTTTATATGTTTGACCAATTTTTTAATGTTTTTATATTTTTGTTTATCTCAATTGATGCGATGCTCCGCTTCGCCTCTGTGTATATTTTGACTCTGAAGCATCGACTTGCGACCTTTCCCGAAAATTTTTTCCGAAGAAAAAATATCAGTAAATCGAAAAATTTTACCTCAGCGCTGGAATGGAACTTGCTAGTTTAGCAAAGATGAATTGCCATTTATATGTGTACTTTAACATTTCATAGGGAGTGCAACACAGATGCGTTGTCTGGTGTGAACACGGACGACTTGCTGTGCGACGGTGGCTACATGGACTACAAGCAGGGACAGGCAGCTGAGGCCTCTTTCGGATTCCTCACTCGAGTAGTGGTGAAGACGGACTCAGCCACTCAAGGCAACTGCAGTGCTAACATTACGATTGGACCTGTGAGGTGTATGCCTGCCGAAGAAATACCAAGTGAGTTTCAATCAAGAACTGTCAACACTTGTCACCATCAACATTATATAATAGTACTGGTGAAATTTTCACAGATACCACAACGAAAATGCATGTCTCAGGTCTTCCCCCCACCATATTTAGACAAAAAACTTATTTAAGTTCATTTATAACTGTGACCATTACCAGATTTAGGAATTTTGCGTGATTCATAGACGACTTTGTTTTAGAAATCATGACGTGTAATGTGAACATTGAGGGGTTTTCGTGTTTCAGATTTTAACACCATATCACTAGTATGATAAATTGTAAGTGTAAATGAAACGCAATGAGTTATGATCAAGTAACCAATATTTTTCCTACAGAAACTAACGAGTGCGAAGAAGTGTACGACGACTGCTTCCCTCGGAACAGATCCGAGTGCATCGAACAAGACGACGGGTTCACATGTGAGTGCATGGCGCCTTACACTGAAGCTGGAAACGAGAAAGGAGGTCGGAACTGTGTGGACGTGGACGAGTGTGAACGAGAGACGGACGACTGTAATAAACATGCGGAGTGTACTAATTTGGACCCCAAATGGGAGTGTACTTGTGGCGTGGGGTTCACAGGGTCTGGCAGCGACACTTACCAGCCTAATGGAAATTCAAATGACGATGGTTGTTTCGGTTAGTTCATAATATACTTAATTATTTATTGGATATATTTAGGGACATTACTTATTTTTTTCGTTGAAACTTGTTTGACTAGTTGCAAATAAAATCTAATTAGCTTTCAAGATGAAGGTTTTAACTGTTAGTCATTATTTACAAAAAATTGTATTCATTCAAGGCATTTGTTTTCTTGAGAACTTTTTTTTACGAGTGTGATCCTTGTGTGTTTTCTATTGTCAATTGCGAATTGCATAATTGCATCATTGACAAAAATACATCACCACGTGATCAATCATTTATTAATGACTTTTCAGACATCAACGAGTGCGAGTATGACCCCAGTGACCCTAATGCAGACACTAATGGTCCATGTGGAGACAATGCCCTCTGCTACAACACCTATGGCTCATTCGCATGTGTGTGCCCCTATGGATACAGTGGAAACGCATACGTCGAATGTCAACGTGAGTTCCATCAATTTTTTTTATCTGGGAATGTACTTGGAAGGTACGGGAATATACTTTCATCGGGGACGAAAATGTCCAAATTCGAAATTGAATTTTTTTCGTTAGTGTTCCCTTAATGGGCAGTGTCTGTCAAGATCGATACAATCGGCTTCTTAATTTTTTTAATTATACGGAAAATGAGCTTTTCTAGGTTTCTTTATCCCCTGTAACCTAATTTAAAGCAAATTACGCCTCTTTTTAATCATCAGTGGTTTCTAACTTGTTCACTTAATTACGATGAGAATCATTGTAATCTTTCTTCCATCTGTGGTTTTGATGTTCTCATATCATGAATTTTGACGTTCTCATATCATGAGTTTTGACACACCCATTTTCTCTCCTTTTTGTTGCAGCTCAGTGTGAGTGTCTCATCTGGGGAGATCCTCATTACATCACGTGTGATGGACTGGTGCACCACTACATGGGCAACTGCAGACACCAACTGCTGGGACCCTGCCAATCATCCATGGTTAGACTAAACTAACTAGTCAAATCAGCTGAATGAAAAATATTATTCTCTCCTTCGTTAAAATCAATCAATAGAACTTGTTACTTCTTGCTATTTTACTGCTTAGGATTTATTTTTTAGTAGTTTTGTGTGAGCTAGTGAAAATTGGACCATGTTTGCTTCGATTGGTTTGATTCAATCAATCAAGGTGTTTTATTTATCTTGAAAAGGAAATATGATTGCTTTTGAAATCAAAAACGACACAGCTCTATGGTTAAGGAGTTACCACTTTATGTGACCATGGTTAATTGTGTGACCAATAAGTTTATCTGGAATAGTTGACTAGTACAACTCTATCTTTCTGTTCTAGGTAGATGACTTCCCGTTTGTGATATTTGGGACGAATGTTCTGGACAAGGGATACCCTGACAAGGATGGAGTGGTGAGGACTAAGAAGGACAGTTACACTAGCTCCATGAGATCAGTCGAGGCTTGGTTCAGACACGACACAACTGAACCATTCGTGGTATGCATGTCAACTGCTGATTAAGAATAGTTATAAGTATTAACAATCCTAATGATATAAATAATTACTCGAAATCCTTGAAAATGAAATGTTTCATCAAATGAATCCAACAGAAGCTGGTGCTCTTATGTGCGCGTCTCAAAGGGTAGAAAAATGCGTGTCTGAAAATCTAATTAAACTAAAAAAGATTTTAACTCAATTTTAGCATCCACATTCAACGATTTTTTCTACAATATGCAATTAACCGTTCTTTAGGCGTTGAATGACTACATGGTGAAACAATTATAAGTTAGATAATGTAATTCTGAATGTTCTAGAAAATTCTAATGGAGATGGACCGCATTGAAGGCGGAGATGTGAAAAAGAGTCTGACTATTGATGGAATTGGAAAGAGGTCTGCTCACAACATCGTAAGTTGACCGCATTATACAACCAATTCAGGAGGCAATGAGTTCGATCCCCATTAATTGCACAGTAAACTCGTCCATTACAGTGAACTTCTCAATAAATCTGGCATTTCGTTTTTCCGAGTGCCAGACGAATGAACTGCTTCAGATCAAGGTAGCATCTGTAATGACTGCTTTGAAACTCGATAATCGATCCCATAAGAAATATGCAGAACTTTTCATACGACCCAGAAAACACGTTTTGTAGCTTTGACCAGTTTAAATTTTTGCTAGTTTATGCCGTTGATGTATTACAGCAAGTCTAGCTTTTGTATCATATTTTCAGTTTTTTTTGTAGAAAGACGCTCAAAAAAGATTCACAGTAGACCAGGAAGGTGACAATGTAGTGCTGAGGCTTCTCGGATTTGGCCAAGCACCAGTGATCACCATCACATGGGACGGTGAGTAACTAACAAACGGCTCATGCTCCAAACCCTCTCGTCCCAATAAAGATTCTGTCTGGAGCCCAATGAACTGGAATCTAACTATTTAACAGCTGCTTGTATCTTTTCATGTCTACTTTACAATTTCTTCTTGCAAAGAGGGATACTATAACGAGTTCTAAATCTGTATATGCTCAAACCTCAAAATTATCGAGCTTCTGACGCTCGTTACAAGCATCTTTTTTTTCGAAACTCAGAAGCCTCTTTTCAGGTATCCGACAAGCCAAGATTGAAGCAAAGAAAGGCTACGTTGATGACGTCAAGGCTGCTCTTAGAATGTTGACCAATGAGAGCACAGTGTGCGGTCTGTGTGGAAACTACGACGGAATTCCAGGAAACGACCGACTGCCCAAATGGGTAATTGCACAGATCTGGAATTTAGTTATTTGGTATACGTCAATTATGTTTTATACGTCAACTTTTTTTGTTTTGAGAGCAACTGTCTTAACTGCAACGAATAAATAGTCCAGTTCGCCTTAAATAATTCAAATTAAAAGGTTTAAAGCTGATAATTTGAGCAACGAAATTTAAAAAAGGTGGCGTCAAAAGTGTGAAAGCTAAACCTTTAAAAAAATACATTATGAATTTTGTCATTCGGTTCAGTCTTTCCAGTGCTTTTGAAGTATTTTGTTTTTCCCCCTAATTTCGAGCAAAAAAAGCGAGCGAGCAGGCTTATTCTAAGAGAATATGCTGGCCATGACATTTTTATTCAAGTCCAAAAAAAATTAATTTTACTCCAATAAATTAAGTTTTGATTTTTTTCAGAGCGATTTCGGGAATAAACAAATTCCAAAATTCGAAAAATTCTAAGAAGATACAAAAAATTCTATAAAGATACAAAGGAGATACAAAAATGAAGCCTAAAAAGTACAAAAATAAGTTTGTTATTAGGGTCAGTCTTGCCAGTGCTTTCCTTTATCGATGGTGTTTTTTGTTTTAATATTTTCATCTTAGTTCTTCTAACTCTTATCATTTTTTGTATCACGAGTTTATCTATGTAGGTCTGTCCATTTTTGTTCCGGAGAGAACTTTTGTTTTCGGGCGTGTTTTCGTTTTTTTTCCTACTCAAAATAATCTTCGGAATATATCATGTTAAAGCCCTTTCAGCTTTGATTCCAATGACATTCAAAAAAATCTCATAGAAGTTTTTCTGTGTCGAAAAAAAAACAGGTTCATAATTTTTTGTTTTTTTTTCGTCTAGTTTCGAGCAGAAAAATTGATCGAACAGAACAGGCTTATTATAAGAGAATATGCTGGCCGATCAACTTTAATTCAAGTCCAGAAAACGTAATTAAATTCAACTATTATTTTTAAAAAAGTTTTTGTAGCGCAGTTTTGAGAATACAAAACTTCAAAAGTTTCTGAAAAAATATAAAAATGAAAGTAAAAAAATTTAAGTCATTTTTTTTTGAAAAAGAAAACTGTTGTTCAATTTGCCTATTGAATAATAGTTAAGGAAGGTGCATTTGTTTAAAGTTTTCGTTAAGATTTTTTATCGCACCTTGCACACAAAACGTCACTAATTTGAAGAAAAAAAATGTATAAAAAAACTGCTTCTTGTTTTTTTTTGTGTATGGTCGGAAATTTCGGTGATGCTTGTACCGTAACCGGTATTCTTGTCTTATTTTCCATTCTTCCCAAATAGTTTCGACTTACTCCATATGAACTCCTCCATGGTATGTTGTATTTCAGTAATTTCTATAGTGTTGAACATCTTTCCATTTTTGTTCCGACAACAGAAAATAGGGAGGGACTTCGTATTCGGGTCGGGTGTGTTTTATTTTTTTTTCCGCGCAAAGTCAGGTACCACAAATAATCATGTGAAAGGGTCGCGTGATATACCATATTGAAACCCTTGCAGCTGTGATTCGATTTCTGTTTTTACCCTTGCGATAAGCAAGGGTATTGCAATTGGGCACTAGACTTTTTTCCGGTAAATACTTTCGTTCACAGGACTCATCTGGACTCCTGGTGGTGCCTTGGTTCATGATTAACTCAATTTCATTAGTTTTTCCTGCGCTTTTGGTCTGGAGGTAGCAAATAGGCCTAAGACGGCCAGGTCATGGGTTCAAATCTGATTAGGACTTGTTTTTTTTTAAATGATAAATGACTTGTTTAAAACAATTCCGGCCTATTATTTGTCTGCTTATGTTTTTTTGGCTTAGTTGCTACAACTAAGAATCGTTGGCTCTTTTTCCTTTTCCCCTCACCTCACATATACATCAATTTTATGTTGTAACGATTGGTTTTACAAGGTTAAGTATGAAGAACAAATATGTTTGTCATAGCCTACTTAGTCCGCATACCAATTTTTGTAACAACCGATGATGTGAACAAAACTTTACTATTAAAATTTCGCGGATGGGGGGAAGAAAAAGAGCCGAACCATTTTGTCTTTGGTGTAAACAATTTTTCATTCCACTATCGAACAGCCACAATGAAAAGGTCACAAAAACAAAGCATATGCACTATCCGACAGCAAAAAGCTAAAAGTAAAAAACACGAATGGATTCTAATTTCATTTTGACTTCTAGTTTATTTAAAAACGTGCGTAGTTTTTAAAATTCCAGCGGAATAAAAAATTACCTTTTGATCCAGTTTCTTATATTCTGAATGAGATAACTGAAAAAAAAAAATGCGAATTATAAACAATTCTTGAAATTTGACGAGCTTTAACGTGGTATTTTTTTCTTCGAAATTAGAAAGTTGGCTATGTTTTTTGTTTTAATGTTTCTGATAAATGGTGTAATTTGCTTCTGAAAGTAGACCGCAGCGTTCTGGGTAGTTCTTGAGGTTTTGGATAATATTTTTTTAATGAATTGGTTGTTAAGAGTGGCATTATCGGCGCTGGAAAGATGCTCTGGAAATGAAATTCATTTGTTAGGAATGATGGGCATTTTAAGCATATGAAAAAAGAATAACAAAAAGGTGTCAGCACAAAACGAAGATACGCCTAGCGCTGGATTGAATGATCACCGCCTCAAAATAGCTCTTATTCCATTTTTAGATATTGTCTTGCTGAGATACTATCAATAAGCTTGGGCTATTTGTCAGTAGTAGTTTTTGAAATTTGCAAAAACTTTGCCCAATTTGTAATTAAAAAAACTTTGCCCATATTTGTTATTTAAAATAACTTTGCCCAAAAATTACTATTACAGTCATGGACAAAAAATACTATTTCAGTTATGGACTTCTAGTTTTTCGATTTTTCACGCTCGAAACTTGTGGCCTATCCGCTTCTAATCCTTACTTACAACATGGCAACCTCTGCCACATGACATTCCAAGTGAAAATAAATCACAATAAAACTACCATACAACCGTCAAAAAAAGGCCAAAATACAACCGCCTCAGGCAAAATTTTGAAAAACAGGCCAAAAACGGCTTTTTAAGGCTTTTTTTTAAAATTTTCACCAAAAACTCGCGGTTTTTCGGCGCGCGCTCACTCCTCAAAATTACTATATATTGGCGCCAAAGGTGCCTTTACTTAACTTTTATAGTCCGTCACCGAAAATGAATAATCTCAAAATAGTACAAAGGGGACCCCTTAAATCCGCTGGTGAGAGTATATATTCTTGCGGAGTTAACTTCGTTTGGGTTTGTCAGCTGCATTGGTTTTGAGTTTATTATGAGTATGATTAGTCTTACATTGCGTTTGCTTTAGCCCGATACCCATTACTACTACCGAGACAACTACCGAAACCTGGATGCTGAAACAGATCCAGCCTCGTGCAAAGACGACCCACCGAGTAAAACTGAAGACCCATCTGGCATTTGTGGCCCCGAAATGCTGCCAGAGGCCACTGAAGTGTGCGACATGATCATGACTGAGTTCAAGGAGTGCATTGACTTGTTCTCGAAGACATCGGGTGCGTCGGCATTCCGCGATGCGTAAGTGCTGAATTATTTAATAGCTAAATGCAGCTTTTTACACTTGCGATTGGGAAGGGAAGCGTTATCAAATCGGAAAATATACTTTTTCGGGTTAGCAACTTGTCTGACAGAATCACTTGTCTTGTTTTATAATGAATTCAAATTTTGAAGCTCTCCGCCACACTTAGTCTAGAGGCAACGAATACGCCTGGGACGGCAAAGGGAAACGGGAAATTATCCGTTTATTTTTTACGGGAAATTTTTCTTCAAACGGGAAATTCTCCGTTTCAAAACAGTTGACGGCTTATTATTTATCTGTTATGTTTTGCCGGCTTAGTTGGCACATCTTAGAAGTTTCTTGATGTATGCAGTTTTCATTGTTGTTTCATTTTATGTTTTCCCAATTTGTAATTCTACTAACCTTGACTTCGTATATTTTCCTTGTTTTGATTTTTTGCTTCAAAAACTTTTCGTCCGTAAAGGTTTCGGCTCATAATTCGTCGGCTTACTCACCTAATTTTGAATTGTTTGGGGAACCATGCTTTTTTTGCTTTCCTCCGGATTTTACAAAACGTTAAAAGTCTCAGAATAAAATTTATACTTCAAAGTTTTTCATGACAACAATTTTATTTTCGCTGAAAAATTGTTTTTAAATTTTCACTAAACGCCGTCTAATGTGTTTCTGAACGTGTTTTCCGCTAATAGAACATCATTCCAGGCAAAAAAATTTCGGTAATCGCATTATGCTATTTGGGTTGTGGTGTCGCAAGTGATACGAAGCTCCGCTTCGCCTCTGTGTTAAAAACCGGCTTCTTACTATTGTTCCCTTCAAAAAATCCTGCAAAGATATCCTCTCATGTAATTTTTTTAGTCCGGAACTTCCAAATATTGCTCAACAATGTCCTTTTAGGCCTTATTTTTTGGCAAGCGTTTTGCAAACGGGTACGGGTATTAGACTTTTTTCGCATAAGGAGTTTTGTTCACAGAAAATATAACACGTGTTTTGAATGCTTCGTAATTAATTCAGATTTCTTAGCGCTATGGCTCACTTGGTCTTGAGTTAACAAGTGCACCTGGAACGTCAAAACATCCTAGGTTCGAATCTGGCCAGGGCTTGTTTTTTGTTAAAAGGAAAAAACTCACTGGAAGGAAAATTGTCGGCCTATTATTTGTCTGCTTACGTTTTGTCGGATAAGTTGACACACAACGGGTTTTTGTTGTGCTTTAAATGCTTTTCATGTAATTGGAAATGTTGTAATTTTTTTCTTGTGAATCGTTGATTTATGACATTTGATTTTTTTTTGTTTTTTCCTGTTTTTCGCTAAATGTTCATTTGGCCTCATTTGTGAACATTTCAATTTACATTTTATCGGCTTGGTGACCTAAACTTACGTTTTTTGAAGGAAAAATAGATGTTCATAATCATGTTTGTTCTCGGAGGGGGAGTGTAATTAAAGAATTTTAAACTGTTCGAAAGTTTTTCATAAAAACAATTTTGTTTGCGAGTCAACGGGAGTTTACCTAATTTTACCTAATTTTTTAGCATAGTTACCGCTCGATAAAGTTTTTCGAGTGCTTGTTTATTGCCGGAGATTGTGTGCGGGATGTGTTTTTCTCAAACCAACATCATTGCAGACAAAACTATTAAATTTTGGTGGTGGCGATTTTAAAACGTAAAAAAAAAGACTTTTGGATTACCAACTTGTTCAACAGAATCATTTGTTAGTGTAATTGATGTCGCATTGTTTGTGTGAAAATAGCTCAGCTTCGCCTCTGTAATATTAATTGAAATTCAAGGAGCATTCTGCGTATTTGGCGCAGCACTAATACCCAGGCCTAATGAGGGTAATTTTCTGTTATTTTTAAAACTAAATTTACTCATTTAATTTTTTTAAATTTTGAAGAGCATTGAATGTTTTTTGTTCTTTTTTCAGGAAAAAAGTTATAAAATTCTCCAATAACTACAGTTGTTTTTTACCATAATAGTAACGTTTACGATAAGGAAAGGTTATCCACACTAAACATCAATTTTTTTCAGGTCAACCTTTGGTATTACATAATCTTCGATTTTTTGTCAGCTCTGAGGTTTCGTAAACAAAAGACAAATTTTGAGCGGTTTTTCATTCCAAATTCACGTTGTTCGAACTTTTTTTGTTGATTTTTTTGGTCGGATTTGGTGTAAGTTCAGTTTGTTTCTTTTTCAGCTCTATTTGTCTTATAAGTTTACGGCTCATATTACATCGGCTTAGTTGCTTCGATGAGCAAACATTAATTTCCTATGCGTGTGTTTTGAGGAAATTTTTTGTGAGTTTTGAGGTTTTGTGAAGAATTTTTTAAACCTATCAAGATTTAGAAACCTATCAAGATTTTTGTAGATTTTTTTCAACACTTTTCTCTTTTTTCTTTTTAAGCGGCTTTTTAACAGTGTATTTGTGTGGTTTTGCAAGTTTTGCGATGTTCGCTTTGCCCCGATGTATGTCAACAAAAATTGCAATTCAAAAAAGTATAAGATTGAAAGTTTTGCAATGATTCTAACAATATTCGGCCCTTTGGTTGTAACTGTTATTTATAGTGATGTAACAACTTGTTTTATCGTTGTTTCGACAACCTAAATTGGAAGAAAAACCTTGTACTCATGCACGTTTCAGTTTTTTAACATTTTCTTTTCCTTGCAAAGTCAATTATCACAATAAACCGTTAGATGATGTCTAGTGATATCATTTTATATCCTGTTCAAACTTGACTCGATCTATTTTTAAAAAATTTCCAAAATGTTTTCTCAGTGTCGAGAAAAACCTGGTCATACTTTTTGATTTTTTCGTCTATTTACACAGCGGGTAAAATTAGTAAAGCATTTTAATAAAAAACTAAAAATACTGAATGAATGAAAATTTTTTAGCTCAATTAACAAGTTTTCTCAGTGTCGAGAAAGACCTGATCATACTTTTTGATTTTTTTGTCAAATTACACAGCGAGTAAAATTAGTAAAGCATTTTAATAAAAAACTAAAAATTCTGAATGAATGAATTTTTTTCAGCTCAATTAACAAGTTGTTGTTGTTTGCAGGTGTATGATTGACCACTGTAAGTTGAATGATTCCTGCTCTACCATTCGTCTCTACTTCGACATGTGCAAGTCCATGGCCAATGGTGCCCTCAGGGCCAAGATCGAAAAAGAACTCAGCATCTGCGGTGAGCTGGATAGTTTTTTCACCCCCTTTTTAAACCCCTGGCAACTTTTTCTTGTTTTTTGGTGTGATTCATGGCTTCAAAGATGGTTCAAAATCAAAATTTATTTTATTATCACATCTGACATGATGCTCAGCGTTCTGAAATTATTTACAGCGCTGCGAAAATATTTGACGAAAATTTGGAAATTCAAATAGGGGGGGGGGGGGGGGTGAAAAGATCAATTTAGCAACTCAAGCATCGATTAGTGCTGTGAATCAACGAAAGGAAATTTTGTTTATGTGTTTACCAGAGGTGGAATGTGAGGAGGGCTTTGAGCCGAAGAACTGTTCGAGTGAGATGGCCTTCCAGTGTGACCTCGTTTGTGGATCCCCCCAGAACGAGACCATGTGTGCTCAACAGATGTGCAACCCCTCCATGTGTGTGTGCAAGGATGGACTATACAGGGAGGGCAGCAGGTGCATTCCCAAAGAGGACTGTGGATGCTTCAAGAGTGCTGAGGACGGATACTTCAAGGTCAAGTCCAATATTATTTTGACCATTTATCCAACGAGGAGAAAAGACATTATACGAAATATTCCATCCTTCGCGGATAAATGCTATTGTACCCTCGGTCGAAATATACAAGCAGGGGCGGTTCTAGGATTTTCTCGAGGGGGGGCTCTCCCAAAGCATCAAAAAGACCCTGTTTTGGTCAAATTTTCTGCGTCGCAGGCAAAATTTTGAAAAAAAACAGGCCAAAAAAGGCATGTTGCACGCTCCCTTCCTCAAAAATTAGTATTTATTGGCGCCTTGAGAAAAATTTTAGGGTACTTACCAAAAATAGATATCTCAAAATAGTACAAAGGGGGGACCCTTTGGGTCGGCAGGGGGTCGAATCCCTGAAAGGGGCGCATCTCCCCCCCCCCTAAATCCGCTACGGCATACAAGCCATTTGTTTGGTTAATTCTTTAGGCTGAGAATTATTGCCTCACCCTCTCCGTTAACGAGCCTTATTGTGTCCGTTTTGTCAATCGAATCAAAGTCCTTTTCGATACTCGAGAAGAAATATTTCGAGTTCAAGAAAGATCGAAAAAAAATAACACAGACGTTGATGATTATTTATTGAGCGTGATAAAATCCATGTTTACAGAATGGAGACTTCTACATAAACGAAGACTGCACCTCGAACTGTACTTGCAAATCAGAGACTGGTCAGTTCGACTGTGCAGACAACCTCATGTGTGATTTGGAGATAGCAGTTTGTGGACTGGACACTGAAACATCCCAGCACACTTGTGACTGCAACGAGGGATACAGGATCGGACAGTATGCCAATGGAACGTGGCACTGCCAAGGTCAGTCTATAAATCATATTCATCAAAATTAAACTCAACAAAAGCAAATTCATCAAAGTCAAATTCATCAAAATCAAATTCATCGAAATCAAATTCATCAAAATCAAATTCATCAAAGTCAAATTCATCAAAATCAAATTCATCAAAGTCAAATTCATCAAAATCTAATTCATCAAAATCAAACGCAAATCATCAAACAGCTTTCGATTTTTACCATGCAGTTATTATGTTTTATAAAGAGTAATGAACGTAGTGAAGACTCTTATCTAGGTCTTGCTGATTTTTTTTGTTTTTTTTTGTAGGAAAAAGTCTTAAAATATTGATGCACTAAAGGTCTTAAAATATTATAATGCATTTTTTGAGTTCAATTGACATTCATCTGCTGAAAGTGACGAAAATAGCACTCTTCCAAATACGAACTTGGAAATGGCGCAAAAAACGTGAACGATTTCTAGTTTCGAAAGTGGAAATTAATTTTTAGATTTCGAGCGGAATAAAAGATCTACCTATTGATCCAGTTTTCTCAAGTTGGGTCCAGGTTATCAAAAAAGTGCCAATCATAAATTGTTCTAGAAATTCAAAGAGCTAAAGGGCATCTATTTTTTTCTTTGAAATTCGAATGTTGAGATGTTTTTAAACAAAGTCTGTTTTTTATATGTTTAATTGCGTTCATTACTCTTTTCCAATCTTCGATCGGCTATGTTATAAATTTGAACTTAAAGTTCAGGGAACATTCGATCCAAATTATTGACAAGTTAAATTTTTCCATAGGTCATAAAAGGTATGAGATCCGGAAACGCAACGAATAGAGAAAGAATTAAAATAAAAAACAAATTATGAACTTCGAAAAACTTGAATAAAATATCATGAACTCAGTCTTGATCTATGTTTGACATTTTCAGACATCAACGAGTGTGAGGAGGGCCTGTCTGACTGTAAACATACGAACCAGACTTGCACCAACACTATTGGAGGATACACGTGCAAGTGCGACAAAGAGGTAACTACAACCTCTGCGGATCGCCAGATAATTTTCGATAGCTAATCAGTTTGTGAAAAATTCTGGCCCAAATAAGCTGATTGTCTATCATCTCCTTTGCTGATTTTAGTTTCAGTCTTTAATTTAATTGTTTATAAAACGTTCAATTATTTGATTTGATGATTTATACCGATTTCTTGAAATAAAGTTTTCCCAATTAAGAATCCCTGATTATGGCTCAATTTAAATACTGATACCATTGTATGAACAAGTATGAACGTGGTCAAAGATACGCAGCGGTTTTGAGTTCTTTTTGTCGTAAGGTTAGTTTTTCTGATGAATTAAAAAAGTGGTACAAATTGAGAAAAAGTGATATACATCTGGCATCATGAATTTGTTGCAAAATTGCTTTGAGTTGAGAGTTAAATGGATCTCACATTTTAAATTTCTTGTTCCAAAACTTCAAAATGACTGTTGTGTTGTGTCCTCCTGTGTCCAGCCTGGCTACATTGACGATCCAGACAGCATAGGAGAGTTCGGGGCCGAGAACTGTCTGGATGTGGACGAGTGTGCGGATGAGTCGGACGACTGTGAAGTCTCCAGGCCCGACTCTACCTGTGTGAACTATCCAGGGGCCTACTACTGCGAGTGCAATGAGGGATTCGTACTCAATGAAGCCACTGGCAAATGCGATGGTACGTATTGATTTTTTATAGTTCGAGAAGGCAGAGTAAAGTGAACTGCATTTACAAACTCAATCAACGGAACAATCAAGTCCAATAATTGCAGTAACATCAACTGGCCAAGGGCCCTGCGTTTAAAGCCCACCCTCTTACCTATTTTATATATAAAATTGAAAAAAGTGAAAAAACGGTGCATAACTTCATCTGTTATCTTAAGAGAAAAGTCTATTGAGACATTCATTCGGCGTCTCAATCGTTTTCGAAGTTACCAAACATCTCTTGTATCTTGAACTTTCTTGTCAACGTTGATTTTATGTATTTATATCATCTAACTTGGTTTAAATTAAAAATTAATTTTGATTATGATCAGTTAATTGTAATGAGTCTGCTGTTCCTAGACATCAACGAGTGTTCTCAGAGCACCACGAGTGACATAGTGGACTGTGTGGGCCCTGGATCTGTGTGTAAGAACACCATCGGCTCCTTCGAGTGCTTCTGCAAAGATGGATTCAGAAACCTCACCTTCAACTCCACCGAGTGAGTTGCTGCAGAATTGATGCTATCAGCAGCCTCAACTGATGGCTGTAGATTGTCCAGTACAAGATGTTTTTTCGAGAAAGGAGTCGTATTGTTAAGTAGATTGAATGATCGAATTTTTGACCGAACACAAAGCAGCAAAGTTAGAGTTATAACTAGAGAGAGACGGAGTTTTTTTAAATTAAAGTGAGAGGTTCTTTAGTGGATTCGATGGGGGGGGGGGATTGTTGAGTCACTCCTAGTCACTCCTTTGGCTTTGATGTATGATAGGTGTGAGGACATTCCCCACTGTGCAGAGGAACTGGATGACTGTGATGTGGAGCAGGAGGCCTCATGTAAGGACAGCACAGTGGCCCCCTTCTACACGTGCCAGTGCACACCCGGATACATGGACAACCCCGTCACACTCCAACAGGGGGGCATGCCGGGACGAGACTGCATCGGTGGGTTGCATTCGAATTTCAAATGGGTTTCATTCGAACGTTCGAAATTAGCGTTCGAATGTTCGCCAAGAAGATCAATATTTAATTAAAACATTTCCAATTTTCATGCAGATTATTTGCATGCATGTTCGCACGATCTTCAGTAATTGTTGTAATTGTTAATTGTTGCGCTTTTCTTGGCGCAGTCTTTGCATTCTCGAGTATGCAAAATTCTCCGTTTCATAAAGTTCTCTAAATGCTTTAACTACATATTCCTGCATAATCCGGAGGCACTTATTCCTTAGCTGGTCAGAACCAAATGGCAAAAACCGATTCTGAGAGCATCTATGGTCCAAACTTTAAGTATCTATGGACCAAACTTTAAGTATCGTTGTTCTTTCATGTATAATGATTTTACTTAAGTTAGGTTGTCAAATGTCAAAATTACAGATTGTCGACTTATCCTTTTGTCGGCTATTTTGGCTTTATGCTTGTTTCATTTTGAACGTCTCGACGTGGTGGCTGTTACATGAATATCCACTGTAGTTCAGTGGTGCAATTTAATACGGTTACGTGCTATTGAATATAGAGCTACAAACTGTATAAAGTATGCATTTGAAACATTCATATTATGGTATTAGTATGCGTTTTTTTACATGGACTCAAATGCTTAAATGCTAAAAGGAAAGAGCAGAAAAAGATCTAATTGGCGTTTTAAGTATGAAATCTGTAAAAGAGGTTACAATGTTAAACCTAAAATTGTCATCACCTAATTGTGGGGTCAGCTTATGGGTTGTATACAACTAAGATCGTACTTTCAGGGATCATTTCTTGAGTGCGTATCTTGGCCTCTCGAGGCAACCTTGACGACCTTCGTCAGTCCGATGATGACAGGTGGCGTCTCTCCACAGCATGAGAGTGCAATTGAAGTACTAACTTCGATTGCGTCGATGATTGCTTGCCTTTCTGGGAAACGGAGAGTTCGCTATCTGAGGGCTTATTAATTATCGAACTTCCTTTAATCAACTTCAACTGTTGACACTGATCTTCAAGTATTTAAGTAATAAAGAAAAGTGGACTGAAAAACAAAAACAGTCGAAAGTCAATTATTAAAATGAATCAATTGCCGTTTAATTAAAAGGTTAACATACAGTAAGTCGACGGGTTTTTCTTTTTCAGACGTCGACGAGTGCTTACTAGCGCCCAAAGTGTGCGACGAGTACGCCAACTGCACCAACAATGTTGGAAGCTATGCGTGCGAATGCAATGAGGGCTTCAATGGAACGGGTCAACCTGGCGAGTGCGACAGTAAGTCTGCTACTAATAGCCTATTCTTTCCTTCATTATTAAATATACCTTAGCTAAAACTAATAGAGCATTTAAAATGTCTTCCGAAGGAATATCGCATTTAAGTTGGTAATGAAGCCGAATCGTGATTGGACAAACTGATCTTGAATGTTGACTTCAAGTGTCACAATTCAGTTCACTTTTGTGCCTCTAGACCCGCTGTTAACTAATTCACCCTCTGTTCTCTGCAGATATCAACGAGTGTTCTGTGGGCAGTGACAACTGCCACGACAATGCCACCTGCATAGATGCCGTGCCCATGTTCACGTGTGACTGCAACACTGGCTTCAAAGGATCCGGAACCGAGTGCGAGAGTAGGGCCACCATTTCTTTTTTCTTCTTTTTTTCCAACACCATCTCAAATATTTTGGCTATCACTTAATTACTGAATATTATTTGATTTTCTTGGATCAACAGAACTCTCCGTGATTGGCATGCTCAGAGTCAAGTTATTTCAAAATAGGTTTATTGGAACCATCGCTTGAACTCTTGGATAAAAATATTTTCTAATGGTGAACTCTAAAAGTATGGACATATGGCATTTAATGAGTTTTCATACATATGACCTATTTCTTATCTTTGTCCGCATAAAAAGCCCAATCAGAATATAACCTGTCTTTTTGACCCCCGATGACCTTGTGTTGCAGACGTGGACGAGTGTGAGGAGAACCTACACGACTGCAACTTGACCCGGTCTGTCTGCAAGGACATTGAGGGATCGTGGGAGTGTGACTGCACAGCGGGATACGTCAGGGACTTCGGCACCCAATGCAAAGGTAGCCGAAACATAACACGAAAGGGACCAAGTTGGCGTCCTCCCCCGAAAGCCGTTTTTTGTTGGGGGGGGGGGGTGTTAACTTGGTTCTAAGTTAGGAATTTGCAGCCAGTCAGAATCGAGCATTTTACAAGCAGTGCTTAGCAAATTTAATGCGATAATGCGAATTAAATGCTGGAGTGAAGATCTTAACTTGATCCTCGAAAGAATTTAATTACGTTCAAACATAATAACCTCTTGGTTTTTTAAGGAATGTTTCGTTAAGTTTTCTTTTTATTGCTGTTTTTTCATGACAAATTTTCATTATCGCAATTTTTTTGTCTATTTCTCTAAAAGTTACTCCATATTGTGGCCAAAGGCTTCCGTCGAAAATTGGACGATATTTTGCTAAGAGTGGTGTCGTGAAATACTCTGACAATTGCCACCGTTTTAACATTATCATATCTAAGAAAAGTAATTGCGCTTAATCATTTGACGTTTTTTAAATATATGCATGTATATATTTAAAATGTATGCTTTTTCGATAGATCACGGAGTTATTTTGCTTCTGATAAAGACCATTTTGAAGGTTTTTTTTCTAATCCTCCGGTTTTAGACGACAACGAGTGCTCCCCAGACGTGGTGGCCGACAACTGTCCCGGAGTGATGGCCACTCCCGCTAACTCCACCTGCACAAACACAGACGGCTCATTCCTGTGTGAGTGCAAAGGGGGATACTCTGCATCTGTCAATCAAGAGGGAGTCACCATATGCAGCAGTGAGTTAACAACACCGTCTCTCACTCTGCGGGGGGGGGGGGGGTTTTGGGGGGGGGGGGGGCGGTAATTATAACTATCCTCAAACTGACTGAATGCAACTTCTAAGAGTTCAAGAATAAGGACCTCAATCTAATCTCTACCTATCGATTGCATTGACCGTTTGATTAAAGAATTATAGAAGTTTAACAACGATAGTTTGCAAACATATCACAAAATCTCCGTACTAAATAAATGAATATAATACCGAAACATAATGGCAGATGTTTTGGTTAAACCTTAGAAAAAAAATGTTGAGCTTGAATTTTCTAATAATGACCTGCATTGCATTCTATGTCTTTTATGTCGTGATCCAACTCAAACTTGGGCCGTTTTTTGTTCAGTGCCTAGGAGCAACAATGACTTCAATAATGAAACTATTCATATCTTTTTAAGACATCAACGAGTGTAATGATGAGAGTCTGAACAACTGTGACGACAACACCGAGTGCACAGATACCATAGGAGCATACTTGTGCACGTGTGTGACTGGGTACAAAAAGACAGAGTCATGGAAGATCGCCCTGGACTCGTGGAGCTGCGAAGGTGAGTGAACAATTATGGCCCTGATTCTGAACTCGTGCCGTTTTTTTACTTCATTTAGATCCACGCAATACCAAATTTGAGACATTGGTTAAAAAGAAGTCATCATATTGGCATGTTAATCTACGAATATCTTGGTTGATTGTATGAAATGCAGTTAGTTTTTTGAATTGTAGGTGGTTCTGTCAATCATTAAGATACCTTAATCGATTTGAGAGAGTCAATTTTTGTGTTTGGAATGATATGCTACGATTTTGTATTTTGTTGGATTGATTCAATTTGGTATCTTGTGAGCATCGTTTTTTTTTTCGTTTGTTGGATAGACTCGCTTCTAACCGATTCTTCGTTTGTTTTGTGTGCAGACATCGACGAGTGTTCTGAGACTGACTCTGACGGAGACGAACTGCACGAGTGTGATCAGAATGGAGTGTGTGAGAACACAGACGGAGGCTACAACTGCTCCTGCAAAACAGGATTCAGAGGGGATGGATTCAACTGCTCCAGTGAGTGTCAGAAAGAATTGCAAAACTTTCAGAAAGATTTGCAAAAATGGGATCTCTTTAACTATTCCAATTTGCAAAAGGGAGTTTCGTTACTAAGTAGAAAATTAGCATTTTTTCTACATCTTATCAGTGCGTTAATTGTCGAAAAGCATATCACTTTATTCTTACAATAGCCTGCGGGGAATTTTCAAAGTTCACATTTTTGAAATTTTTATCAAATTTCTTCAACCAAAGATTATATTCAGTCGAGGAACTTAGTTTCATATCATTATCTGCGATGACTTGGTTTGCGTGTGAAGTGTAACTTCACCTCTGTCTCTAAAACTTATTTCTGCATTGGGAGACTTTTTGTTGTTTCTTAAAGTCAAAATTTTTCCCGCCTAAGTTTTTTGCATCGGTAATTATATATAAGCAAAAATGATTGACAGTACGATTTTGAACAATCTCTTAGATACAAGCCCTTCCAGTGATTGATCTTTTCGATAAAATCACTAGCGTCAGCTTAGTGTAATATTAAGAACCTCCTTTTTTTCTAACTCAAGTCGCAAATATTGGTGCCACTTAACAGCTTCTCGATAGCATGTGCTTTGGTCTTCGACGCAAAAAAAATTATCTCAAGAGGTACCTCCATAGGGCGGGCAGTTTCTAATTAGGTAGAAAATGAGGGAGATCATTAAGTAGATTCAAAAACTTTCCTGTCGGCTTTCGAAACTTTTTTTCCACGCAAAATCAGGTACCACAAATAAGCATCAAACTGAGTTGAGTGATATATCATATTAAAGCCCTTTTAGTCGGGATTTGAACTACATTAAAACATTTTTGAAATGTTTTCGAGAAAAACCGGTTTGAATTTTTTTATTTTTCGTCGAAATTCGAGCGAGTAAAGCGAACGAGCACGCTTATTTATGCTAAATTTAGGCCGCTTGCAATAGTTTAGTTATGCTTAATTTTTTTTAATCGAATATATTTAGTTTTTGGAGATTTCTTATACCGTTTTGAGAATCAAACATACAAAAAGTTTTTGCAAAAAAAAATTGAAAAAAAATTTGTAATCATTTTTTTTTCAAAAACTATTGCCTTGTTCGCCCATGTTACTATGACTGTCGAGCATGCCTAAATTGTAGTTGTACGTCAGATCCTTTTATCACACCACGCAGAACAAACTACAGTTTCGTAGATTTTTAAAGACTATGGTCGAAACATTCTGTGCTACTTGCACAGTAACCAACTATCCTTGTTTTATTTTCCTCTCTTCCTATTTTCAGACATCGACGAGTGTGAGGAGGGCACGTACTTCTGTGAGCCGAGGAGTCACTGCGTGGATCTGATTGGGAGCTACAAGTGCGAGTGTGACGCTGGCAGCACTGAGAACAATGAGGCCACTGAAGACTTCAAACAGGCTTCCAACGACTCAGGAGTACTCATCTGCACTCGTGAGTCCACTTCGATTCACTGCATCGAGTGTCAATCAAAGAAATAAAAAAGAAAAACAACTCTAAATTATATGCAATGCAACGCCAGACTAGAATTTATCTTCAAAATATGAAAAGCTCGTTGTTTCCGTTTTCATTGTTGATTTTTTTCTTAAGTTAATTTTCAAGAACGTTTTTTTTTTGGTGTTGCAAATCTAAATGAGCTTCGAAACATCAATGCTTTGTTTCAAAGAAGGATGCTCTGAATGTTTCAATGCCGCATTTCCAAGCCATGTATTGTTGAGATGATCATTATTACATTTGATATTTTATCGGTTCTTTTAGGTTGAGTGTTTGACCCGGGTAAGTATGCCAAACATAGTGCAGTCTCTGTTTTAGTGCTATTAATTGTTTGTTTGTCTAATTTTCATGTTTTTGCTCACAATATCAACAAACACCATGCTTTGATACCATTTGGTCAAGCCACAAGTTTTTCGGCAGTATCTTCCGTTTTGTTCTATTTAGTTATTATGATGTTTTTTTTCTGTTTGTAGCCAAGAGGTGTCTGAACAAGGTGTGTGACAAGGATGACTTCAGCTGTGACTTCATCCCAGACATGGAGGGGGTCAACTGCACCTGCGCCCTAGAGGCTGGGTGCTCAGGTAGCCTTCTTCTCATTTTTCAAATCGCCATTCGCCAAGCAACTTTTTGTTTTGAATCAAACTTCACGTTTAGTGCGAACTTATCTTTGCTAAACGAGATAGATTCAAGCTTTCTAGAGTTTGGGGATTTTTTCTCTTCGTCAATTTTGATCCATAACCACATCACGTATGTTGCTGAAGTTTTTTTTACAAAATGAAAAGCTTGAGTTGTTGTCTATTTTTTTCCCCATTTTTTGATGTATCAAACTATTATGCGGGCAAAAAAATACCGTTTTCATAATTAAAAATTCTTTGTCTAAGCTTAATTTTCAACCGATACCATTCGTTGAATTAGCATATTAATTGCCAAGGTTTTCGTCATTTTTGCTCCATTTTCAGAGGATGATCAGTCGTGCCAGGAGAATGCCAACTTGACCCCTATTGACGCTGACAACTTCCTCTGCATCTGCAAAAAGGGGTTCGAAATGAGCGACAACGGACTCTGCGAAGGTAAACAACTGCTAAAGACTCTTTTCACTATTTCATTGCCAAATTAATTGTAATTTTGCTCATTACCTAAATCATTTTCGGCGGATAATCAACAAACCGCCATGTCTTGGAGCCAAAATTGCATCAGAATGACGAAAATTACATCAGAATTACGTAAGAATTGCATAACAAAATGACAATCTGTTCTTATGTTGCACAACAATACTAATTTTCGGCTTGTTGGAACGGTAATCCTATTTTCGGTTTGTTGGTCCTTCGTCAGACGATTTGAAACCACTGCTTGGCAGTGACATTTTTTATAATTGATCAAAATTTCAAGCTTCATCTTCTTTTTGATTTTTTCCTGCTTACAAAATTGTTTTTAATTACTTCAAAATTTTTTTATTCTTCATTCTTGAGAAATTCTGTCACTGGGTTGAAAATGTTTTTCTTTCAGACATCAACGAGTGTGAGCGATCTACAGATGACTGTTCTGAGTCGGCCACTTGCATCAACAAGGCGCCCTTCTGGGACTGCGATTGTGACACTGGCTACGAGGGAGATGGAGTCGACTGCTCCGGTTAGCCGATACTTCTTGTGGCCTAAAAATCCATTTATCAATTTCCGAAGCGTACTTTTTTAAAGTTTTTTTTCCATAGAAGTTACGACTACTTACAAATTTTGAGTTTTTTTGCTATCTTTTTTTAATGCAGGCTTAAAAATGAAGGCATAATTTTTCCATTTCAATATGAAAAATTAGTTCAAGAGTTCGTGGTTTCAAAAATAATCATAGATAACCATGCTAGACTATGTGAAATATTCCATTTTTTTTTTTTTTAAATAGACATCAACGAATGTGCGAACGATGATTTTACCTGTGACGAGAAAGAGTACTGTTCGAACACGATTGGATCCTACACGTGCAAGTGTGACAGTGGCACCAGACGCAACCCCACTTCAGGCGAGTGTGAGAACATAGACGAGTGTGAGGAGGAGTTGGACGACTGTGACCCAGTGCTGGAGATCTGCAGAGATACGGAACAATCATACACTTGTGACTGCATGAATGGATTCGAGAGAACATCGGAAGATGAAGCGTGCGAAGGTAGCATTACTGTTTTGTGTTGGACTTCGTCGGGTTTTGTACCAACAAGTTTCAAATAATAATGGACTGAAACTTGTTGTAGCGAGGGGTGGGTGGGGGGGGGTTGTGTATGGTGTTACACACAACGTTACAACTTCACTCAAATGATTAGCTCGTAAATGGTTCGAACTGTGTTACTAAATGATGGTTAAAATGACGTGATCGTGAAGGATCTATGATACAAACTTGATTTTTGTTCATCATACAGCTGTGCAATTGTTGCTTCCTCGCCTATGCAGAATGCTGGTCACGATATGTGTAGTCTAATTTTCGTGTAATTGTACATCTTCAGACATTGACGAGTGTTCAAGCTCCTCGCCCCCTTGCGACTTCGAAAACAGTATCTGTCTCAACACTTATGGAGGAGTGGAGTGTTCTTGCGAGACAGGATACTCTCTGGGCGAATATGGAGTCTCCTGCGATGACGTCAATGAGTGCAAAGAGGGCACTTTCTCCTGCAGTTCTCTGGAGAAGTGTAAGAACACTAAAGGCTCTTATGAGTGTACTTGCAAAGAAGGATACGAAATGGACGAGGACGGAAAATGCACAGGTAGGCACTTTGTAGTTTCATTGAAGTTTTTATACTGACCCATCATGATTTCTACAAATAAGTTTACTTGATAATCTGAAAGTATGTGAAAATAAAACCAGCGCTCTAGCTTTTTCAAATTAACGTTTTTATTGTTTTTAAACGCTTTTTCAATTTAGGCTAACAATTTATTTAGTTAATAATTTTTTTCAGAAGTCTTACCACGGAAAAATTGCCGGAATTTCTTTAAAAAAATGCAGATTTTGCCCACTTTTTAAAATAGACCTGATTACTGCCACTCTGTGATTAGATGCAATATCGCTTTGCTATTTAAAATTTAGTTTCTCTAATGATGATACAAAGTTTACAGTAAATTTTTGTGAACAAATTTAGCATTTTTTGCTCATTTAAATGTATTTTTAATGTCTGTTCAGATGTGGACGAATGTGCCGAGGACTCTGAGATTTGTGCGGATGTGGAGAACACCAAGTGTCTGAATCTGCCTGGATCCTACACGTGCAACTGTGTGACAGGATACGGGAAAAGCGCCTTCGAAAAGGGATGCTCAGGTAAGAGAATAAGATGCAACTTTGATCTCGAAGAACAAAAAACAGATTTCATATCAAGATGGAGATTGACTGAAATTTTCCAGCGCCAAAATCACAGTTTAGGACTACATTACTGCAAAAAAAAACTTGAGGTAAATTCCAGCTGCTGTTACTTTCTATAATTGAGTTTGTAAAACAGCTATCAATTTAGCCTATTTTTGCTAAAAAATATCTCAATTAAAAAACCTCTGCAGACATTAAAGAGGCTAACTTATATGAAACTAATTGAATGGACGTAATGTGAGGACTACAAACTGTTCTGTCAAAAAAGTAGTCTTAGATGGTTTTGTTCTGGTAATTGTCTTTCAGAGAATCTTTAAAAATTAAGAGCGTGAAACCGGTTTAACCACTCTGCAGCCCCCGCCCTTTGGTACCTAGTAACGAATTGTCACCCCTATAATGAAATATTTCAACGGATAATCATAAGCAAATTTTGTACCCAGAAACGAATCTCCCCCTTTTTGCTAAATGATGAAATAGTTAACGAGATCCAAAAGAAGATAGGTGGAACGCTTTTTCTGTTTTGCCTTTTTGCTAGCCCAGTGCTATCAATGTTAGAATACGAAAAAAATTAACTGTTATTTGGTTTACAATTTAATGTGCTTTTCAGATGTGAACGAGTGCAGCAAGCCTGACTCCTGTCCATACCCTGGAACTACATGTGTGAACAAACAAGGAAGCTACAGCTGCGAGTGCAAGGACGAGGGATACGTACAGGTAGTGGTTCTAATGTTTTGTTCATTTTATTTTTTTTTCAAGTGATAGGTGGAATTGACTGAAATTTACATGAGACTTGTCACAATTTACATCATCTTGTCAGTTTGAAACTAAGCTATAGACTTCATTTTTCTCGGGACGATTTTAAGAACTCTTTGGTATTTTTTTGAAGTTCATAAATTGCGGAGATTGTCTTTTCTTGTCACTGAAAAAACTTAGTTGGCATTTTTACACTTGTGAGAGCAAGTGTCTTCTAATCGTGAACTAGACTTTTTCCCTTAAGCAACTTCTCCTGCACCGCGTCATGAGCTGCAAAATTATCCAGCCTTCGAGTGATCTAAAACTCTATGGGAGTTTTTTTTCTTAGGCAAAGTTTTCACGTAAACAACGTGAACTAGATTTTTTCCCTGTAAACAACTTTTCTTACGAATCTGATTTTTGCTTTTTCATTTAACCTTAACAACTTCCAGGCTCCTTGCCACTTGGTCTAGAAAAAACGTGATTGCCTTGGCGCGCTACAGTCCGCAGTTTGAGTACCGTTCGGACCTTATTTGTTTGGTATGCACAACATTGAAAAATTATTTCCAGAAAAAATTGAATCGTTGAAAAATTGAATCATCTGACGTTTGTCTGTCTGCTCATTTTTCGTCAGCTTTTTCGTTTGTCTGTCTGCTCATTTTTCGTCAAATATTACTATGATTGACAGTCATCCTGTTATTTTGTCAGTTTACCAGGTCGGATTTTAAATATGTATTTCTTGTTTTTTATTTTGTATTTTTTTTGGCATAGTTAACTTTTTAAGTGATCTTTGGGCACCACTCGATTATTGTTTTTTTATCCTTGTTAATTACTAAAACTTATTACTTATATTAAAATTTAAATTTGAAGCAAAATTGTGATAAAACTTGCAAAACTTATATAAAAATCTAAATTTGAAACAAAAATTTTATTACACTTGCGAGAGCAAGTGTCTTGTAATCGAGAACTAGGCTGCTTTTTACCCGTAAACAACCTTCCTTTCAAATCTTCACTTTGTTATTTTTATTATACCTTTAAAACTTTTAAGTTCCTTCAAGTTTGGGTTAGTGTCAAAGCCACGGCATTTGCATCCTTTAAGGTTTGGGGTTCGAGTCCCGACCGCACCTTGTTTTTTTTCAGAAAGAATGCAATTGAAAAAACTTTTTGGCGAACATTGATTTGACCGAACTACGTTTGTCTGCTCAAGTTTTGTCGGCTTAGTTGCCACAGCACGGATTTTACTAGTTCTAAATGCAAATTTTCTTGTAGTTACAAGTGCAAGTGTTGTTCATCGTAGTATCAGGGGGGCTTTTGTTTATGATTAGTTGAAACAAACGATAATAAAGAGTTTTATAGAGCTTTTCCTTAAGTTTGCACCGAGTGAGACCAGTTTTGGTTAGAGTTTGTCCATTTCTTTTTTGATAACTGAACTTCAATACTTTTGAGTGAGCGTACCCTATTCCTAATTGAAAAGCTGAAAAAAACTTCCAGCGAACTGTTCGCTTTCTGGTTTTCATTGAGTGCATTATAAATAGACTTTATAGACTTGCTTCGGAATCTTGATTTTTCTTTGTATAATACTACCTATATAATATCCCACCCAGGTTTATTTCGAAAACTTCCAGTTTTATTAGATTTCACGTTTTACCGTTTTCCTGCACCGCGTCATTAGCTACAAAATGATCTCCCCTTAGAGTGACCTGTAGCTCTAATGGAATTGCAATGTCCTGTCTATCTCCAAAATCGTATTAATGATCGTTTGTTTTTCTCTCAAAAACGACATAAATTGTAGCATCTCTGCTACGCATTTGTCTCAAAAAGTACTCGTGATGTGTTGATAAAAAGCTTGCCCGTTCATCTATTTTTGAGTGCCTCTGAAGCGAAAAAGAATCTTGATTAAGCCCAGTAAGTTTCTACGAACAGCTAGAAGTATTTGTAAAACATATTGTTATGATTCATTTTTTTTTTTCATTATGTGCCTACACTTTATTAACGTTAATCACCTGTGTTCGTCATGTATTTTAACCTTTTTTTTAAACTTCATGTATTGGAAATTAAAAATGAATAACGTTAAAAGTTAAAACGCTTTTAAAAACTTAGAAATTTTTATACATTAAATAAATTGTGTTTTGGAGGTTTTTTAGCATTTCTATGTTTTTCGAACTTTTTGGTTTGCCCGTTTTTTGAACTTTTTTTAAAATATTTTTGTCTGCAAAGATCAAGACTAGTTTTCTGTTCTGACGTTTTTGAATTGCTTTATTGTTAAAATCAAGAAAAATAGATTTTAAAAACAAAAAATGATACTGATTTTAATTGTGAAGATTCACTAATCAATGCCATTAAGGTTTCTGTTTCGTTTTTTTGCTGTCTGTTGAGCAAAGAGTCCCTAATAATCTCCGTAATCTCTCCGTAATAATTATTTTGAGTTGAATATAAAATAAATAATTTTTAGTTGGTGATATGTAGGAGATTACGAGTCTACTTTAAGAAATAATCAAGATGTTACTAATCGAGTTTTCTGTATTTAGCGATTTGAAGTAACTTTCAAATTATACTGAGTGTTTTGTTTTTGTTTCAGACATTGAATATTGGGATGTGATTTTGTCTTCGGGTGTTTTTTAGTTTTTTTTCTACGCAAAATCAGGCTTCACAAACAATCTTGGAAAAGGACTCAATGTTTTATCATATTAAAATCCCTCTCAGTCGTGGTTTAAATGACACATAAAAATTCCAAAAATATTTTTTGATTCGAGAAAACGAATTTAGTATTTTTATAGCCTAAAAGAAGCTTTTGGCCTAATGTCAAACAAAAACGCTTGCGAGCAAGTATATTATAGAAATATGAGCTATAAAAATTATATGCAATCTGTAAGTTTTGATTTTTTTGGAAAAAAAATTTGGAAAAAAATGAAAGAAAAAATTCAAAGAGTTTTTTTGTAGATTTTTTTTCTAGTCATATTTTTTTGAAAAAAAACTTTTGCTATTACTGTTGTTTCACTGTGAATATCGAAAGTGCCTAGGTTTTTGGTTTTCCTTCGGACTCTTTGTCACAACACATACAAAAACGACACAAACTTGAAAAAAAAAAGAAAAAAACGTTTTTGTAGTTTTTTTATCAAGAATATGGTCGGAACATTCTATGCTAATTGAACTGCAACCGGCTAGCCTTGTTGCGAATTGTCTTTTGTAGCAAGCTGCCCATGTTACACAATCGAATCATGTCTGGAAAATTTTCAGTTTGATATATCATTCGGCTCTATCGGAACGCTTTTAATGGTGCATGATTCTGCGTGGAATACTTGCGAATACAAACATCAAACTGACTTGGAGCAAGAATAAAAAATACTTGGAACAACAACTTTATTCATGTTTCCGAATATTGAAATGTCCAAAAAACTTTACTCTGACCAATTGAAGTGGTTGGGACTCAACACTCAACCAGCAAAGAGGATTATTATTTCAATTAACTTAATGAAATTCCTCTTATTTTGGTAGGTGGGCACGGAGTGTCAGGATATCCCCGAGTGCAACAATGCCTCCGACTACTGTGACGAACATGCCACTTGTGAGGAGCTGGAGGGATCCTACAGGTGCACGTGTGAAGAAGGATACAGAGGAAGTGGCAAACCAGGGGACTGTCAAGGTACGCCGGCTTCTATATTGGCTATGAATTATTATTATTGATACTAAACTTTAACTATTTTAGGTCATTTTACTAAAATATTTCTTTAGATTATGTGCTGTGCATATGTACATTGCCATTGATTTTGACATCTATTCTGTCATTTGCTACAAAATAATTATATATAACTATTTTTTTAAATAAAAATGACACCCTACAGCTTGATAATTCATAGCAAAAAATACATTGCTGTAGAAAATTTCTGTAGACGTTTCAGTAGTCGCACGGTGACCTTGACAATTTTTCAACTCTAATTGATTTCATTCATCTGTCCTGCTCTGTCTGTTTAGACGTGAACGAGTGCATGGAGGCGAGTGACGAGTGTCTGCCCTCCTCGGAGTGTGTCAACTCAGTGGGTGGATACTCTTGCCAATGTCAGACTGGATTCATCGCACACTGCCACGTATGCCTAGGTACGCACTCTCATTAATATCCATATAAACATTGTTATCATCTGTTTTAGAAAGTTAAACCGCTTTTTGAGACATTTATAAATTGGTGTATGGAACATGAAGATCTAAGACCATTGGCGTCGCCATGGACAAAATGGCCAATAATTGTTCTACTAGAAAGAAAAACTGTGAGAGTGGCGACTCTTAGAGCAAAAACACTGGCTTATGCGTTTTTGAACTATAATTGTCCTTAAAAAGTGTTGTTATTTGTTGTGCAGACATTGACGAGTGCGCGCAGATGCCTGGCACGTGCAAGAATGGTATTTGCAGCAATACTCCCGGTGGATTCGTGTGCGACTGTCCCGAGGGATTCGAACTGGTGGCTGCTGGATCTGTTTGCGAAGGTAATCAATCACATGCTAAAAAAAGATAGCCGTTTACTGAGCATGTTCCGACCAACCTTAAAAAATACAAAAAAGTTTTTTTTTTCATGTTTTTTGTCGTTTTTTTGCGTGGTGTGATTAAAGGATCTGAATCAAAAACTGGAACTTAGAAATATTCGACAGTCATTGTAAAATAGGCAAATTAGACAATTGTTTTTGTGCAAAAATGACTTAGAAAAATCAAAAAAAAAAATTCAATTTTTTTATTGCAGAAAATTTTTAATTCCCAAATGGCGCTAAAAAAATCCGAAAACTAACTTTACTCGAAAAAACCAAATTTTATTTGTGGTACCTGATTTGTGAGGAAAACAAAAAAACTAAAACATACCCGAATACGAAGTTCCTCCCCATTTTTGAAATGGTCGGAACAAAAACGGTCCAATTTCTGAAAGTTTGATGTTTTTACTCTAAGTTTGAAAGATTATATTGAGCAAAGAAACATTAATTTTTGATCAATTTTTACGAATGATTTTGTTATTTTTTATCACAAAAGATAAGGGAGGAGAGAGTTAGAATGTTGAATAATTTGAATAAGCAAACTCGCGATAAGTCGCCTGCTCAGAATTGAAATCTAGCGCCTATTTTGCAGCTTTGTTTGTGAAAAATTTTGTTTATTTTTGTGATATCCTATCAAATATAACTCGCTTACTGTGCAGACATTGACGAATGTGCTCGCGGCATCCACGCCTGTCCCGCTCTCTCGTACTGCAAGAACTCCCAGGGCAGCTTCTCCTGTGAGTGCGACTTCGGGTACGAGAAAAAGAGCGATGGCTCCTGTGTGGACATAGACGAGTGTGCCTCTTCTAGTGGGGACGTGTGTCCTGACAACACTGACTGTGAGAACTACAATGGAGGGTTCTCTTGCAAGTGTCAAGATGGCTTCAGACTCAATGATGACGATGCCTGTGAAGGTCAGTCAACTGGCTCATCGAAATTGCCTTAAATTAGTTTTCTTATCGCTCTGCCGGCATCGGTTTTTGTTTCAACTTATGGAAAAACTGTGCTCAAGTTTAAAAATCTGATTACATTGCCGATTTCAAGGAGGAAATCAGAAGATGTTTTTCCCATTTTTTCTCTTTTTTTTTCTTGGCTATCTTTTTTTGGAACCAGCGAGCTAAAGTTTCTTGTTAGACTCCGTCAGAATCAATTAAAGTTTTACTCCAAAATTACTTTTTTCCCGGTTAATCCAGCTTTTCAAATAGTCATTTGAAATATAAAGAATATAGATAAACGAATATAGCATTTTTAGACATCGACGAATGCGAAGAGAACACTCACAACTGTGTCAAGTCAGGCACCAGCTGTCTTAATAACGAAGGCTCCTTCTCCTGTGAGTGCGATTCAGGGTACGAGAAAGACGAGAACGAAAACTGCGTCAACATAGACGACTGCGAGGAGGCCGAGTGTCCCGAGTATTCCAACTGTGTTGATAAGTTGAATGGGTTCAGATGCACCTGTGATCCTGGCACTCTGAAGCTCACTCAACCTGATGGCAGTTTCATATGCGAACGTGAGTTTATTTAAACAAGCATAGATATTCCGCACCTTCTTCGAAAGTCGAAACAATGAAGATTTATATTATTCTATGTTATCTTACTTAAACTAACTTTTGTTTAATTTATTTAAATTGAGACCCCCTGGTAATTTACTCAGCTTAGGGCCATTTCGAACCCTCACATTTGATTTGAAAAATAGAGCTGACTTATACAATGTAATGAAATTTGGCATGATTAACAGAATCCATAGTGACCACTTTCGTTTTTCATGGATAACCATCCTATTTTACGCATTTCGCCATAACCATCAGCAAAGTTTGCATGAAAATACCACATAGTTAGTGTGGTGGAAACTAAAAAAGAGCCATGTCGAGAAAGTTTTGTTGAGCGTTTTGGACAATTAAAATAGTTTTGGAGACAATGTTTTCTGATATTTTGTTAGCTTCTCATGCTACCCAGGGAACCATTAGGAATATTAGTTTTGGTTTAAGACACGGTTCTTCTGATATCTATCCGGTTCTTTCATGCACTTAAAAATATATTTTTGATTTTGCAGGTGGCCAATTTGTTTGCTGTGGGAGGTTTTTATTCTACCTCTTTTTAAGAGTCGGTGAACATAGATCAGACTTTTATATAGATCGCGATGATTTTTTTAGTTTTTATTTGAGTCGAAGTCTAAACGTGGTTAAGGCTCAAATTTACTTTTTGTGGTTGATTTTTGATTTCTTTTCAAGTTTAGTTCAGTTCCTTTGTTAAAAGGAAGGCAAACTCCCCTATCGAACAGCAAAAGTGTAAAGGTCACGGGTTGACCAAAACTTCTTCTCATACAATTTTCATATATGAAAAACTTCTTAACATACAATGCCATACGTACAGAAAGTTGTATGAAATCTCTATGATAAGCATTTTCCCATACACTTGATGTATGGAATTGTATGATTAGCATTTTCGGCGTATGGAGGTCAACCCGTGGTCACGGAAAACGTAACCGACTTCTTGTTTCGAAAGTGGAATTTAAATATCGAACTTCCCAGCGAAAAAAGTGTCAATCAAAAATCGTTCCAGAAATTCAGAGAGCTTCAATCCCATATATTTTTTCTTTTAAAATCGTAAATTGAGGATTTTTAAAGACCAAGTCAGTCAATTTTTTCTGTTTACTTGCATTCATAGACTCTTTTCCAAATGTCTGTTGGCTATGTTGTTTATCTTTCAGTTTGATCTTTTCTCAGCTCAGTTTGCAAATTTGAACTGCAAATATTTCCTCAAAGTAGTTTCAATAGAGGAAATTTTGCTGGAAAATTGATAAAAATTAATGTCAAACTTATCCGACTGATGACGGACTTTTAAATGTTTTGAATTTAGGCTAGCAACTCATTTGTAAAACCAATGCATGGTTTTTTTTGTTTTCTAAGTTTCCATATCTTGGTTTTTACTTTGTCCTGTTGTTTTTTCCATCCCTTGCTACAGCGTTTGCGCAATAGAATTGGCAAGTCATTCCAGCGTTAATCATTGAAATATTTTCTCTCTCTGTCTCCGAGTAAATTTTTCTCTCTCTGAGTAAATTTTTCCTCCGAGTATGATAAACGTGCTTGTTGCAGCTCTCGACCCCTGTGTCAAACCCGAGACGTGCAGCCCCGGAGTGTGTGCCACTTTCAAGTTCGGAGCCGAGTACAAGTACAGCTGTTCGTGTCCCGAAGGATACGAGGTGGGCAACCAAGGCACCAATGACGAGTTCTGCCAAGAGTCTGATCCCTGTCTCGAGAATGAGTGTGTGAATGCTGACTGCATTTCAGTGCCTCTGGATTTCAGGAACTCGGAGTTGAAACGAAACTACACGTGAGTACATTTGACAAATTTCACCCCTCAAATCGTAAACTAAGAAAGCTGCGGTTAATTTACTGTGTAATACCTTAGGGGCGAAACGTGCGAGAACGAAATGTGTAAAAATATAAGGGGCTAAATGTGCCACTGATTTTAAGAGGGGCGAAATATGCGTGGTGCGAAACCTGGGAGATTCATGAAGAACATAGTTGTATATCGTTAAACTTTACAGTGCTGATTTAAGTTATCCTGCTTAAAACTTGAAATTTAAAATGAGTCTTTCTCAAATTGGGCTGACTTTAGGTGAGAAATGATGAAGACAAAACTGGCTAAAAATCTTAGCAGAATTAATATGAAATGAATTGTTTTGCGAAATTCGGGTCTTAAATTTTACCCCCCAAAAAACGAATATTTTTGACTTTCAGTCAATCAAAAAAAAACTGCCGGGTCCAAAACAATATCAAAGTGAACCTTTTACGCAGTACCAAGTTTAAGAAGGGTATCATCTCCGAATAATTGTATAAATCAATTTATTTTGTTTGATAGACAAAAAATGTATATCTAAAAATATTTTTTAAGCTTTTTGCGCCATATATTTTGGAGATTGTACCCTTCAACTGGGGAGGTGTCTCATGCTTTAGGGACCGAATGCTTGAAAAATTTCAAACAATCAAAATCGCCAAGCGTTCCTATTGGCTAAATGCCTTTCTCACAAAATCGGAGTCATTATTAACAGAAATTGTATTAAATCAATGGAAAATAATCAAAAATATTACAAATTGCGGGTTACAACCACAATACTATTCAGATAAACATCAGGATTTATGAGTTCAAGTTGAAAATTTATCTGCCTATTATCTAATCGGTCAGTATTAACACTAATGGCCTGGATTTATTTTCTTACTTCGAGATTTTCGCGATTTACTTTGAGATTTTGAATACTTAATTCTGATTGGCTGAAAGTAAGCTAAATTTAATTTCAAGCATTCGGTCCCTCAAGCATGAGGGACGCCACCTCTTCAACTTTCTTATGCTGCGTAAAAGGCTTACCTTGATATACTTTGTTAGTGCTTCACTCGGTAACTTTGGCGTAACTTTTGATTGACTAAAAAAATTGATCTGTTTCTGGGATAAAATTTGAGCCTGAATTTCGCAAAACAAATTGTACTGCAGTGATACTGCTAAAAAAAAATTTCAACTAAAGTCAACCAATTTGAACAAAAAACGGATTTTAAAGTTAAAGTTTTAAGCGTTTTGTCCGGATATTTTAAATCAGTCCTGTACTCTGTAGTTTCCTTAAAACTAAAAATTTAACTCGAGAACCAATTTTTCACAAAAATGATACTTGAGCAAAGCTTTTATGGCAGTCCCGGGAGAAACAACAGTTCGAAGTGCGATGAATTTATTTGTCAGTTTTTAAGTTTGGCTCGTCAAAATTGAATTCTATATTGAATAGTAAAAAAAGTAACCCCCGAATTAGGTTTGATACATTTGATGACCCTTACTTCCCACACTTCCGACAAAATTGGATTCTGTGCATCATGGTTATGTTTAAAAGTCTTCAAAATCCGTGCTTGTTACCCTTGCCATAAGCAAGGGTGTTGCAACCGGGTACTAGACTTTTTTTCGTAAACAATTTTGTTCACAAGATTTCGCAGATATTTCATCTTGCTTTTTTTAAAATTCCAAATCAATAAATCACCCAGGGCATATCGCCTAGAGGTAATACACCTGTTTGAGACGACAAAGGTTTGTGGTTCAAATCAGACCGTGACCTGTTTTTTTAAACTAGAAATGTTCTTTTTTTGGATGATCGTCTGTCTGTTTGTTTTTTCCAGCTTAGGTTTTCGTCTTACGGACTCTTTTTGAAGGTTGAACTTTTTAATAATTCCTGAAAGCAATTTCTAGAGACCCATTGGTGGAAGTAATTGAGTTAAAAGATTTAAAAAGCTTTATTTGTTTGAATATTTTTCTTGTTAACATCTTGTCCTGTAAAAAACTTGTCCAACAAAATAACTGAATCATTTTCTCAAATCAGCAATTTAGTCAAGGAACAGGCATATTTTGGTCTGTTTTCAAATTTCCCATTCTATTCCTTTTTTTGAGGGTTTCAAAATTACCATTTTTGGTTTGGTATAATTTCCAGTTTAGTTTTTCTTGTTGTCTTTGCTTTATACTTGTTCAGCTTAGTGGCATCATATTGCATCGTTTGATGAGTGAATTGAGTTTACTTTGCGTGTTAGGAGATAATTTATTGTTTTTTATATTTTTTTATGAAATTTTTTTTTGCCTTATGCGGGTGTCTGCATAAAGCAATAAAAAATTTCATAAAAACATTAAATTACCCGCTAACACGCAAACTGAACTCAATTCATTCAAAAAGTTCGGCTTAAATACCGCTTTTTTGCTATGCAAATGTTATTTTCAGTTTTCATATTTGTTTATGGTGAACTTTATTCAAGACTGGTGAATTTTTTATAGCAATTTTGGTAGAGCTAGCTTTCCTCGAAATTTTCAAAACTTTTCTTACGACTCAGCGGCTTTCGTCTCAATTTATGTCTGCCAGTTTGTCATGCTATGTTTGTGTTGTATCGCTTCGCCTCTGTGTCAAATTTATGATTGTACTAATCGGGCGATAAGAAGATAAGTTTAAAAAGAAATAAAATACACAGATGCAGGGAAGCGGCGAATGAAATGGTTTGTTGTGTCTCTCTAGGTGTATGTGCTACGACTACGAGTACTGGCGACCCACGGAGGGTAATGAGGAGTTGGAGTGCGAGGATATAGACGAGTGCACTGAGGAAGACGAGGGCGCCAATCCACTGCACGACTGCGACGAGAAGGACAACCAGGAGTGCAAGAACACACAGGGCGGATTCAACGTCAGCAGTTTTCATTGTTTCATTTTCTTTTTTTTTTCATTTTCACTAGATTACCAAATCGTATCATATGATGATTTGAAATGAAGCTATGATTTGGCGAGAATGTGTCAAAAATCAATATTATGTGATCGGTCTTTTCCATACTAAACAGGGGTGGATCTTGGGTTTCTCTTGGGAGTTGTTTCGCAATGGTTTTGAATCGACTGACAATCATCAAAAGTTTTGGGAAAAAAGTGAAGTTGGTATAAATATTGCCCGCTTTCTTTTAAAATTAGATACATACTAGCGTAATAACATTCGGTTTATTTGATGTTTGCAGTGTCCGTGTATCGAAGACTACACGAGAAAGAAGGGCGAGTGTTTGAAGAAGTGCGATAATAGCTTTTGTGATAAAGAGAATAATGAATGTGTGGAGGACCTGAATGAAGACACAGGCAAATATGCAGACACGTGTATGTGTGTGAATGGGTTTGACAGCGAGGCCGATGACCAGAACTGCAAGGGTAAGTATCCCAGTAGTAATTGTCATCTGCTCAAACAAATTTAGGATGTTGGCTTAGTTGTCAGGTAGATCTTTCAGCCAATCGGAATCGATTGTTTTATGCACTGCTATTACAAAATTCAGTTTAGGTTATTCGTCGCGAGCTCTGCGCTCAAATATTACTTAGTGGCACTCGGCATACTAAAATGATTTGAAGTTGATGTACATAAACAGGGACTATTTTTTGAGATGCGGTAGCCATCTGAAATAGGGAAGGCTATTTAGATTTGCTAAGGACAAATTCACGACAATTTGTCAACTAGTCATGTCATTGAAGATTGAAGCTGTCTTACACTGGCTGATTTTATCGCTTATTTATTTCAAATTTATGAGTAATAAATTCTGATTGGCTGATTAAAATCTAGCGTATTCAGTTTTTGCATATTCTGTCATCGGTACTTTGCGCATGAGGACGACCCGTGCAATAGATATAATTATTTGTTAATTATTGGGCTATGATAGAAGTTGGCTGTTGCCTCCTGTCGTTTAGACATAGACGAGTGTGAGTTGGGTCGGTTCATTTGTGCGGAGAATGCGGAGTGTGTGAACACAGTGGGCTATTATGACTGTGTCTGCAAAGAAGGTCTCCAGTCAACCTATCCCAGAGTGGAGGATTGCACCAGTGAGTATAATAATTACCCTTCCATTTCAATCGATTAGAAATATGCCCCCATGATGAATTTTCGAAAATTGTTTTTTTTTAATGTTTTTTTTAGGTTGACCATATTGACTATCTGAGCCCGCTCAATTGAAACAATTCATTTTGCCAAAATTTTCAGACACTTTTTTTGAGCCACAGACCGTTTTTAGACACGTTTTGGCCAAAAAATTGCGTCTTTTTTCAATTTTAGCATGTATTGCGCCAAAGGCTCCTGTATCAAACTTTTACGAGTATTCGAAAAATTCTTGGTAAAATGTCATAAAATAGTATCAAACTTGGCAGTCTTTGGATAGTTTAGAAATTCAAGCAATATTTACGCATTTTTGAGCTGGAAATTTTTACTTGATTTGCAATTTGTACTCAATTTTTCAATTAATGCAATCCGACGCTTAAAAACTTAACGATCTGATTGGCTTGCGAAAAGCTCCTCTGCTTAACCGACACCACAAATAAAATATTATTTATAAAAGCAGAATAACTATAAAATGGACTACTGAGTCAACTTGTGTGAACAGATATTGACGAGTGTGCGCTGGAGTTGAGCGAGTGTGATGAAAACACTACCTACTGCATCGACTCGGATCCCCTAGAGACAGGGCTGCTCTACGAGTGTCCATGCAAGAGAGGATACGCCAAAGAGAACGGAACTTGTGTCATCGTCGGTAAGTCCTACAACATAGTCAATTATCAAGAGCATGTATAGTTGTACGTCTCTGTATATCAAATGAGCTCAATTTTTTCTTTGTCAGAAAGAGTTTTGAATCAAATGGCAGAAAAAGTTTTGAATTGTAGTCGCAAGCTTAACATCATCAAACTCCTCAATCAAATTACTAACTATGGTCAAATTTTTGTCGATAAATTGATCTTAGATATTTTTAATTACAACTGGTCAATTTTAATCTAATTCCACAAGATTTGAGAATCATTTCTGTCTGTCTAGACTGGGACAATGTGTGTTGGTTTGATGATGCTGGCAGCTTGTGTGGCAATGGAACGTGTAAAACGAATCCTTCCGACCCCTCCGGAGGATTCTGCGATTGCCCAGATGGATACACAATGAACATCACTCTAAAGGCGTGCATGCGTAAGTTCAAGTTTTGTATCATCATAAGCGTACCTAACGCCACATTACCGTCTCCGCTAATGTTGGCTCCGTAACGATTGTGCATATGATTACCATTATCGTTGTTTTTACAGTTTATTTTTGAGCTCAGATAATGCAATACTCGACCCAGTATATGAAGTTTGTGATAAAATAATTTGATGATTATGTGTGATTTGTGCAGTGTCGGAGGAGTGTGAGACGAACGAGTGGTGCCACAAGGATGCCACGTGCAAGCCCACTCCAGAGGGAGTCCAATGCCAGTGTCTGCCCGGATACTCTGGTGACGGAAAAACATGCACAGGTCAGTAACAATATTTCAAGATGAAAAATACGAAAATGTCGAAATTAGGAATAATATGAAAGTTGTTTGATTTAACGCAAAAAATGGAGTTAAAAACAAGAGTCGTAAGTTGTTGTTCAATCAGCACATTTGAAAAATTATCTTAAAAAATCGAACCAATTTTTTTTTCTTTAGTATGAAAAAAGTTTTTGAAAACTGTTATTTCTTATGACAAAGGTGCTCCGCATTCAATTTTATAGCTACTCTGTCTAATTTAGAGTCGATGAACGTAGTGAAGATTCTAATATAATTCGTGATTATTTTTTTTCAGGAAAAGTCTTAAAATTTGTTCGTGCTCAGTTTTGATTTTTGTGCAATTTCAATTTTGATTTTTTATTTCCAATGTTGAAAGGAAGGCAAACTTCACTATCGAACAGCAAAAGTGTAAAGGTCACAAAAAAACGTGATCAATTTCCAGTTTCAAAAGTGGATTTTAATTTTCAGATTTGCCAGCTGAATAAAAAAGTTCTATTGATCCAGTTTTCTCAAATTGGGTTCAGTTTTTCAAAGGGTGTCAATCATAAATTTTTCGTTAAATTCAAAGCTTAAAAGGTATCTATTTTTGTTCCGACTTTCGATACGAAAGTAACGGAATATTTGTGCTCGGGGTGGGTTTTTTTTTCTTCAGACAAATTTCGACTTTTTAACTAGCCATTTTTGACGGAATTTTTTAATATCATTCAAAAAGTATTGCTGTCCTGAGCTTAAATTTGAAAAGATATTTTACCTGTTATCATTTTTTGTAAAGTTATGGGGGTTTAAAAATTGCCAATTTGGGACAATTAACGTGCGATATATTTCGCGCTATTAACGCGTAAGCGGAGATTTAATCCGTCCAAGAAATCTTTCCAAATTGGTTTAAAGAAGCTTAGTTGCTAAAAAAACAGATTTGTTACGAGGAGTGAAATTTATGCTTTTGTTGTTTATATGGCGTGTGGGGGGATGATTTTCATTAAAAGTTTCAAATTTTAGAAAAAAGTTTTTTTACTTTTAATTTTTTAAAGTTATTACTGCTCCATAAACCTTAAAAGGCAGTCGGAATATTCAGGGCTTCGTCCTGATACGAGCAGTCTTGCCTGCTTTAAAATTCGAAAGTTGAAGTTTTTTCAAAAAACAAAGTTCTGTTTTTTTTGTTTCCTTGTGTTCATTACTCTTTTCCAACTGTCAGTTGCATTGTTTTGTGTGTACTTGCGTCCATTGATTCTTTTCCAACTGTTTGTTTGCTATGTTTAGAATGATTTAAATACCGGATAACCATATCGTTGACATGTTAATTATGGCGTGCGACATTCAACTCTACATTTGTAGTGCCTAATTTTCGTGGAACTAAAAACACCTGAAACCAAATCAGCTTCTCAACTTCGGTGGTCAAAACAATTATATGATGAGAAAAAATATTTGCAGCATTCATAGTTTAAAGTAATAACATAGAAAAAATCTCTTAGGCTTATTTTATAAATCATTTGAAAAATTTTTAAAGAGCGATAGATAATATAGCTTATTTAATCTATAAGTTTCTTGTGATTTTAGAGACGTTAAGCAAACTGAGTTTTGTTTTGAAATGGTCCGTACAACTAATGATATTTGCATATTTGTATTGTTAGCCAAAGACAAGTGTGCTCTGGACATCGACAACTGTGATGACAATGCCATCTGCATTCCCAGTCCCACCACAGACGGTGCCTACACGTGCAAGTGCAAGGCCGGATTCGAGGGATCAGGCTTCTTATGCACTGGTACGCCACAGCCATGATTTCTGATCATTTCTGACATCTCAAATTGATAAATCATTGTCAACAAAGTTGTTTTTCATGCCAATGGGACAAATTTATAAACTGTAACTATTTTGTTGACATGAAAAATACTTAAAATTTTTTTTTGCTTAACATTGCGAATGTTTAAAAACAAAATAGGGACTACATCAAAATATGAGTAATTGCTATTATAGTTAACGAATTAGACTAAAACAAATTCCACTCTTTCTAGACATCGATGAATGCTTCACTGAACCTGAAGTGTGCGGCGGCAACTCCACTTGTACGAACAAGCTCGGAAACTATGAGTGCACTTGCTACAAGGGATACTACGACGTAGGCTTCGCGGGCAGAGGTTGTGAGGACATAGACGAGTGCAGAGTGCCGGAGACGACTTCGTGTCACGAGGAAGCCGAGTGTTTCAACGTACAGGGTAGCTATGCATGTGTGTGCGGAGAAGGATGGACTGGAAATGGATTCGACTGCGAAGGTAAAATTTGGAACCGTTGTAATCTTTTTCCAGCTGCATTCTTTTTCAGCCATCAACCTCCTAGAAAAACCTCTTATCGAGCTTCTTGCACATTTTTGAAAAAGCGCTCAGAAAGACAAAAAAACGGATACGGAATTTACTGAAAAAAATTCAGAAGTAGTTATTTTTTAATGAAGTGATCAATTTTTTACCCAAATCGTTACAAAAATATTGGAATGTAAAAAAAATCGGATTGCTCTTTTCGTATAAAGATATATAGCAGAATCTGATACTTGACCTTTCTTTGTTCAGACGTGGACGAGTGTGTGGAGGATAAGCACAAGTGTGCGTTACAAGGGGGCATCTGTAATAACACAGAGGGAAGCTACAGTTGCTACTGTGACAAGGAGGAGGGCTACTCTGGGGATGGGTTCAACTGCAGCAAATTGGAGCCCGCTTGTCCTGGTAAATTAGTCAGATCTCGTACGGACAAGTGTCTTATGGGCGGTGCCAGATTTATCATTTCTTTAAAAGAGCTGTAGCAAATCATAAAATGCGTTAGTTATCAGTTTATTAGAACCATTGTTGATTATTTTTGAAAATTTTCCAATTAAAATTACCAGGTGAATTATTTCGAAAATTTTTTTTATTCGTTGGAGAAATCGTTGGAGAAATCTAGTAAGTTTATGATTGAGTTATGCCTTTTAAAACTTCTTTTCAGATTATTAACTTGATTTTCAAACCAATCAAAGATTTACTGGTCGCGAAAACTATTCGACAACTAAGTAATATAAATCTGACTTTTTTCTAACCATTGTTTGTTTTTTTTTCTCTGCAGAGGACTGTCCCCCCAACTCGGAGTGTGTTCTGGGAAGTGGTGGGTCTGTGTGCAAGTGTGACGATGGATACTACAAGAACGGGAAGGGACGTTGTGTTGAACTGAACGAGTGCGAACAAAACAACCCATGCATCACTGTGAGTAATTTTCAACTTACAGTGCCGTTTTGTCAACAGAATTGCTTCACCTGTGAGACAATTCGGTAACATTGTTCTTTATAAATCAGTTTGCTTAAATTTTCTGGCAGAAAAGGTAGCTTTTAGCATGTGCCAAGCCCAAAAAATGGGTCAAAATTTCTTTAAAAGATATTAAAGATATTAAAACATTTTTCTGAGAAAGAAAGGTGGCTCTTTTCCTTTCCCTCACCTGCAAATTTCTACATGTAAATTTGTTGACCACATTTTCCGATTGTTTTGAAAATTTATTTACAGACTAATCAGGCCACGACAAGCATATTTGGTCTTTATACTCAACCTGGTAAAACCACTCGTTAGACTAAAAAATTGAAGCTCGTGTGAGGTGGGGGGAAAAGGAAAAAGAGCTAGAAAGGTTAGCAGAACAATATACCCTATTTCAATCTACCCTATATCATGCTTCCCTATGCTAATCTAAACTATTTCAATTTGCCGCATTACGAATCTTATCTTTAAAAGCGCTAACTGGAATCGGAATGATAACAGCACGTGTTAAATCATTTAATCCAAATTTGTGGACTCACATTTAGTACAAATTGTTCAAAAAACTCATTCTCCACTTCGAACCTGAAATTCAAGTAATTGTCACAGATCACAAGTTTTACTTCTCAATTTTCGATATGACAAACTTGAAACAGAAACTAACTCATTTTTCCAAATTCTAACAATTACCAAATGAGTCAATTTTCTTGGGGTCTGTCTCAGCAGAATTGGAAAACACGTGCTATCATTGACCACAAGTTTACAAAGAAACACGAAAAAAAGAATGAAAACATTCACTTGAAGTTTCCGAGTTGGGGATCCCAAAAACGAAACAGGACACAAAAAAATCAAAAAGTATCAGTCAAAAACTGCATCATAGCGAGTTGCCCGCAGTCTGTATCCAAAAAAGCCGTTCAGTTATCTTTTGCTTGTCGATCGACGATTAATCGGACCCTAAGTTGACACAGAAGGCAGATGAAAGACCCACAAATCTGCCACTTGTCAACCGACAATGCTTTTAATAGCTTTGCTTAAAATTGGTTAATTTCACTTACGTCTGGCGTTCAACTGAAAACAAATGAATGCCTGTATGAGAGCAGCAATCATGAATTGAATTCGGCTTTGCGTCTAATTACAGCTATAAGTTTTGTTTTTCGACTTGGTTCCGCCTTTACTTGGTTATTGAGGAGATCAAAAAATTTTCTGACAAGTTTGATTTCGACGAAATTATGAACGAAAAACGACGAGGTAGCCTCATACTTCCAACGCGTCTACATCGAAAGCGATAATATTGAAACTATTTTTTGCTTCCTCTTTTTGAAGTCAACATTTGCGATTGTTACCTAAATTCTGCTGCTGGACTAATCAAGAAAACAAATGCCGCTGAAAGTTGGCATCTTTTGAGTAGTTAAATTTTCTAAAGGAAACCAGTCATCCATTTAGATTTTTTTTGAGCAAATCAAACTGGATGCGGCAAATCAAAAATTCGATATATTGAAAGCTAAGGGGGCAACAGCAACTTCAGTTGCAAGAAAAACATGGAATTGAATGAAAAAAATGATTTCAATTAATTTAATCTTAATTCTGTTTAGTTTATCAAAACTTATTTAATTTTTCAATGATGCAATACAATTTCTGAAAAAAAACATGCACTTTTTGATGATGTTCCCGTTGTCGTAGAAGCTTGATATATTCAACGCTGATAGGAGCCAGTATTAAAAGAAGTTTTCCTTTTCCTCGCTCCTCTCTCCACTTCCGCCGGCTTATGCATTATCTACTAAGGTAAAACGAATTGGCACTTTTTGACTTTGCTAGTTTAAGAAAAAGCCTCAACGCATTTCTATCATAAATTTGGATTCAAGTTTCTGTTCGTTCATACTTTGAACTCATTTCTATAATGAACCAGCAAAATTTACATTGCTTTGGTTTTATATTTACGTGCAGCAATTTTTCTCTGATCAGTCTCAATGGTTCTTTGATCTGTTTGGAAACTTTTAGGATATGCAAAAAAAAAATTGATAAACATTTTCATTTGGCAATCTTTTTTGTACTAAAACATAATGTGCAATCATTAAAACTTAATCTCTCCATGCCTTCACAAGAAACTATTGCTTCATATCACGATCACAAGATGCTCAAATCAGATATTTCTCCTCTAAGTTTCTCATTCTACGATAATAAATGAATCATTAGTCTCCTCCAACCATGATAACTGCGTTCTGTAGCAAAAATGTGAGAACAAGGACGGATCTTTCGAGTGCACTTGTGGAGGTGGGAATGAACTAGTGGACGGAGTGTGTGTGGACATAGACGAGTGTGAGGACGAGGAGGTGTGTGAGTTGGAGAGCCAGGTGTGTGCCAACATGCAGAGTGTCCAGGGTACCAGCAGTGCACAGGGCTTCAAGTGCTTCTGCACTGATTTGGACTGCTTCGAGGAGTTCTGCAACTCAAGTAAGTACTATTGTTATTTCCCTCAAATACGTTCGGAACAAAAAAACGGGAATGTTTTTTTTTGCCTTTTATAATACTCGGAATTTTCGGTACGACTATCTGTGAATCAACACGAGCGGAAGCTACCTATATGGGATCCAAAATAGGCAACCGTTTCTTTTTTAATCGACAGTCATCTGGTAGTATAAAAAGAAAAAGTCATTCATTATTATCTGCAGCTGAGGTGGCTAAGCCAGAGGTGTGTGAAAAACCATCAGTGTGTGATGAGAATGCGGACAAAGTGGAGCAGACATTCTCTGAGTACAAGTGTGTGTGCAAGGAGGGGTTCGAAGGCGACGGAATCACGTGCGAAGGTAGATTCAATTTTGTCCACCGCTTAATTTAAAGTACGAATCACACTGTTTTGCAATGGTTTTGCCAGAAAAAGTGTTCTATCCTGTAAATCTGTTTTTAGTGCGATTTAGAAAGTAGTGATGGTAAAGTTGTAAAATTCACGATATATTTGTAGTCTGTTTTAGGCCACTCTTTAACTTGTATTTTTTTTTTTTTAAATTTGTTTTTTTTCAGACATTGACGAGTGTCTTCTGAGCTACGACAACTGTAATGAGACAGCGAGGTGCTCCAACACAGTGGGCAGCTACGAGTGCATCTGTCTGCCCGGATACCTATGCATCGGAGGTACATAATGATCTCATCCCCCCTCCCCCCTCCTCCCTCACCCCCGAACAATCAAGAGTATATCTTTTTAATGGTTTCCGGTGTAAATTTTACCTTCTTTTCTTATACCAACAGAGGTTGTGTGCGGACTTTGAACAATTTTAATGTTCTACCTTACAAAGATTTGCGTTCAAAAATCCATATTTGGCTCTTGGTCTATTTTATATTGAGACTTTTCAAAAGGAAACGGATGTCGCATTAAGGTAGCAAAGGGTTACCACTACTCTAGCTAAAACGCTTCTGCCTTCTCTCCACTCTGTCATTATTTTAATTCCCTTTAGATGGCGATGGTCCCTGTGGTGGCGGAGGCGGAGACGAGTGTGCCGAGGGCGCTGGATGCTCAGAGGTGCCTGGACAAGTCAACCCACAGTGCGAATGTGAAGAGGGCAAAGTTGGCAACGGATTCGAGGAGTGCGAAGGTCATTTTTTCCTTGTTTATTTCATTCTCACGTATATCATCCAGAGTTTCATTAATTCAAAAACAAACGAGATTGAGCAGTTTTGAAATAACCAAAAGTTGAGCTCGTTTGAATCATTTCAAATTTTCAAAAAATAATAAGTTCCTAATCTATTCTAGACGAGGACCCCTGTGCTAACAAGACAGACTGTCCGGAACAGAGCACGTGTGAAGTGGACGAAGAAGGAGAGGCGGAGTGTGTGTGTCTGGAGGGCTTCACCGGGCCAGACTGTGACGTAGCAGAAGATATGTGCGACCCTGAGAATGGAGGGGATGAGTTGTGTACTCACGAGGGGGCACAGTGTGTGAGTGACCCCGAGGGGGGATTCTCGTGTGAGTGCAAAGATGGATATGAAGGACATGGACTTAACTGTGTTGGTAAGTGTCGCGTAGATAGCTCAGAGATCGCGTTTGCAGTTATCCACTATATTATTACCATGTCTACAAAAATTGTTTACCGCTTTTTTACGACGTTTTTTTTTTTAGAAAAGAATTCTTATTTGCAATTTTTAAAGTTAACGACGTTTTTATCGCTTGATTTTGAAATATCAAATGAATTATAAATGTTTGACAGCTAGCAGTTAAGAACGTGATTTACCTAATTGTTTTATTTGAAAAAAAAACATGTAAACTGAAAAGAGCACCTTAATGACTTTAGGATGGGTTTTAAATGAGAATGATCACATGCTTCAAACAGTTATTAGATCTCAGTCGTTAAAAAGTTGCAGCGGCGATTAGATTACGTTGCTTTGGCCCTTTATAGATACGCAAGAGGGTCATTCTCTTTTTAAACATATGGTCATGGTCCTTAAATAACAAACTGATGCCATGATCTGTTTAGACTTGAACGAGTGTGAGGACATCAACCGAGTGGGCAATGCGTGTCTGGGCGACTGTGTCAACACTAACGGCAGTTTCTCCTGTCCAGCCTGTGAGGCAGATCCAGGTCTCACCTCCACCTGCGAGGACATAGACGAGTGTGCGGACTCCGGTCTGTTCCAGTGTCCATCTGGCGAGGAGTGCATGAACACCGAGGGCAGCTATGCTTGTGTGTGTCCAGATGGGCAGGAGAGGAAGACTTCCGAAGGCGAATGTCAAGGTTAGTTCAGACAGAAATTCAAACCACCTGCATATCCAAATACGCAAATGTGCTATAAAAACCCTAGGATAAAATGTAATGCGTTTGCAATGGAAAATTTGCTTGCTGCCGAAAAAACGTTATTTCCGTTTTTCTGACCAATTTAATCTTGAAGTGTTAATAATGCCTCTCTCGTGGCGTCAAATTTGTTCAGAGACTGAATTAGTTTATACAATAGATGAATTGTAAGTAAAACCAATGTTGGTGTTTTTAGTTTTTTTTCTGAATTTTTTTTAATTTTGCAACGATATACCGTGGTTGGAACATTCTGGGCTATTTGCACAGCAATCGGCTGCTCTTGTTTTCATTGAAACTGTTGTTTTCAGCTTGCGGAGATGACGGATGCTGTCCTAAGGAACTGCCAAGCTGTGACGTCACTGATCCATGCTCATCTGATGGTAAGCTGCAAAGATTCTATTTGACATAATGCTCTTAGCTTACATCTAATCGCTTGGAATTAAGGTTGTTTAAAAAATTCATTTTTGGTTATACTTTCAAGTAGATGCTTTTAAGTTGTGAACAGAGAAGTTTTGATTGTAAAAAGGGGGCGGATCTAGGTTTTTTTTCGAGGGGGTGGATTTTCAAAAACTTTTTAGAAATTTTGTCGACCTTTTTTTCAGATCGACCAAATTGATTTTCCGAGCTTTCCCAAAGCACTAAAAAGACCGTTTTGGCCAAAATTTCTGCGCCGCAGGCAAAATGTTGAAAAAAAAACAGGCCAAAAAAGGCGTTTTCAGGCACTTTTTGCAAAATTTGGACCAAAAAAATTGCGTTTTTTGGCGCGCGCTCCCCCTCAAAATAAGTATATATTGGCGCCTTTAGAAAATTTTTAGGAACTTTTGCCAAAAATGGATATCTCAAGATAGTACAAAGTGGGGACCCTTTGGGTCGCAGGGGGTCGAATAACTGAGAGAGGAGGGCGTTCACCCCTGAATCCGTCCCTGAATGTAAATCTTTCAATCATTTCCAGACCTTAACTTCTGCAACTCTGACAAATCCAGCTGCACCCCAGACGGTGACTCCTACACTTGCGAGTGTAAGTCAGGATTCCAGTCCAGTGACTCACTCTCCCTCCTGTGCGAGGATGTGGATGAGTGTGCAGAAGGAAGTGAGAACAAGTGTGATGACAATGCAGAGTGTGTGAACGAAGTGGGCTCGTATTACTGCAAGTGCAAAGCGGGATACGAGGGCAACGGGGTCACGTGTGAAGGTCAGTGCCAGAACCGTCCCATATTCAGCTTCTCGTTGCTAACAATAGATATCATATTTTCAAGTGTCAATGAACGTAGTGAAGAAACTTATATAGGTCGCTTTGATTTTTTGTTTTTTTTTTCAAGGAAAAGTTCAAATATTTGTTCACGTCTAATTTACTTATGCAGTTTGACCTTCGCTTTTTACACGTAGTAGTGTTATAGCACAGCTTAAGCGATTGTAGGGTAATAGAAAGACTATTCTTTTTTCCAACCCTAGTGGCACCTTTACGGCTTTTTGATAGAATGTGCTTTGACATTCGATGCGGAAAACTTAACACTGTTGTTGCATTTTAAATTGTTCAAATGAGCCGAAAATAGCTATTTGTTTCAATAATAAAAGCTTGATTTCCAGCAATTTTCCAAGTCAATATATCTTGTTTTTTTGAAATGCAAGATTTAGACAAATTTTGGCTTAATGATTTCCAATTTATTACATGCAAAGTTTGTATAAGGGCCTTCAGCTTGTTATATTCCAAATTATTAAATGCAGAATTGCGTTTTTTTTCTATTTAGTGCCAATTTTGATGCATCGCATTGGCAATTCCTTAGCATATATAGTTGATTTATTTGTGACTAGTGTTTGCCGAAATTTAAGAGTTCATGGCCGAGAGGGCAGGTCGTGAGACACCTAGTCTCGAGGTCGCACGATCGAATACGATTCGTAGCAAATTTTTACTACTTCGAGGCTTATTTCTATTTTTGCTCATTTCACTTTATAAAGCTGCTTTTCTTCGTGTTATCGCTGGTGTTTGCGAATCACAGCTTCGCCTCAGTGCTCTTAGTTCAATTTAAGTTTGTTTGCTAAAAGGAAGTCAAATGACGCTCTCCATTTATGAAAGAGAAAATGGGGCGAAAAATCGTGATCGATGACATTTTAAGTTTTGAACTTCCCAATTTCCCAGTGTAATAAAAAGTTGATCTAGTGATCCAGTTTTCTCAAATTAGGGCTTGTTTATCAAAATATAAATTGTTCTTGAAATTCACAGAGCTTTAAAGCCATGTATATTTCTTTGAAAATCGTAAATTGAGGTTTTTTTTTAATGATTAAGCCAGTCTTTTTTTCTTAGTCTCAGGAGATTACTCCATCACGTAGCTTAGCTAGTCAAGAAAAAGTTTTTTTTTCAATGAGCTTTGAACAAAAAACCGTTTTTTGCTTAATTTTTAAATGAGCTTTAAGTTTGAAAGGCTTCAATTCTATTCAAGTAGTGATGTTTGTTTTGTACTGATGTTCATATCTGCTTCTTCAACTGCTGTCTCCCTTGTTTAGACGTGGACGAGTGTGAGATGCAGAATCTGTGTGATGGTAGAGCCACTTGTGTGAACACGGAGGGATCCTACCAGTGCAACTGTCCCGAGGGATTCACCAAAGCCACCAACTTCGCAAAGTGCAAAGGTAGAAACTTTTCTTTGCAGATTGTGAAGTTCTGAGTTTTGTCTAGAAAAGGAGTTTAAATCTTTAATTTTGATGAAATTTTTCATTAATTGTTTTCAAAATTTTCTGAACCTTGGATGAATTTGATTCAAAAATGGACTTTTTGTAGACTTGAATGAGTGTGCGATGGACAACGACTGCAACTCGACCACTTCCGTGTGCGTGAATGAAGTAGGCTCCTACAAATGCATCTGCAAACAAGGATACTCCCTGCAGGCAAGTGACTGCATGTCTTTTGATTTTTCAATATATGACCTAAGCTTGAACAACATAGAGTTAAGTATCCTATTTTCGAACAGATTGGCCAAGATATGTGTTGTGTGTTTTCAAAAATATTGATTTAGTGACTAATGATATCAAATTGAATTTCATTGGTCAGATTTTGCGCTCAACTCTCCGTATATTTTGCGTTTTTCAATGAACCAGATTTTTCAAATTTCTTATCAAAAATCTATCCGAAAAAAAAACATGAAAAATAAAGACTGAATCATTTTAAGTTTTTCTACTATTTTGCGAGAGCTCAATATTTTTTGTTATTTTAATACGAAAACCTCCACTTCTCCTTGCAAAAATTCTACGTCCGATCATGGCTACAATTCACAATAATCTGATTGTAAGAGTGTCTATGATCGTTTCAGGAAGCCAACACCTGCGTGGACACGGACGAGTGCGCAGACCAAGATGACAACGGGTGCAGTCCCTTCGAGAAATGCGTGAACGAGGAGGGAGGATACTCTTGCGAGTGTCGAGAGGGTTTCGAGGAGGGGCAGGACGGCAGTTGCAAAGGTGGGTGCACGCAATTTCTGATATTTGATTGAAACAAGTATTGCAACAGCTTCTGTAATATTTTTTTAAAGCAATTTTTCTTATCTTAGCTCCATTCTTTTTAGAAATTTTTATGACACAAGCCTGATTTTAATAGTTCTAAACTCGTTTTCGAAAGCGTAAGTCTGTGTTAATAGGGAGCACGCACTGTAAAAACGCAATTTGTTGGTCAAAGTTTTAACAAAAGGTTCAAAAAAGCATCGTGACTCATTTTCCAAAAATTTTGTTTGCAGCGCAGAGGTTTTTGGTAAATATTGTCGAGTGTTTTAGCAATGATCTCACTGCGTAATTAATAGCTGTTTGCTAATAAACTTGAAGATAATATTCTTTAAGTTGGGGGACTCAGTTTGAATTATATTATCACATTTATTTAGAGTTTCACAATTGAGTAGACAAATCACGTTTTACACTGTTTTACAAAAACATGTGAGCATTACTTCGGAGTAAGTATAAGTTACATCATAAGAACAGTGCTAACCTTTTTCACTGACAGACACTCACAGACAAACATTTTGTTCGTAGCAATCTAAAGTTGGAATTGAAATTTGATTTTTGAAAAAATTCTGCGGGTCATATTTGGTCTTGACCTCCATCGCTTGATATTTCTGTTCTCCGTAATGAAACTCCATCAATTCTACCTGGCCGCCATTATCAGATCGCCCTTCAGATAGATCTTCATAACCTCGATATGAATAGTTTGTATATGGTCGCAAAATATCCCAAAATCCTTGTTGAAACTCTTTGATTTCATCGTTTGTTTCCTGGTCATCTGTTTTTGAAGGGTACGTTGTGACAATACCTTGACATCCTTTGCCCATGAAGATTCCGTAAGAATCATCGGGAAATTGTTCACCCCCGAATAGCTCGACGTTTGTTCCTAGATGGTAACTCTGTAAAATGTGATTTGTGTCCGGGTTGTAGTAATGCTCTTCTAGTTGTTCGAACACCCCTAAAGGAACGTCCTGAGAACACACGAACCCACTCATTATACCAACATGGCCATCGTTTTCATCGGCTCTGAAGTCTCTCTTCCATGTCGATTTGGGAGTTGTCGCTTTTATAAGCGCATCTGCACCATAAGTGTGCAAGTACAAATCAGAGTATGAAACCTCGATAACTTTGTTTTCAATAATAGTAACCGACTTCTTTTCTGCTCCGTCAATTATGCTGTCGACTATTTCTGCTTGCTTAGTTTTGTTCAAGAAAGAGTTTCCTGCGATTGCTCCGTGGATCATTATGTAATCTGGCATCAAGTATGAGTATAAAAACATAACATTTTCGTCCAGGGAACTTGCAATGGAAAAGAAGTATTGAAGCCACTCGCCCATTGAACTGGGTTGTACTTTAATTTCAACCAGTGCATATTTGGCTTCAAGCGGCGCGAGGCTTGCAGTTACGCATGTTACGATCCCAAATGACGAGGCACCGCTTCCTCGCAGAACGTCGAACAGATCTCGGTTTTCTGTGAAAGATGCGTTGACAATTCCTCCGGAAGCTAGGACGATTTCGTAGTTGATGACATTGTTTATGGCGATACCATATTTGCGGGTGGTGTAGCCGGTCCCCCCAGTTGACAGAAGACCGCCGATTCCCACATCAGGACAGTCACCTGAAACCAAAGCATGTTGCCTATCAAAAAATCAGTTTCGTTTATTTTGAAACGAGTTTGCTGAAACTTAATTTAATTCGTTGATGTTGTTGAATAGAAAATAGATAAACCCAACTGAGCTTTTAACAAATTTTTTGGATCTACCTAACAACCCCCCCCCCCCCCCCCCCCCCCCTATTGTATCTACTAAAGAATCTCCACCCCTGTAAATATAAACAGTAAATTCGCACTAGAGCGTTGTATGTAAATTCGAATTTTGCTGCATTCTGATTGGTCGAAAATTCGCTGCAAGTAATCTACTTAACAATCCCCCCTTTCTTGAAGGGGGGCGGAGATTGTTAAGTAGATCCAATTTTTATAATACAGATTTATTTAATATCGCTTATACAAGGGTTTTTCTCAGCTACTCGTTTTGCGAATACGAAGGTAATAATATCATTTTCAAAATAGTACTACTTTTTCGAAAAGTTCAACTTGATCAATTCACTACGAATAAAATTACTCTAGTAGAATCAGTGGCCGATCTAGGATTTTTTTGCGGAATTTTAAAAAATTTTCGAAAATTTTGCGTCGACCTTTTTTTTAGACCAATTTGATTTTCCGACCTCTCCCAAAGTACTAAAAAAAACCTCGTTTGGCCAAAATATTAAAAAAAAGGCCAAAAAAGCGTTTTCTAAAGCCGAAGGCGCCTTTAGAAAAGTTTTGGGGTCCGTCAGCCAAAAATGGATATCTTAAAATAGTTCAAATGGGGGACCCTTTGGGTCGGCAGGGGGTCGAATCCCTGAGAGGGGGCGTCCGCCCACCCTGCCCCCCCCAAAAATCCGCCCTTAAGCCTAAGTAGAATATTTTAGACTTGCCTCCAACCATGAGTAACTCAAACTGCTCCAGGGCCTGATACACTTCGCCTACTCGGTTTCCGACCCCAATCACCGCCTCTTTTCTCTCTTCGTCAACTGAGATGAGATTGAATCTCTTCATGTCTACTATGAAACCGTCTTCCACAAATGAAGTCCCACTGAAACTATGGGCTCCTGACCGAACTCGGAAGGAAACTTGGTCGGGCGTACCGGTTAAACACATGACGATCTAAAATAAAACAATTAATTAACTTCAACTAGAAAGATTTCGCCTCGGCCAGTTTCATAACAAACATTGTTTCCCTTCACAAAAGGTTTAATTTTGTGTCAAAATTGAGTTTTGTATATGTAAGAGTCGATGAACGTAGTTCAGATTTTTATATAGGTCGTGATCAGGGGCAGATTTAGGGGGGATGGATGCCGCAAACCCCCCTCTCTCCTCAGGGAATCGACCCCCTGCCGACCAAAAGAGTCCCCATTTTTACTATTTTGAGATATCCAATTTTGGCTGACGGACCCTAAAATTTTTCTGTAGGCGCCTATTTTTAATAAGGATCACCAGGAAACTATTTACGAGATAGAAGTATGATAGTTGGGTCCCTAAAATTAAGATGGTCCCTGTAGAAAAAATTATAGGCCTTAAAATCTTCGAAAATATGGCTAGCATTTGTTCACTTGCGTTTTTGAATTTTTGCCAAAAATTGTGGCACCCATCTTTCATACTTGTTTTTTGGTGAAACCCAAGTATCATACCTGTATCAAAGACGACAGCTGTTAAGACGACAACCGCTTTGGAGGGACTTAAGGACGACGCTACACACAAAACCTCGAATTGTTTTTCTGAGATGCAGAAATCGCTTAAATTCCTACAGTTCAATTTACATGTCTTAACTCTCATTTGTCGTCTTTATGTCATGTCGTCTTAATGACTTGTCGTCTTATTTACCTAGCACTCTCTTCCAACTGTCTGTTGGCTATGTTTTTTCTGCTTCTTTTTTCGTGTATAAAAGCTCGCAGAAGAAGGATATCCTTCACTATGTCATGTAAATCTCTTGACAATGGCAATACTTTTGGGTGATTCAGATTCCAATTTCAAATCGTAGTTTAGTTGTTGCTTTAAATGATTTCTTTTTGATTTTTGAGTTTTGAGTCTTTCAATTTACTAATTTGGCGGCATAATCATGTCAAAAATGTGGCAAAATTAGGTTCGGCAAAGAATCAAGTTCAAATGTCGTAGACATAGCCGGGCCCATTTGCAGGTTGCAAATTAGAAAATAGTTCGTTGATTGTCAGCTGATGGTACGTCGTCGTTGATTGTAATGGTCATCTAGTTGTTAGCTGTCGTTGATCATGTTGGTCATCTAGTTGTTACTGTGGTCCAATACTCGCGAGAGTTTGACTGCTGGTCGGTGTAGAATCCCCCTGCTAGTTTTAATTTCGCAGGAGCGAACGATTCCGTCTGCACCTGGGAAAGTACGAAGTACCCGTCCCAGGGGCCAAAGACCTCGAGGCGTTAGGTCTTCCAGTATCCATACAAGGTCTCCTTGCCGAAGATTTTCCACTTGCTTTGTCCATTTCGTTCGGGTTGTCAAGGTTGGCAAGTAGTCTTTGAGGTATCTGTTCCAGAACTGTTGACTCAAGGCTTGAGCTTGTTTCCAAGTTTTCTTGTCCGTTGTGTGGCGAGGGAGAAACAATCCGGGAGGCAAATTGTTTGTTGGTCGTCCTAGTAGAAGGTGATTGGGTGTAAGGGGCTCGTCGTCGGTTGGGTCTGATGAGACGTGGGTTAGCGGGCGAGAATTCATCATAGCTTCAACCTCGCACGTGAAGGTTGACAGAGTTTCGTCGTCCAGTGCCCGTGTTCCAATGACTTTGTAGAAGGCAATCTTAAATGTTTTTATGAGGCGTTCCCATGATCCAACAAAGTGAGGAGCTGCAGGTGGGTTGAATTTCCAGGTTATTCCAAGTAATTGGCATTGATTGTTGAAGTCGTTGCTGTGTTGAATCTCAGAAAGGCTTTCCTGTAATTCCTTGTCAGCTGCAACGAAGGCTTTTCCGTTGTCAGAGAAGATGATCGTGGGTTTACCGCGTCTAGCGATGAAACGGCGTATGGCTTGTAGAGTTGAGTTTGTGTCAATTTGCTGGCATATTTCTGAATGAACTGCTCGCGTGACGAGGCAGGTGAAGAAGAGAACGTATCGCTTACTGTACTCGTCGTTGTTCCGCGTGGCAAAGGGTCCAAAGAAGTCAATTCCTGTTGAGTAGAAGGGTAACTGTTTTCCGATAAAGGGAGTCGTTGTAGGGGTAGATCTGCCATCAGAGGCTTCACTGGTTCCTGTCGAAGGCGTCGGCAAGGTATGCATTGTCGAATAGTTTTCTTCAGATGCTTGCGTGATCTTATGATCCAAAAGTCCTGCTGAAGAATGCTTCGGGTGTGTTCCATTCCACAATGGGAATTTATTTCATGTGTTTGCTTCATGAAGAGTTGTATTGGGTAGTTTTCTGCGTTCAGAATGACTGGATGTCGGCTGCAAAGTAGAAGCGGGGCTTTCTGTAGTCGTCCTTTGGCACGTAAGTATCCGTGATCGTCGATGAAGGGGCAAAGAGGTTGTAGAGGGCTGCGGGGTGGAATGTCAGATTTCTTTGTCAGGCATGCTATTTCCTTGGGGAATGATTGATTCTGTGAGTGTTTAATGATCCATGCGAATCCTAAGGTGAGGTGTTGAAGTGAGAGGCTCTGGCGTGTCTTCCTTTTGATGTTTTCTGCGCAGAGAAGAACATATGAAGTAACTCTGAGTGCTCTTGTCCAAGTGCTAAATCGGTTAAAGTCGATTACTGATGTTGGCGATTGTGGGTCGTTGTCTGTCAGATGAATATCGGCTGATGGTTGTGTTGGTGGGTGATTAGGCCAATCTGATGATGGTCTTAACAAGAAGTCTGGTCCTTTGATCCATCGTGAATCGGTAGTCATGTCACATGCTTTGTAACCACGTGTTCCGTCGTCTGCAGGGTTGTCTTTGCTAGGCACGTATCTCCAGTCCAGTGGAGATGTTGAGTCCATGATGAAATTAAGGCGGTTGGCAATGAAGATCCGGTGGCGTTGATTCGGCGAGTTTATCCAATGAAGAACTGTTGTACTATCTGTCCATAGTGTCGTACTGTCGATTCGTATGCCATGTTGTTCTTTGATGAAACGAGACAGTTTAGCTCCGTTAGTGGCGGCTTGAAGCTCGAGATTTGGAATTGTCATTCTGTTGATGGGTGCTACTCGGGCTTTTCCAATGACGAACTTGAGTTCCGTTGTGTCGTCGTCGTATCTGATTCTGAGGTAAGCAACTGATGCTAAGGCAAGTTCGGAGGCGTCGCTGAATACATGGAGTTGGGTTTCCAGTATCTTCGTTTCTGCTTTGAAGTAAATCCGGGGCAGGCAGATGTCGTTGAATTGGCCTCGCTTGTCTATCCAATCGTTGAGGTCTGTTAAATGATCCATGTTTAGAGGTTTGTCCCATTGAGGTCCATTACTCCAGGCAAGTTGAAGTGATTGTCGTAGTCGAATTGTAAGTGGCATCGTAATTCCAAGCGGGTCAAAGATTGAAGAAGCAAACTTCAATAGTTTGCGCTGCGTTAAGTCCTTCTTGTCAATGGCGTGAAACTTCTTTGCTTCCACAAGAAAGACGTCCGTGTCTGGTTTCCATTTCACTCCAAGAACTCTTTCGAGGGGTCGTTCCTTCTTGGTGAGGCTGTCGCTGTTTTCCAAGTGGTTCTCGTTAACTGTTGTGAGGAATTGTTGAGAGTTTGAGGTCCATTTTGTGAGGTTGAAACCTCCAAGGCTGAACATCTTTTGAAGGTCGTTCATTAACTGTGTCGCTTCCGTCGGCGTTGAAACGGCTTTGTATAGGTCGTCCATGTATATGTTGCGTTTTGTGATTTGCTCCAAGGCTGGATATTTGTCGGCATTGTCGTTCGCACATTGTCGAGTGGCGTAGCAGGCAACACATGGTGAGTCGGTAGCTCCGAAGATGTGGCGGGTGTATTGGAAGGTTGCGGGTTGGCCCGTGTTGTCCTTCCACAGAAATCGCAAATACGGCTGGTCCTCTGGGCTCACGAAGACCTGCATGAACATTGCTCCAATGTCGGCAGAAATAGCGATTTGGTCCTCGCGAAATCGCATAACGATTCCAGTAAGGTTTGTGAGGAGGTCTGGTCCAGTTAGTAGGTTGCTGTTGAGTGATACTCCTTTGTAGATGCTCGATGCATTCAGGACTCGGCGTACCTTGCCAGGTTTATTGATGTTTGTCACTGGATGATGAGGAAGGTACCATTTTCCTGTTGAGTCTTCATGAGAATCATCAACTTTGACTATGAAACCTTTCTGCAAGTCGGTGTCGATGGTCTCCTGATATTTCTGTGCCATCTCGGTGTTTCTCTTCAGTCGTTGGAGAAGGCTGTCGAGCTGCTTCTTGGCAAGCCATCTATTGTTTGGCAGTTGTTGTCCACGTTTCCAAAGCATTCCAACTTCGTAGTGTCCATTGGGCAAGCGGGTTGTTGAAGATTCCAAGATGCGGAGAGCTTCCTTGTCGTCTGTTGAGAGGCTGCGTTGGTCAGTTGAAATCCCTTCGGCGTCCAATTTCATCCATTCAGCTACGTGGCGAAACAGTGTATCATCTGTCGTGAAGTTGATTGTGTTGACGTCGTTGGGTGTCGCTGCATTGTCTCGTCCACAGAGAGACCATCCAAGTGGCGTTTTCCATCCAATAGGCACATTTTGTTTTGAATGGATTACTTCTGAAGGTGTCACGAGTTCGGCGAAATCGCATCCAATGATGATTCCGATTTCTTTCGAGGGCAGTGTGGCTATCCGAATGTGTTGAAGTGGCTCGTTCCTTTGGCAGATGGAGTTGACGAGTTCAGGGTTGAATTGGGAAAGGTTCCAATCCATTATGACGTCGATGTCATTTAGTTGAAATGGCTGCTTTTGCTGGTTGTAGGGTCCAATCGCGATCGTCATCTTTGTAGAAGCTGTGTCTGATGATGTCAGTGCTTGGTTTAGCTGGATGGTGTCGTCTAACTGCAGATCTGGTTTGAGTTGGAGGGCGATTGATGATTTAAGCAATGTCAGTTTGCTTCCACAATCAAGCATTGCATAGGCATGAACTCTATGTTTGCCATGAGAGATCGTTATTGGCAGGGTCGGAATGTGGCGAGTCGATTTCCTTCTGCTTATGCTGGTGCTGCAGTTGGTGGTGTCTTCATGTTGTCTGGAGTTCCGGTTGGCTGTCTCCCTCTGTGTCGTCGAGCTGTAGGTGCTGCTGTTGTGCAGAAGCGTGTGGTGTTTCTTACTGCATCCGTCCGTCCGGCAGGTTTGCGTTGATTGACAGTCGGCGAACTTGTGGGGGCTGAGGCAGTTGAAACATAGTTGTAGGTCACTGGCATGCTGTAATCTGTCCTTTGGGTTCATTGCGATGAAGTGTTGGCATTTTCCAAGGTACTGGCAATTGCGTTTCTCCGGGCAAAAATCTCGTCGTTGATCCTTTTGTCCAGATTTATGTTGCTGCTGGCTGCGTTGCTGGTTCCGGTTGTTCTGATTGGCGCGGTGATCCGATGGTCCATGTTGGTGGGTGTGACCGTTGGATGATGATCCTTGAGTGTTGCTGCTGTTGTAGTTGTTGCTGCTGCTGCTGTTTCTGGTGTTGTTGTTAATGCTGTTGCTCGGCAAATCGCTGCATGCTTCGGCGTAGATGTTGAACCAATTGGTGAGGTCGATGAGTGATGGTTGTCTGATGTTGCATTGCAGATTGTATCTATTCCATTCTAGTCGGCAAGGGGTAGGCAGTTTTGACAAAACTGTTTGGACATTTGTCGTAGAGTGTAGATCGTGCTGGAATCCAAGTGTCGTGAATGTATCGACCATTGTCTGTAGGAAGTTGGCGAGGTCCTTGTAGCTTCTGGTATGTCGTAGATTGGGGCCGCTGATGGCGTCGAGTCGTCGAAGGAAGGATGTAACTATCTTCGTCGGGTTACCAAAGTCGTTTTCCAGTCGCTGAAGGGCTGCGTCATACATTGCTCCATTGCATCCATATCCTCGGATGAGAGATTTGGCATCTCCGGATACAAGTTTCTGCGGATGTGTCATCTTTTCCGAGTTTGTCATGTCGGTGCTGTTGATGGGTGCGTTGAACAGTCCTATCCAATCTAACCATTGTTCAGGTTCTCCGTCGAATATGAATGGTTTGACAATGGGCACTGATTTCCTGAATGTCTTCGAGATCGTTTGATGATGGTTGTGGTCTGTCGGTGCTGCTCCAAGGTTGGTAGGAATCGGGAAATAAGTCGGCTGGTTCTGATGTGCTGCATGTTGATGTGCTGCATGTTGATGGACTGCATGTTGATGAGGGGGAGGTCGGTTGATATTTTGGTGAGTTGTTCCTGTTGGTCCCCTGCAGCCTGCATGAGTGAAGGCTGTGGTTGATGATGTCGGCATGTTCGTAGGGTTGTATGCTGTCGTGGTTCCCAGAAATCCTTCCTGGTACGATCGCATGGCAGGTTGTGTACATTGGTGAGTCAGGGTCGGCTGGCTGGAGGTCCAATTTGTTGCTGTTCGTTGATCTCCTTGGTTTGTTGGCAGTAGTGCAGGTTGTGCTGGTATCGGTACTCCATTGATGTTTGTGATACCCTTAGCTGTCGTCTGGTGTCCACTGAACACGTTGGTGGGGGGATGATTGGTTGAATTCTGATTTCCAATCGTCAAGATGGGTCTAAAGGCGCTATTCGGATTATGTGTCCTCTGTTGCTGACTTGGAGGCTGGTTCTGTTGTAGGCTTGAAGGCTGGTATAGTCCATGTGGGGGGCTAGCTGTCTGGGGAGCAAGAATTGGGTGTGTGATTTACTGTCCAATCATTTGACTCTGAGCTGCTTTTGAAGTTGCTGTAGGAAGAAATATTGGCTCTGAAACATTTCTTTGTTGGGTTGCTGGTGCGTTCATCTGCTGATTGAAAACTTGGATTTGAGTTCCAGGGTTGGAGTGTGGTGACGTTTCATGAAGTTGAGCTTCTGAGTTCGGTCTTCGTCCCACTGTTGCTGTCAATTGCTGGTTGTCGATTTGGAGTTGAGTTCAATTGTTCAATTCTTTTGTCGTTCCTTGAAGTTGAGCTTCTGGGTGGTTCGGCTGAAGGTTTGAACTTTGTGACAAGTCGGCGCTCGGCTGCTGCAATGAGAGGTTTGACTGAGGATGGAGGTGAGTTCCATGGGCAGTTTGAGTTCCAACAGTTTCTGTTTGTTGTTGATGAATGCGATGATCCAAGGTATTGGCGTCGCTGTTAGATCCGGGGCGAAGTAGGAGTCCTGAATTGTCCTGGGCGGAATTTGATCTGTGGTTTGAAGTAGCGTTTAAGATTGCTGGCAATCCTGAAAATTGTGGCAAATCGTCCGGGGTGTCCTGGTCCATGGTGACGTTTTGTGTAGTGGTACTACGGGTTAAACTTTCCGTTTGGCATCGAAGGGGAAGATTTTCCAAGGCTTGTCGTATTATTGAAGGCGTCGAGACGTTGCTGGCTACTCGTGATGAGTTTAAAGAAGACGTGGCTGTGTTGTTGAGGGTACGCTCGTATCGTTTTGATCGTAGTTGGACCGTTCGGTACAAAACTTTCAAAGTTTTCAATCGTTCAATGATTGAGTCTTGCTGGTCCGTTCCGGTGCGCATTATCTTGACTGCTTCGTTATTGGCATCGTCGAGCAAGCTCTTCAATTCCGTTAAGAAATCGTTTATGATCTGTACTTCGTCGGAATCGCTTATGGCTTGGTTAATTGCTTTTGCTAAAATTTCTACGTCTGTTTCTATGACTTTAAAAACAGCATCATAGGTTGAATTCATTTTTAATTGACTTTGTCTCCTTATCTTAATTCACGTTTTGACGTGTTAGGCAAAAATGTAAAATGGCCAATATGTAATTCCTTTGATTACATGGAACCTCGCAATTGTATTGTAACAGAAAAAAATGATTTTGAGTTTTTTTTTCTTTGGAACTTACAATCCAAAAAAATAAAAATAAACAATATGACTGGTTAGTATAAGGATGGGTTCGTTGATTTTTCCAACAAAAAAAAACCTTGGTTTCGGTTTCTTTGTTTTAAAAACTATTGGGCGCCAATGACAATGGCAATACTTTTGGGTGATTCAGATTCCAATTTCAAATCATAGTTTAGTTGTTGCTTTAAATGATTTCTTTTTGATTTTTGAGTTTTGAGTCTTTCAATTTACTAATTTGGCGGCATAATCATGTCAAAAATGTGGCAAAATTAGGTTCGGCAAAGAATCAAGTTCAAATGTCGTAGACATCTCTGACCTTGGATGTTTGCTGCGATGACGTGGGGAATAGGAGCCCAGGTGTGAGCATGCAGCTGGCACAGCTGTTCTCCTGCTTCAAATAGTACACACTGATTTGCACAGAGTCCAGTCACTCCATCAGTTGTCTGTACTTTCCAGGCACCTGGCATTGATTCTAAATAAATAACAAAGTTTTTTATGCGACTGTGTCTTGAAGCTGTCTCAAATCAAATCTAGTGGAAAATTGCTATGGAACTGCTATTTTACTGGAAACTAAAAAAATTTAACCTGATTGCTGAAAAAAGCTACTAAAATTGAATTGAATCAGACGTCTGATTCAATTCAATTTTTGGATCTTTTTTTAGCACTAAGTACATTCATGTATTCGATTAATTCATCGGGAAAACTTCCTAAATTTTCTTTTTTTTTCTGTTTCATCCTCAAAAACAGTTCAATTCTTTACAAAACTAATGGACGAAACAGATTGATCGTATGAGCTTTGCAGATTATTTGAAGTTACTCTTATTGGAAATTGTAGAAATGTTTTAGATGAGCTGTTATATATGTCGTATTTGGCTAAAATTTATAAAGTTGTCTAAATTTTTATCATATTGTCTGGAGGCTTTCTGTGTACTTACCACATCGAACATGCAAATAGAACTGTCTTCCTTCGAGTAGTCACTTTGGCCATCCGAATTGCCTGAAGTTTGTGACAAAGTGAGGCAGAGTTTTATCAGAAGTAATGATATAAAATAGTTAACTAAGTTGTCCATATCGGGTTTGGGCTAATGGAGCCGAAATATATTTTATTCAAACAAGGAATTTGTTCTCATTGACGAATACTTCTCTGGCCTGTTAAAAAAGTTGAACCGTCGTAACGTTGTTGAGCGGCCTACTTTAGAGCTGTGTAAAAGTAAGTGTTATCATTGAGACGAAAATATAATTGGCTTCAAATTTGATTATACATACGAGCATTTGTGGTTTGAATAAACCGGTGCTCAAATGATAAACTGCCTTCGTTTGAAAAGATTTCTCATGTTAGACCGATTCAAACTGTTTAAGACGCAAGATGTATTTGTACGCATTTGAAGATAAATTGTCAAAAATACATGAGGTTTGGCTGTTTTCGCTGCTAAAGTTTGTTTTTTTTTAAAGATTTTTTAAGACTTTCATTTGCTTATTTTGAATCTGCATGTACATCAAGTTACCATAGGAAACAAAACCTTCATCAAGGTTCGATAACTGCAATCTTTTTTAGGTGTCGTAGTTTCGACTTTCGAAGAAAGTGACCTATTATTTGTCCTGTGCACAAATTTAGAAAGATATTTCACCTGTGATCTTTTTTCGTCAAAGTTATGGGGGTTTAAAGATTGCCATTTTGGCCGATTTGTGACCATTTTGCGCGCGATATATTATTTCGTGCTATTGAATGTAAGAGATATTTAAGCCGTCTTGGAAGTGGATTCAATTTTGTTCTTTTGTGGATGTGGATTCTCTTGGTCTGTTTAATGCTCTGCGATATGCGAAATATATATCATTTTGTACGTAATATATCGTGTGGGGGATGATTTTCGACAAAAAAAAACCTGAAAAAAATTTCTATTTTTTTTTTAAAAAAATTTCATCATTTTTTGAAAGCGAACACTGCTCCATAGACCTTATAAAGCAATCGGAATTTTCAGGGATTTGGCCTGATACGAGCAGTCTTTTTAAAAGTCATAAGCATAGTGAATTTTATTATATAGCTCTTTGTGATTTTTTTTGTTCAGGAAAATGTTTTAAAATTTGTTCTGGCTGAAGTTTGATTTTTTCGCGGTTGGACTTTCGATTTTTTTGAGGTCCATTTCATTACCTCTGTTAAAAAGAAAGCAAATTCAGCTGTCAAAAATCAAAACTGTAAAGGTCACGAAAAACGTGATTGAGAGCTAATTGCGAAAATGGATAATAATTTACAGATTTCCTACCGGAATAAATAATTTATCTATTTGTCCAGTTTTCTCAAATTGGGTTAATTTTTAGCAAAAAAGTGTCGATCGTAAATTGTTCTGGAAGCGCATCGAGCCTTATGGGCATATATTGTTTCTTTGAAATTCCAAAGTTAATTTAAAAAAAAGTTGTTTTTCTGTTTCTTTGCATTCAGGGCTCTTAACAAACTGTATGTCGCCCATGTTTTTGTTTGTGACCAAGTTTTGCATCTTAGTAAAAAGCATGGTAAGATATGAAGTTAAAATGTTCCCCCTTTTCAGATATCGACGAGTGTGTATTGCAACCATGTGGTCCCCCACCTGTCTCGTGCACCAACACCCCCGGCAGCTACAAGTGCGACTGCGGCTTCAACCTCAAGTTCGACGGAACCACCTGCGTCCCAGTCAACAACTGCCAGGCCAAGTAATAACAATACGAACAAGTCACCTAGTTGCTGCGCAAGTTGCGCAGAATGTTACGTATATCGAGGCACAGTATTTGATGCAAAATTTTGGAGAAAAAAATCAACAGAAAATTTTTTCTATAATTTTAAAAACTTTTTTGCTGTTTTCTTGGGTAGTAAGAGAGGTTGAAATTCATCTTCAGAATTTGTGTATCTTTTTTTCCAGCAATAATTATTGTTTTCAAAAAGGGAGACATGCGTCTCATTCTGGAAAACATCATAAGAATTTCTTCTTTTTTTCTTGCGTGTTTTATCAGAAGTGATTACACATTTGTAGTTTAACTGATAACATTGCAGATGGCACTCCAAGTATGACCATGACTGTCCCTTCATGTCCAAGTGCAGGGACACTGACGAGGGCTATGAGTGCGACTGTCTCGATGGATTCCAGAGAACGACAGAAGACGGCCCGTGTGATGGTGTGTGTCAATTTTTATATCATAAGAAATCAGTTTCTACCTTGTTCAGAAATCGCATAATCTTTCTATTTTCAATTATTTTATTATGTGCTGTTATCAGTAAAAACCATTGACGCTTGTGAAATAATCTATTTTGAACGACTTAAAATCCAAAATGAAAGAGATAATTGACGTTGGCGAAAATTAACTGCAATTTTTTTTTTGAAATTTTTTTATTGATTGAACCGTGGAAACATATACTGTTCCTTTGCAGACATCGACGAATGTGCTGACAACTCTACATGTGACGGAGAAATCTGTGCTAATTTGTACGGCGGCTTCGTGTGCTACTGTCCCGCTGGGTTCTTCCGGAACCTGGCCGGCGAGTGTGAAGATCTGGATGAGTGTGAGCTGAAGGGATTCTGTGTGGGTTCTGGAAGCACTTGTGAGAACACTGATGGCTCATTCGAATGCACGTGTGCATCTGGGTTGGTATATTTGGCTTATCAGATTTTTAAAAAATCTACACAAATCGTGCAATATGAATTTAAATCAAATGCAGCTTGCGAAGAGAAAAAAACTGAGAGACCATAAAACACTCCAGGTTTGGGTGGTTTTCCGTAAGTTAAATTTTTTATGTTTAGTTTTTAAAAGTTAAGTTTTCGTTTAACTTTTCAATCTTATGCCTTCGTTTTTTGGTATTCATTTTTCTTTCTCAGATTCTCCCGGGAGCTGAAGGACGAGAGTGTGGTTTGTGTGGACAGTGACGAGTGTGAGGAGGGCACGGTAGACCCCTGTGCAGACATAGAGGGCAGTGTCTGTGTAAACCTGCAAGTAGACGACAATCTCAGTAAGCAGAAAAGTTCAAAATCAGCACATTGTCATTATTCTTGAAAAAAAAACACAAAACTCATTCCGAATTAATGTTATTGGCGTAATCTTATCAACGAACCCTCAAACTCCTCAAATCTTCTCGCAAATTTGGCGTAAAATTTCGACTCGGGCTGTCACGAGACAGAAACTCCAACTTTTTGTATTCAAGCAACGAAATGATCTTTTTTATCTCTCTTTCTACCGTTTTTGTTGCAATTACTTCGGACGATTGACAAGTGATTAATGAACTGGTTTCAAAGGAGCTATCCGGATTAAAACTTGGCAACTTTTGCTTCATTTAATTCTCTTTAAAATGATATTCTTGTTAACCATTTAGCTTTATCAACCGCACAAAACTTTCATTTTAAAGCTGGAAAATTTTTATTTACAAAAACGAAGATCTTCGTAACTGCTTCATGTAACAATAAAAACCAATGTATATGAGAATTTTTTTCTTCATTAATTTTTTTTGTAAAACTATATCGAAGAAGCGCTTCGCTCTATCTACCTCTGAAAAGTAATACCGATTAACTTGAAGCTGTTTAAGTTGTTATGTCATTTTGTTCAGTCCGCTACTCTGACGCGGAAAAAATGGAGGTGAGCTTTGTGTCGACCAGCCCTCAGCCTGTGGGTGTCGAGAGCAACTTCGTGATTGAGTACTGGAGAACTAACTTGGAGGAGACCCTGTTTGCCACCTTCGATCTAGGCGAGACAAAGTTCGTCAAGTCTGTTCACGTGTTGCAGCAGAGGAACAGTGAGTGTGTTTTGTCATAGAAGAGAGGTTATAAGTCCCTGAAGGGAGTTTATGAAAGTTTATCAGTTTTAAGTAGGTGGTTGACCGTCTGTCTAGTCTTAGTTTTTTTTTTCCATTTTGAGCGAAATTTAGAGGTCATTTTTTTCAACAATGCTCTGTGTCGATCAAAACTGAAGGTTCATTCTGTTCAAGTGGTTTGCGTGACCCAAAATATTGAGATCAAATTTCATCTCAAGGTTTCGATTGTTAAAAAGGAAGTTTTTTTACGGTTAGTTGCAATAAATTTTTTTGACTTTTTGTTAAAGTTGGCATCTTATTATAGACTACGGCAACTACGCCACTCATGGCTTCGCTGAAGTGTGTGGTCCAACAGGGAAGTGTGCACCGTGCATGGGTGAGTTCACGGATAGTGACTCATACACGACTGTGCACTGTCACCACGTGGGAAACACTATCAGAATAGGACAGGAGAACAGAAACATGCTGCTCTACGTGGGACCAGGAGGGGTCAAGGTCACCGCATCTGGTAAGATTAACGCCGCAAATAAAAGTGAACAGACTATCTGATTGGAAAAAGCACATTTAATGAGCCCTATATTTCGAAATGGTTTCTCAAGATTTAGAGGAAAGAACTAAAACAAAAATTCAAAAAGTATTTGATTGATTGTGACGCAAGTAATGATTTAGTTTCTGGCTATATTTGTGAGTTTTCGCTGAAATAATTGTAACCATATATCTTGTTTAAATAAAATAAATTTCACTGAAATCACTTTTTGGGAATTTAAGGCACATCAATTTGACTTAACGTTTAGTGTGACAATGTGATTTGTCTGACGCTGAAACTTCGTTTTGAAAGCTTAAGATCTATTTGTTACGTTTTAGATGTGACAACAGACGGGTATGACTGCCGATGTGAGTCCGGATTCGAGAAGAAACGAGATCCGGCTACCGGCAAAGTCAAGTGTGTCGACGTAGATGAATGCAAAAACCCGCTCGCCTGCGACTCCAACGCCGAGTGCACGAATACCGAAGGCACTTATACATGCACATGTAACACAGGATACTTCGGAAATGGACTCCTATGCGAGCCTCTTTGCGGACCCTTGACTTGTGGACCTTACAAAACATGTGAGATCTCGGCCGACAACAAACCCGAGTGCAAGTGCCGAGTGCCCAGTAACCTTCAAAAGGGAAACAAAGGTGTGACGCTTATGTGTGGTACAGATGGTAAGGAGTATACATCGGCAACTCAAATGATCAGTGCTAACTGCCCGTTGGATATAAAAGTGGAGGTCGACTATGTTGGACCTTGTAAGGAGGATTGTGAGTCTATCGAATGTCTGGGAGGAAGCAAGTGTATCGAAGACCCGGTTCACGGAAGACCAACTTGCAAGTGTGACAAGAAATGCAATGAAACCATCTACGAGCCAGGTCAGTTTAAAACTTCAACCATCTCAGAAAGCGGATTTTCTGAACTTTCCTCTCCTCCCACTTTTTGAAGGAGGGATCGTTGCGAGCTACAATATTGGTATATGCTTAACCGTTGTGTTACTTGAAGTTAATTACTTACCATATGGAGGCGAGGGTTGGTAGTTAACAAAGTCCGAAAACGAATTTAAATTTTGGACATTAAAAATTGAAATCGGAGCAAACGACAGCAATATTTAAGCTTCAGGAATTTCAAATGAGCGATCTAACAGTTTGTAGTTTTTCAGGACGTCCAGGTAAAATTGATATATTATTTTTATTTTGCTAAATTTTTCATTGGCTTTTGCTCATCAGCTTAGATTGAACCAAAAGCTTCAATTTTACTTTTGAAAAATATTTCATCGCTTGCTTGCTTGCTTTAATTCAATCACTTGCTTAAATCAATTCCGCTTTTTCGATAGCTTTATTTTGAAGCTACATTAAAACTTTTCTCTGTTGAAGATAGCCCTGTCAAAAAAAGGGTCAACCTTTGTTGTCATTGCGCTTCGCATAGTATCTATTCGTATTTCATCAACCAACTTTTGAGCTTCAATTGCAAAAAAACTGGGCTGCAAAGTTCTGAAACTTGACCCTTGAAAAATATACAGCATTTGCTTGTCACTAGCTCTCATATCTGCAATCGCCTGTAGTTTAACGTACTCGGTTGAATTTTCAGTATGTGGCAGTGATGGCATGACATACCCTAGTGAGTGTGTTTTGGACCGGACCATCTGTGCTCTAAAACACAACACTTCATCAGATGACTCACTCAAAAAGGTACTCATGGCAATCAGTTAACTTCTTCCTAAACATCATAGCACATTGACGTCAATTTGCAGCATTCATCTGCTCAGAGGAAAAGACCTAATGATGGTCCTAATATCCTTCCCTATTTGTTATGCGACAACTCGAAATAACAGACCACTCCGCGACAAGAGACAACTTTCTATGATTTTTTTAAATTTCCCTACATTGAAAACATGCATCTGAGGAACAGTGATGCATGTTTTTAATGTTTCGTGATGCATTTTCTCATATCACTTGGCCTTATTCGTTTTGTTACATCTAGTTTTTTCTTCAGTTTTCGAATTTTTCCGACAAGTTTTTTTTTTCATTTTTGTGTTTTTTTTTCGATTGTATCGCAAGTGGTTCGAAACTCCGCTTCGCCTCTTTGTAATAATCTACTTTACTAAAAAATTTTGAAACTTCCAATTATTGGTTATTTTTGTTGCCTTGATCTGCGAGTTGATTGATGATTGTGTTCAGGTGTCGGAGGGCGTATGTCCAGAAGACTGTGTCATGTCCCCGTGGTCCGAGTGGGGAAGATGTAGGGCGTTCACTATGGCCCAGATAAGCGAGAGTGAGATCGACTGTGGAGTGGGGAAGAGTGTGCGAACTAGGAGCATCAAGCAGCAGCCGAACGAGAATGGCAAACAGTGTCCCTCTCTGAATGAGAATGTGGAAGAGAAGTACTGCTACCTCGCACCATGCAATGACGGTCAGTTTTCCTCTCTCCCACGACTAAACCCTTCAATTGAAACTATTCACTGTCTCAAAGTATAATTAGTAGCAAAAAGTTCGGACAGACAAAAATAATTAAAAAGAGCAAATGACCTTTTTCAGACCATTTTTTTCATGCAAACGCTAATTTTTCAGACAGAAAGTTTGTCTCAATGTCACCCAAAAATTCAAATTTGCATGCAAAAATTGCTCAACATTGGCAGATTGCTCTTTTTAATTATTTTTGTCTGTCCGAACTTTTGCAACTCTATAAACGCTCTTTTTCTGTATATTATAATTAGTGCCAAAAAAGTTGGAACAGACAGATAGAATCCAAAAGAACAGTATGCCAACTTTGAGCAATTTTTGCATGCTAATTTGAACTTTTAGGTGACCTTGAAGCATTCTTTGTGTCTGAAAATTTCACTTTTGCATGTAAAAGTTTTCTGAAAAGGTCATTAGCTCTTTTTAATCAGTTTTGTCTGCTCCTATGTCAATTAGTCTATTAAAACCGTAACTTTTCTCAATGATATTAACATTTAATCAAATACACGGAAACCAGTATCAAACTAAACCCCAAAGCAACATCATTTCTTGTTTTTCCTAACTTACGCGATAAACGTTTTATGTAATTAGAAAGGCCCTTTTGTGTTATTCATGCAGGTTTTTTCAGCTCTGAAAGTTGCCAAAAACTTATACCCCGGAAAAGTGCCGTTTTTGAACCTTAATTGGAAGTTGTAGACCGAGAATTAATTTGATTTTTTTCTTATGCAACAATCATTTGAGTGTGTGAACAATCATTTGTTCAATCGACAATCAATTGTTTGTGCCGATATTTCAGACCCGTGCAAGAACATGACGTGCAGTGGAGCTGACCAGGAGTACCAGGTGTGCAGGAGTGCCATGTGCAGGTGTCCCGAGTGCAAGTTCGTCCCTGTCTCTCCTGTCTGTGGGGATGCAGGCACCACCTTCTCCTCCGAGTGTGAACTGAGGAAGAAGGCGTGTGAGAAGACAGTTAATGACACTGCTGTCCAGTACGATGGCAAATGCGACGACTCCAGTAAGTTTACTAACAGTAGATATCACTTAAAAAAAAGTGAGGTCAGCGGTTTGATCCTTGCTTATTTTTTGTTCACACAAGCGAAGCGTAGTATATTATTACGAAGAATTTTTTTTCTAACCTAAGTAGCAAACAAAAGGGCTCATATGGTGGCACTTTTGGTATATTTCAATTTGATCATTATTAAGCCCACTTAAGCGTAGGCAATTTAATAGCATATTTTTTGGCTTTGTTTTTGGCTAGTGTTAGGTCCTGCTTGTATAAGATGTGTTATTTTTTTGCGATTCTTTGAAAAATTTTTGCTTTTCTTGCAGAATTTTCAAATTTTCTCAAAAACTACTGCACTGTTTTTCAAAAAAAAAACAATGACCAAACTGGCTGCTTTTTTATCTGCCTGTATATTTTGCTAGTATCTTTTGATTTTACCACACGTTCTACGGCCTTCGAAAATTTTAATAGGGGGTTTTTGATCTATTTATTTTGATTTTTTTCAAATACTAAGTGCGCAAATCTGAGATGAAGGTTTAAATCGAAAAAACAGATCATGGAGATCTCCCATTCTAAAGCGGTTTTTTCTTAATTCAGTAGAAAAACGTTATTGCCTTAAGCAAGCCCATTTTTTGACATTTCGGTTAATTTGTAAAACTGTTCTCAAATCCTGCCAAATCGGAGACTAAGGGTTTAACCGAAATAAAAAAACACAGTTATGTGAATCTTTCTTGCGCAAGCGGCTATGCCTTTCGTTTTGGATAAAACAAATATGGCCTTATAAAATGTCCAATTTATGTAATTTTTTTGAATTTTTTTTTCAAAAACTAACCTGCTGATTCTGAGGTTGTGGCTAATTCTTTCAAACTAATATGGTGCTTAAATGTTCTCTGAGTAATCTGTTTTTTTTTTTGAAATTTAACCGTTTTTTTCTAGAACTTTCATAATTTTTCCCGAAAACTCTTAGCTAAATCTGATATTAAGGGTCAATCTTAATACCAGGTTATAAAAATTTTCCCTGCATAAAAGACAATTCCCATGCTTTAATACAGAAAAGTTTGTGGATTTAGGTAAAGGTCAAATTTTAATTGTTTTTCATCATTCTTTGGATTATTTTTTCGCATTTTCGAAAACTACTCAGCCAAATCTGAGAAAAACAATTCAATTGAAAGAGTGACTGATAGTTTTTCCTTAAATAAGCAGCTAATCTCCTACTTAAGCAAAAAAATTACTAAGTTTTGCGTACAATCCATTTTATGAAATTTTGAAAATTACGCATTTCCGTATCAGTACAATGAATTAATAAAAACGGTAAGACAGGTACATCCAGCATTAGCTGGGCCACTAGTTTACTTTCAAGTTACCGTGGCGCAGATGCGAGCGAGGAGGTGAGTGACGCTCCTAATCAGCAGGTCGGAGATTCAAATCCGGAACAATGAATTAGTTTTTGTTTTTTTTTGCTCAAAATTTTTTGCTGCTTTATTGGTGGCTAGCGTTATTAAAATTACAAGCGGCTGTGATACTATTAGTCTCAAAATTGATAATCAGTTTTTTTTTCTCAAGCTTATTTAAATTTTTTTCCTTTTTTCACTTTGTTTTGCCTGTTTAGAGCTCTTTTTTGCATTTTCCTCGCTGGTGTCTGCGAAGCGCAGCTTCGCCTCTGCGTTAAAATTTTTTTTTCTAAATTTTCAGGGCTTAGTGCACCCAGGGGCGGATTTGGGGGGGGGGGGGAGGCGGACGCCCCTTCCCCCTCAGGGATTCGACACCCTGCCGACCCAAAGGGTCCCCCCTTTGTACTTTTTTGAGATATTCTTTTTTGGTGACGGACCCTAAAAATTTTCTAAAGGCGCCTTTGGCGCCAATACATACTAATTTTGAAGGGGGAGCGCGCGCCGAAAAATCGCGATTTTTGGTGAAACATTTTCCAAAAAGTGCCTAAAAACGCCTTTATTGGCCTGTTTTTTCAAAATTTTGCGGCGCAGAAATTGTGGCCAAAACAGGGTCTTTGTAGTGCTTTGGGAGAGCTCAGAAAGTCAATTTGGTCGACCTAAAAAAAAGGTCGACAAAATTTTCAAAATTTTTTTGGAAATCCCCCCCCCCCCCCGAGAAAATCTTAGATCCGCCCCTGAGTGCACCATTAACAAAATAATGACAATAAAAAATTCTCACTAAAAATAAAAACAAATTGAAACGTATGAAATTTGATGAAATTTTTCTGTTCGAGCGAATTTTGTAATTTGAATTCATTTTTTAGCGTCCGCCGCTTTGTTTTATAGAAAACAACATGTAGATACAATTTATCAATATTTTTGACAAATGTTTTTTGTATTCTGTAGCTAACGTGCAGGCTGACCCTGTGGAGTGTTCACTGGTGAGCAAGACAGTGACTGAGCGTGGACCGAATGGGAGAGGCACTCGAGTGTACAAGGGCAGGGAGTGCAAGGGGGGCTGTCTGAATCTGAACCACTGCTGCAAACCACTGCAGTCGTTCAACAGGACAGTGGACACTCTGGACACCTTGTTTGTACCTGGCCAGGGCGCAATCACTCGCCCATCGGAAGTGGTAAGTCAGAAGCCAAATGTAATGATCTAATAGTGTTCAATGATTTGTCTAGGGATTCCTCACAGGTTTCATTTCAAAATTCCAACACAGATTTTGCGTATTACACTGAAAACGCCATCGCTGCATTCGGTGTTTATCAAAAACTACCGATCTTTGCGTGATCTCAATTATGTTTAATAATGGTTTCAATAGCTTTTTTTTTAAATCCATTTCTATTCAGTTCAATGCGAATAGAAAAATTTGAAGAAATATGAACTAAATCAATGAAATAGCATAAATGAGCAAATTACAATTAAGTTTCAGTTGTTTTATGGTTTCAGGTTAAGGAAGCAAGGAGGGTGTTATTTCCCCCAGTTTACCTCTGCCGCAGTTTATTCATGAAAATATATCTTTTCCAAAAACTTTCATTGAACATATATCATTTTTCGGAAAGGTTTTTTTAAAAGTGTATTTTTTCAGATGGTGGAGCTACCAACAGCTTGTGGGTGTACAAAAGAGGAAAACACCGCAGACTAATGCAATTCTAACTTCAAAGAAGAATCACCCACAATAGAAGAAAAAAAATTAACTCAAAGCGTCTCAAACTATGTTCAGCATTTCTCTTTGATGTCTCACCAAATATCCGACGACTTGAAATTACCCAAAGTTTTTAATTCTCAGGGTTAAAATAGTCATCTTTAAGTGGTTTAGTGCTTTATAAACGGACAATAGTCAACTTTGTTCGGAGAAGGAAACTCAAAAAAAAGTTAGTTGAAAACAAAAACAGGAAAAAATTCTTGTCAATTTTTTTTAGACTTTCTTTGAACGGAGTTGACGCCAATGATGTTTCGAGCAACCAAGCTACAGCGCATGACGATATTTGAAGCTTTAAATTGATCGAAATAGCGAAACAATGTCTTGATTCTTGCTTTGTTCAAAAACCTGTTTAACCCCAGTTAACTCACTTCAACCGATAAATAACCTCAATTGCTCTGCTGATGACGTTCTTGTTGTCTAAAACATGAACTGACGGTGCTGTTGTCAGTTGATTTATTTTTCAATGAAGTATTTTTATACTGCAGTGTGGAATGACGCATCCTTTGTTTATGCAATCCATTATGTAATCGGATTACACAACCAGGAGGCCGAAAGGTCGCTGCAAAATTGGCGTAGGAAAACTCTATCTTTAAAACCATATCTCATCATATTCTAAATTAAAATTTATTTTGAAGAAAGACGGTTTTTCATCGACCATTTAAGCTCAAAATTTAAAATGAGTAGTGGTAATGCGTTTTTTGGCCAATCTCCATTTCTTAGTGTTTTCTCAAAACTGTGAAGACTTGATGAACGAAATCGACTTGGAGAATGAAATCACCTTTTAATGTTGTAGAAAAATGTATAAAATTGGTCCCAGATATTTTTGAGGAATCGTGAAAATGGATCTTCAAAAAACTTTTTTGTATAAAACTGATGTGTTCCCGAACTGTTTTTGTTTTTGCATTTTGATTAGCTTCTTCAATTATTTTCGTAGATGCGATTTAATTAACAATTGTTATCACTTTATTTCACTTTTTGTTTTCAGTCGTATAAATTAGTGCCACCTTCTCTAAAGTGCCAAATTAAGTCTGTGTAGCTAGTATTTGTAAATAACAGCCTCTATTTAAGTGGCTGATATTTGGATGACAGCATGCTAAGGCATAAGACTCAAAGTTGTTGCTAGTCGATGGCATAAGTTCGATTACCGTAGGGAATAGGTTTTTTGTTTTTCCGTATGTCAGTTTATTACATTATCCAAGCTTGGGGATAGTACTGAAATAGTACAACTAATCTTGTTTTTCGAACTTAAGTCGTAAAAATTGGTGTCATTTTTGGGACACCTTTGCGGTATTTAGTAGCATGTGCTTTGACTGCATGTTTTGGTTTTCCTACAAGCTATAATAATTTTTTGTGCTCCCTATTATTGTTCCGGCTTTTAAATTTTTTTTTTGGTATGCAATAACTTATGCGATTAAAAAGCGTTAACCAACTGGAGTATAGTTTTTTTTTGGGTGAACTTTTTCAATTTTTCCAGGAAACAGCGTAAATATTTATTGCGTGAAAAAATTGAAAACTTTAACAGGCGCAGTGGCGCGACTGTTGATCTTGACGTGAGCCAACCTCACCGTTATCGTTACATTTGTGTCGCACCATCTCTTCCAGGATATTTATCCCTTATAAGTCCAATCGGCTAAACACCTGGCAGTGTTTGGTCTTTGTGTACCTGCACTATGTCTCAAATTTTCAGTGGTGTTTTTTTTCATTTTGGGGCGTTTCATAAGTGAAGACAGCTTCTCCTTCTTTAATTACTGTTATGGGTGGTTTATACCCTGCTGAACTTTGGTCCAATCACTGTTGTTCAGTGGCATGCTGTCGATGAAAACTTTTAGTAGAATTTGGTTGAATGGCCGACAATCATTAGCAATTGATTTCTTTTCATCGGTTTGTCATTTTCTGGCGGATTGTCTTTAAAAATTGTCAAGGGTCTGAAATACAGTATAGTTTCGTTTTAAAGTTAGACGTTTCTGAAAACTATTAAAAGTAAGTTTCCGTTGTTCATTAAAAATGAGGATTGGTCTATTGTAAATCTGAAGCGAGGGTTCTCAAATGCCAACAAAATGATGGGCTAATGGTTGATTAAAAATCTATCGAATGTGTTGTTGTACCTTGAATTAGTAAGCTCTAGCATCAATCATTTTAAAGGGTCTTGTTTTTTTCTTAGGAGGCTCCACAAAACGTTTTTTCGTTGCCTCTGGTAAGTGTTTTGGGGATTTCTCGTCTAGCTGTAAACCGAATTATTACCTTGATCAAAAAATCTAAGGTCAGATTGGACAGTTTGTGACAGTGTTTTCTCTAGCTGCTTGATAGATAGAAGAAACCTTTTTATTTTCCCATTTCTGTTTTATTTTTGATGCAGAATGGGCCAAAAAATTTATGGTGTTTGGAAAAAAAAACGATTTTCTTCGAGTTATTGTATCAGCAGCAATGATAACATGAATGATTGGAGGTTGTCTGCTTTAAACCATCAACACAAAAAAGTGATGAGCGGTTTATCGAACAGCTTGTCAATTACTGTTGATGCTGTTGCTTTTGTTTTTTTTTCTTCACCAAATTGAAAGATTCTCAGTAAATTTTATTAAAGAATTCTTTTTTCACTGCTTTGATGATATGATGTTCAGAGCTTTAATAGTTGACTGTCTTTCTCTAGTCGATGCTTGCCATCTTAAATGTTTGTCTACAATGATTTTCATTTTGTTTTTGTGCGAAAACTGAACATACAGGTGAAGGTGAACAAAATTTTTATCCATGAAGAAGAGCAATTGATATCAAGGACCTGAGGAATTGAAAAGAGTTGTCGTGACGTACACACCAAGGCAACCGTAGTAATGATGTTGAAATCTGGTACAGGGGCCAGTGAGATGTTTGAGAATCCTCAGACGACGAGGCTTTTCACCTTTTTTAACCCACGTCTGCTGGTCTTACCTTTTCAGTGCCATGATCAGGAGGGTTGAGATCACTCTTGGCTTATGTGTTCGTGAGGATAGCTTCAATACACGTTGTTGGAGGATCGAAGCGGTATGGCTTTGTTGTTAAAATTTGAACATTTTGCCTTGTTAAAGGATAGAAATTAGTTTCGGAGCATGTCGAAAATTTTGCATGCATTTCCGATCATTTTTTATTTGTTAAATCGTTGAACACCTATTCCTTGTATTTCGTTCCAAACATTCTACTCGAACCTTCTATTTATAGAATAAATCGGGTTTGGTCTTTAACAAGCACTGTCAAGGGGAAAAATAAATATGCTCTGAAAATCAGATTTTTGAAAGTTTCGCCATTTGTTTGAAAAAGAAGGCATAAAAACTAAAAAATGTCGGCGATCTTTTTATTTGTTTAATATACGCATTTGAGCTATATATTGAATTGTCAAAACTTAAATGTAGATCTTCTAGTCGGGATGTTTTATAGAAGACTGAGTTGCAAGGGTAGCCTGAAATGTGCTCTAACTCCTTACCCTTCATAGAATTTTACTGGTAGTATATACGGTGTTTACCCTTTATGTTTGTATTGAAATCAACAATAGCATTGAAACAATTGAATCAGTTTTAGAAAAACGGCAGATTAGGATTAAGTGAGTTCATTTGTAATGGTGGCAGTTCAACTACATTTTTGAAGTCAAATTTATCTCTGTTACTTTGACCATTGGTGAAGTTGTTCATTGGTTACTGAAGTCTGCTGGTTTTTTTATACACTCTGACAGTATCGCTTGTGAAGAGTTGTCGTCATAATAGGTCGGCTGGACAAATTGTTTTGACGATTGGTGAACTTTTTGATTGGTGAGTTTTACTAATTAGCTCTGTTTTTTTTCTGTTACAATTGCTTCGGTGCAACTATGTTGAAAATTGGACGACAGGCTGTAGATTATTGTCTGTCGAGCTGGACATGACTGCATTTCATGATTAAAACTAAAAATACTTAAATGAGGAAAAGGGGTATTTGCATTACTACTAGGGAGACTTGAAACAAAAAGAGCATTGGTTGCCTCAGAACTTGCACCAAAATGACTAACATAGTTTGCAAAACATTTTGAAGCGGAAACGCCGATGAACTTTGCGTCAAGGGATATCTAATTGTTAAATCTGTGGTTTGTCTTTTTTCTCGGTATTCGAGTTTAAATCGATGAGTTTTGATTCAAATGTCCAATACCTTTGAAGTGTTCTGGAATATCATCTATCGTTTTTCTTCATGTCAAAATACACTTCGGCTTAAGATTTCGGTCTATGATGTTGTATACCCTGCTGATTGCACTTTGAAATTTGAACCGGATGAGACGATAACTCTAAAATAACTTTTTTCGAGTGGAGGTAGTTTTCAAACTGGTTTTTGGGAAGGTGATGAAGCCTGTAAAATTATTGTTGTGTATCAGAGTTGATTTGTTCAATAGATAGCTGCTGCTGGCTCAGCGAGTTTCCAAATGAAAGATAATCGAGTGAATGTATCTGCTGACAAGACTGAAGAAATTTTGTTACTGTGGAGAATTAAAGGTGCTTGCTGTGAAATGATTTCAAAAATCGAGATTGCCGTTGGACTGCTCGTCCAAACCCAGTGACATTGGGTGGTTGCGGAGTAGTTAAGGCATTGCAACCCTACGCTTTAGTTTGCTTGATCATAACCTTTACACAAATCATCCCGTTAGCGTTTTTTGCTAGCTGAATGTCGTTGTTCAGGTTAAATTTTGTCGATCGAATATTGGTCGTTTGTCCGCGATAACATAACTTTTTGTAAAAACTCAAAGTTGCCTTGATATTAAACATAGGTTTGTTCCACACTAAGAAACGATTGATGCGAAAATTCAAAACTGAAGAAGGCTGCTATTATGCTCACACCATAGTGATGCTGTTGGAGTCTGGTACTGGAGATTTTACTTGCCATTGAGTTGTTACCAACTCCAAAAACGATAGGACTGTTGATGTTGAAACTTGAAGGTTCTGCCGTGATGAAGAACAAAAGTCGCTTGTGAGGCCTAATTTTGTGAGGCCCATTTTAGCACTTATAATCAGTTTTATAAGTGTTGAACATCATTTTCTTGGATATCGTTCCAAACAGTCTTTTCATTCAATTTAAATGGCAATTAGGTTTTTAATTGTGGCAATTTTTATCATGTTAGAAAATTTATACCTCCTTTGCAGCTAAAACTTTTGAAAATTTTTACCGTTTTTTTCAGAAAACTTGGAACAAGCACGTCTGCTATGTTTCAATTAAGTTGATTTTCGCTTCGCGTTGAAGACAGTGAATGAAATGCCCACAATGTGATAAAACATGATATTGTGCTTGTGGTTTATAGAAAGCTGACTTGCAAGAGTAACCTGTAATGCGCTCTTCAATTTACCCTTCACAGCAGTTTGTTGGTAGGTTTTTCCTCGTGTACCAATAATTTTTGTATTGCTATCAACAATTGCATCAAACAAATTAAACCAGTTGTGGAAAAGATGCGGTTTAGCATCAATTGAGGTCATTCGTAATAGTGATTGTTTTACTGTTAAATTGAACTGATCTGATCCCTGTTACTTCAACTATTGGATTCCCAAAACGATAGGATTGCTGACTAATTTGTGATTTTTTTTGTTGAAAGTTGAAAATTGTGAAGCGTTGAAGATTGGAAATTGCTTGGGGAGCGTGTTGTATATTTTTGCTTTCCTGATC